GTACAATATCTGCATTAACATAGTTCTTGAAAAGAAAAAATGCAGTGGCACAATTAGCAGAAAACGAATGCAACAAAGTGAAGAATGGAGATTAACGTGCCTTGGGCTGCATATCAGTACTGCAGCTTATGTTAGTGTCGATGGATCTCACTGTGTCTCTGTCTCTTGTCCTCTTGTTTTCAGATATGACACACTCTTTTAGTTCATGAACTACATGAGACATGTTGGGTCTTTCTAGGGAAGAAGCATTCACGCATGTCATTGCTAATTCAAGAGCTTTCCATGCAGAACCAGAGTCATACACCCCTTGAAGTTTAGGATCCACAATATTGCTAATGTCTCCTCTAGTAAGCATAAATTTCGCCCATTCTGCTATGTGAGGCATTTCGCGGGTTTGATCGATCACTGGTTTGTTTGTGATGATTTCTAATAATACAACTCCAAAACTGTAGACATCAGTCTTCTCAGACAACCTATTTGTTTGGTAATATCTGCAAGACGAGATGATTATGAATGTTTTTGTGAATGACTTCCAGAAAAAGCCTGCAAACGACTTACTCATGATCAAGGTATCCAAATGTTCCCGCAACACGTGTAGACACATGAGTTTCATCTCCAACTGGAAAAGATCTTGAAAGCCCAAAATCTGCAAGCTTGGCATGTAACTGATCGTCCAATAGTATGTTAGAACTTTTTACATCTCTATGAACTATCAGCGGTTTGCAGCCAATATGCAGGTATTCCAGTCCTGTCTCCAAAAGCCATTTTTGATTACTGATCATTAGAAATTTGGTTTAAATGAGTGTTATAAATGGAGATATCCATTCTCTGGAAAATAACAAACGAACCTAGTGCGGCATCAACTGCTACGTTTAGTCTATCAACCCAGCTAATGATGGAGCTACCTGCATGTATCAACATGGTCATGAATGTCAAATAATCTTAGGATGTTGTCAACACAATGCCATTTCCATCATGATGATATATGAATATACATGTGTTACCTGACAAATGTTTTTTCAAATCGCCATTGGCCATGTACTGGTAGATGAGGGCCAAGTGATCTTTTTCATCGCAGTATCCAACAAGACATACCAGATTTGTGTGGTAAACCCTTAGAAGAAGTTCTACCTATCCAAATATGTACAAGATATATTTACATAAACTTGAGCTCTTACAAAATGGATTAAAACTAGTTGTGGTGGCACAAAAACCTCTGTTTTGAACTCTTTATAGCCTTGAGCTGATGATGGAGAGAGTAGCTTCACCGCTACTTCTTCGGTACCATTTATATAACCATGGTAGACCATCCCAAATCCTCCTTTACCCAAAACTCTTTCAAAGTTATTTGTCATTGCAACAACTTCAGCGTTTGTATATCTTCTCTTTTTTGTTACTATTGATTGTTGGCTTGATGATGGACCTAGAACTGTACACAAATAGTAATAAGTCACTATCAATTCTCTGAGGCATTTAACTATGTATGCAAACACTATTGATTCTGGTTTGATGACTTTGTTACCGATACCTTGACCGCGTGATGGGCGTCTTTTAATACAAACAAAAAGAAGAGTGGTCATTGCTATAATAGCAGCCAAAGAAGCAATTGATGCAACAACTGGTAACATGATGTTACTTTTCTTTTTGTTGCATGAACCGGAAGAACAAAGGTTTGGATTTCCTTGAATGCTAGTGTTATGAACAAACTAATTAAGTATTAGTGAAGACATAATACAAATAAAGACATCAACTATTTAATGACAAAAGATGGTTGACAAGATCTTACTTCAGTTTCAACCCAGTTTTCACTTTATCGAGCAGAGCTTGAGGGACGGAACCACTAAGATTGTTTCCACTTAGGTTTCTGTCTAGGTTAAAAAGACAGAAAGTTAAATAAACATCAACATACTGTGATACTAAATACTAAATTGGTAATGTGTTCATATAGCCGACAGAGTTACTTACATGACTAACAATGATTTCATTTTGGCTAGAAAGTCAGGTACTCCACCTGTTAAATTATTATTTGACAAGTCCCTACCATTTGCAAAAGTGATACAATTGATTGTATGTTTTGCCTTGATAAACAGAGTATTTTTGTAGAACTCAACTGACATACTTACAATCTTTGAAGCTCCGTAAGATTTTGGATCCCAGGAACTATAATTCCAGTTAGTTCACTTGAGGTCAAGTCTCTGGTGATAACACACCCATTTAAAGTCTAAGATATTAAGAAACACAGATCTTAACATTAACCATGATTTTTTTTTTTTTAAAAACCCATTGACCATGTCACGTACAAGGAATGGATTCTTGGTGGTGTAGATATATTGGTGTACTCGCAGGTAAGACCATCCCACAAGAATTGTTGAGGAACACATGGATCTCCTTGCCAGCCAATTCTACTCAGTCCATAACTTTTTACTATACTCTTGATAGCAACGACTAACATAACAACGGAAAAAAACTTAAATAAGTATAGATATATGTGTATAGCAAACTATCTACTCGTATTTAGCTGATCGCATACCGTCATTTTCATAAGTTTCGGACTGCGGAAACTCAAGTGTTGTAAACGCCTCAATAGCATTAAGGAGGGGAGGGAGAGTTGAATTTGGAGTTCTTATCAGTTGCAAATGGCATGTCCCTCCTTTGCATTTCACAGGTGATGTGTTGAATAGCGTATCTACTAGCAACTCCTCAGGGCTAACAGGCCCGTAACTAACATCTTGACCTACGCTAATATTGAACTCCCTGGTATCATTGTCCCTTAAGGGCTGGATCTCGGCAACGTGAAGGTATGCATAAACTAAGTCGTCAGGTGTTTCCAAATTCCAAGAAATGGTCAATGGTAAACTCACATTTGAAGGCGTGGCTGCCGTAGCAACTACATCTTGCGGTATCTCATAGTCATTATCAGAAGTGTTGATTGAGAGACTTGTTCGTATCAGTTTCCATTCCGGCATGAAGAATGGAGTCCAAAGACGATCATGGACATCTTCTGGGTACCTGAAGAGATCTTATTTTAGCAAACTGATCGTAACTTATCTTGATCATCAAGTTAGGCTAGGTTGACTTACCTATAAGTGTCTTTGGAATTGGTCAAATGAACGCGGAACAACTTCTTCAGGGAACCAGACTGAGGGATATAAGTATCATTTCTCAATGGTCGTAGCTCTAAGGCTGATATTAGTGGCGTAGTTGTTCCAGTCTTAACGAGACAAACTTGCAAAGAAGTTGACCTTGCTATGTGAATGATCTCCTGCCTTGTACCATTTATATTTCTTTGCAAATCGACCGTGGTCCATATATTTGGACCAAGATAAAGGTCAAACTTTGGTTGTGTATTAAGATTATCGTAGTTTCCGTAGGTAAACATGGCTACGACCAGATAGTTCGTGCCTTGTACGACGCTAAGCGTATAGCAGTTCCTTACTCCATCCGGAAAATATCTCAAAATTGTGTATGGCTTTATATAGTCCATCCCCGGAACATTTTGAATCTTACCACTTTTTCCGCTTTTGATGAAATCGGCGTCTGATCGGAATGTTAACTTTGTCATTGGTTCCGTGTAAGGAGACTCATTGGCTTGTAATCCGCAATCTAAATTGATGAATCCTGGTAAGACAAGAAATAATTGGCAAGTGTTTAAGTTTGGAAACTAATTAAGTTTAAAGAAGAAGAAAGATGTACCTTGTTGATCTTGTGCTTGAGCGAAATCGGGAATGCCAAAAGACATAATTATTAGGAAGGCCAATAAAAGTCCACGGAGGTTTTTCATTATCCTACTCTGTCCAAGAAAAAGCAGGATCCACAAAACTACTAAAATACTTATAACCTGGAGCATGACAAATCAAACCTTTTTAATTTGGATATATTAGGAAACGGTTGACTAATTAAATCATTAATTAGATTTAACCTAGCTGGTGGGGAAATCTCGAAATAATGTATTATGGTGTAAGACTTTTTTTATCAAGTGGAAGTATAAAATTTTACACGGGTTTCACGTCTAAATTATAAAATATGTTGGTCGATCGATCGTCACTGGGGTTTTTTTTTTTTTTTTTTTTTTTTTTAAAGATTGGATATTCCATTATATACTTTCAACGAGTTATATACTTGGTACGTAACGAAATCACAAACACAAAGTCAAAAAGAGCATAACAGAAAACATATATTGTAATTTCCAAGATGAAAATAAGAAATTAAGCAGAAATCAAACGTACATACATGCAGGGCTAGAGCACGAGAACGGTCTTGCGAACGATGTGTGGACTGTGGAGTTGTTGTTCAAAATTAGCTAAAATTCTCAATTTCACTTCGAAATTGAGTTAATATGTTACGTGTCTTTTTTGTTTTTCGGTTTCCTTCTGTTTTTATGTTTTGTTTCTTTGTTTTTTCCCTCTTTCGCAATCGAATTGAGAGAAGCGTGTATTACTGCGACAATTAAAATAGTAGGGAAACTCACTAAATTTAATACATTATAATTGTTGGGCCAACGTAATTAGGATAGAAGCCGGAAACGATGGTCCTTAATAAATTAAATTAATCAATGGGTAAGTTAATGCATAGGAAGCCTCTGGGCTCTAGGCCAATTATATGTTTCAAATTCATTAAAAAAATCATTAGTTTGATTCGTTCACGGAACTTGAGTTATATTATTGCGATTGACCCGCCGGTTTATCGTCACGAAGAATGACTTGGTTCACATTGTTTTCAAATTGTAACCCGACAGCAAAATCATATCACCATCCATATTGATATTGCAATCCATATTTTTTTCCTTTGTTTTAAAGACTGCCAGCACTGTTTACTTAGCTAGCTAGCCATGTTTTTTTTTGCTGATTAACGTATGCATTAAGTTGACTTTACGTTACTAAATATGAAACAGATATACATACATACACATTCATAAATATATGACTTCATATTGATGTTTCAAGGCTTTGGTAGTGTGTTAAGTTTTGTTGATTTGGTTGATAACTGATCATACGTAGTTAATGGAGACTTGCAAGAAGTTTCTGTTTCTCGCTTTTGCCACTTTCTCCATCATACACTTTGTTCAGTCTCAGAATCAACAAGGTATTTTTACTTCTCTCTTTTCTTCTATACATAGATTCTTTTTGATATAGAGTACTTGATTTTATAAAACAATATCTTTCTGATACGTATCTCTCTGGTTTTACCAGGATTCATCAGTATTGACTGTGGATTAGCTTCCAGTGAGTCTTCTTATGTGGAACCAGTGACCAATATCACTTACATCTCTGATGCTGGTTTTATCCGCGGAGGCAAAACTGGTACCATCAAAAAAGACCTTGAGACAGACTTTATCACAAAGCCGTATAGGGTTTTGAGATACTTTCCTGACGGAACGCGGAACTGCTACAGTTTGAGTGTCACGCAAGACACAAATTACCTCATCAGGGCAGTGTTTGTTTACGGAAATTATGATGGTCTTAATATTTTCCCAAGATTCGACCTCTATCTTGGTCCTAATCTTTGGAAAACCCTAGATCTGCGAACAACAGATTTTGGTTCTGCTGTTGAGGAGATTATCTACGTCACAAGATCTAAGGTTTTGGATATATGTCTTGTTAAGACAGGAACAAGTGCGCCGTTTATATCAACCATTGAACTAAGACCTTTGCCGTACAACACTTATACTTCACAAACCGGTTCCTTGAAGAATTTAGTGCGCTACTACTTCACCAATTCTAACAACACAAAACTGTAAGTATGTTAAACTTGACCCATTTTATTATTATTATTGTTTTGGCCGTCTACAACTTAATTTACACACTCACACTTTCAAATTTGGATCTATGACACGGGACAATATTAGTAGCCTAGCACAAACCACTAGACTACAAGTGTTTCTCAATCCATTTTTCATTCTATATATCGATCTAACGTAAATACTTGAATTTTGATTTGGCAGGCACCGCAAAGATGTTCATGATCGTATTTGGACTCCGTACTTCCAGCCAGACTGGACGCATATAGACACAACCCTCAACGTAACTGATTCGTCTGGTGGCTATGACTTGCCACAAGATGTAATTAGGACAGCAGCCATACCCACTAATGATAGAGAGCCATTGATCTTTTCCTGGAGTTTGGAAAGCTCTGATGATGAAACTTATGCTTACATATATGTCGCCGATATCCAACAAGTGCGATCCAATGAAACAAGAGAAATAGAAATTGTGGCGAATGGTAAAGTCATATTCTCACCTATTCGTCCCAAGAAGTTCGAAGTAGAGATGCTAACGAACACTGTACCGCTAAAATGCGAGGGAGGGGTATGTCGAGTGCAGTTGTCAAAAACGCCAAGGTCCACTCTTCCACCTTTGATGAATGCTTTAGAGATTTTCACAGCCATTGATTTCCCACAATCAGAAACAAATCAAACTGATGGTATGTGTGGCTTTGTACTTTCATTTTATGCATATCATAAGACATATATATGATGAGAATCCCACAATGGTTAGGTTAACTTATTCTTATGTTTCAGTCAGTGCTATTAAGAAAATAGATTCAGCATATGGATTGAATAAACTCAGTTGGCAAGGTGATCCATGTGTTCCCAAACAATTCTCGTGGATTGGTGTACGCTGCAGTGTTACCGATGTTTCCACACCACCAAGGATCATAGCATTGTAAGTACACTGCAAACTTAAATTTATTAGCTATAACTTATCAAAATAACCTGAATACATCTGATTTGATACGTCTCTCATCATTATAACAGAGACTTGTCTGGAAGTGGATTAAATGGAGTTATAGCGCATGGCATACAAGATCTAACCCAACTTCAAGAATTGTAAGTATCTTCATATTTGGATAAAGTGAAAACTTTCTTTGCAGAATTTCTAAGATTTTTTTTCCTGCATTTTTGTCTAACAAAATTACAGGGACTTGTCCAATAACAACTTAACTGGAGAAGTGCCTGAGTTTCTAGCCAAGATGAACTCCTTGTTGAAAATGTAAGTTTTTTGGGAAAAGCACAGCAAATAATTTTATTATATCAGATCCTATTATCTTATAACTTTTCTACTTATTCAGAAACTTAAATGGAAACAATCTTAGAGGTCCTATTCCTCAAGCCCTTCTTAATAGAAAAAAGGGAGGACTACAACTAAAGTAAGATTCGTTTCCATGGTTATCTTCTTTTGATCACTATTCATCTGTCTTGTTTTCTGTGATATAAACACAAACAACATTATTTGCTTTAGTCTTGAAGGAAATAAAGACCTATGTGTATCATGCCATTCAAAATTTCCATTGGTGGTGGTTACCGCATCTGTTTCATCTCTTGTGGCCATTATCATAATTGTGTTAGTTATCATCTTCGTTTTAAAAAGGAGAAAGACATCAAGTGGGAAAGGTAAGTACTCACTAGAGAATTGTATAAATAAAGAAAAATATGAGATCATACCAAAGTATGAAATATTTTGAACGTGTTAAAACTATTAATGTGCAGTTATGCGCCCATCACTTGAAATGAAAAATAGAAGATTTACGTATTCAGAGGTCAGAGAAATGACAGATAACTTTCAAGTTGTGTTGGGTAAAGGAGGCTTTGGTGTTGTTTGTCGTGGTTTTCTAAACAATGAACAAGTAGCCGTCAAAGTTATCTCACATTCATCAACTCAAGGCTACAAGGAATTCAAAACAGAGGTACTTAATTACACTACTATCTTCCATTTAATTTTCGGAGACAATTATGCATGCGCTCCTAAATAAAAAACCTTTTCATAATGGTGATTGTTAATTAGGTCGAGCTACTTCTAAGAGTTCACCACGTGAATTTAGTAAGCCTCGTCGGATATTGTGATGAAGGAAATGACTTGGCTCTCATCTATGAGTTCATGGAAAATGGGAACTTAAAGGAACATCTCTCAGGTAAAACCATAGTTAGAGTATGATTTTTTGAGATACAAGCCAAAGGCTTTAGAAAATTCCTAATAATTTCTAACCATATTGTGAATTTTTTGGTAGGAAAACGTGGTGGCTCTGTTTTGAACTGGTCGAGTAGACTTAAGATAGCTATTGAGTCTGCGCTAGGTATTTTGTTACTTTTTCCTCAATTTTGATATATTCATATGCCTTCTTTTTTTTTTTTTTGGACAAATATTCATATGCCTTCTAAATTCACATTTTAGTGATATATAGTTAATATATGAAGATTTTTCTATGTACTAGGAATTGAATATTTGCATATTGGATGTAAGCCGCCAATGATTCATAGAGATGTGAAAAGTACCAATATACTTTTAGGTCGACATTTTGAAGCCAAGCTCTCCGATTTCGGACTTTCAAGATCTTTTCTAGTGGGAAGCCAAACTCATGTATCAACAAATGTTGCCGGAACTCTAGGATATCTTGATCCCGAGTAAGTTCTAGTTCATATATCACATTGTATGCTTTCTTTGTGTTATTAGTAAAGAAAATTCAAACATCTTCGATTACTTATCTTGCAGATACTACCAAAAGAATTGGTTAACAGAGAAGAGTGATGTTTATAGCTTTGGGATTGTGTTATTGGAGATAATCACTGGCCAGCCTGCGATTGAATACTCCCGTGAAAATTCTTACTTATCAGAATGGGCGACGTCTATGCTAGCGAATGGTGATATTGAAGGAATTATGGACCCGAATCTCCAGGGAAAATACGACACGGGATCATCTTGGAAAGCTCTTGAATTAGCAATGTCATGCATAAACCCTTCTTCTAGAGAGAGACCAAACATGACCAGGGTTGCTCATGAACTAAACGAGTGTTTGGAAATATACGACAACTTTAGTAAAAGAAATAGCCAAGATGCAAATTCATCAAAGTCCATGGTACATAACGTAAGTTTCATCAGTGATAGTCCTTCAGCTCGTTAATCTTTCCATCTATATTCTTTGAAGCTTATACTGGTTGTATTCAAGTCTGTAATGTGAATAGTGTTAAAAAAGCGTTATCTCCTGGTACGGAAGTGACTCCAAGTTTGATATAATGTAAATGCAACAAAAAAAAAAAAAAGTGTAACGTAAACAAGATAAAAAAAAAAACATAAGTAAGAAAAATGATCGAATCGAAGTAACGAACTGGTAGTGCAATGATATTAAATCACATATGGGCCGTTAAAAATACTGGGGTAGTACAAAATTATACTACCCAGTATAATTGTCAGCGGGACTCTGATAAAATAACTGATCCAAGACTATAGCGCGTGAAAACAAATTCCGCACTCGCAAAACTAGCGTGTGTTAATAACTCGCTCCAAATCGGCTAATTTTCCAAAATTGCAAAACTAGAGCGCGTGAGAAGAAACAAGATCGCAAAACTAGCAAATTAACATAGGCGAGCAAAGTAAAATAATTTTAGGGTGAATTAGCTCTCTAACCAATACAAAAAAACCAACAAAAAATATAACATATTAATACAATAAATTAGGTGAATAACCATTGGTCAATGTAAAAGGACAAAAGAGGGCACATGTGAAGATGATAGTGGTGGCCGGCGGTGGTGGCCGGGGGTCGGTGGCGGCGGTAGTGGTCGAAAGTCAGTTTTCGGCGATGGTGGCCAGAGGTGGTGGTCGGAAGAGATGGCCGGAGGAGGTGGTTGGAGGTGATGGTTGTCGGAAGTGGTGGCTGAAGATAGTGGGTGAAGGTTGTGTTAAGGTGGTGGTAAGAGAGTAGGTGGTGGTGATGGTGGTAGAGGTGGTGGTGTTAGGTGATAAAAGAGGTGGTGGTGAAAAAGACAGAGTAGTATATATTGTAGAAAATATAGAAAGTATGAGGGTTTGATGGTTACAAAGATTTTTTTTTTTGGTTATTGCTGCTAAATTCTCATAATTTTATGTTATATGTTAAAATACTTTTTCAAGTGGAACTATAAAATCTTTTTAAGTGTGTTACGCTGAAATTTCTGAAACGGTTAGTTGTAAATGTTTAGATGATGAGATTGTAACAAAATCTAATTAATTATTAAAAATTAAATGAATAAATTAAATTTAGTATCACAAAATGCCTAATACAAGTTTAATATTAGAATTACATCATACCGTAAACCGTAACCTAAAACGTTATGATCAACTCATTTTTTAATCATGTGCTTTGAGAATTTCTTGTCCAACTTAATATAGTTAAAAATTTAAATGTTGATTCGGAGTGGTGGAATGAACCATATATTATTTGACAGCTTCCTAAATATTACTCGTTCCATCTTAGACTGTTATTTTGTATATATATTTTTTTGCCACTTACATTAAGATAGCTTGGAAGTGACGTTTCCATATGTCCAAGATGTTAGACTTGGCAATGTCAACTGCCTACTTTTTGACTTCATAAGAGCAGAAGGAGTTCCTAGTAAAATATGTAAAGACTTTTTGGTTGTCCTTAAGTTTTTGTTTTGTTTAGAAGTGAGAAGCAGTTAAGTCCAGAATCGAGAATGGAGACTCGTAACAAGCTTCTGCTACTCGCTTGTGCCACTTTCTCCATTATATCCTTCGTTAAGTCTCAAAATCAACAAGGTATTTTTATTGTCTTTTACACAATTTTTAATCTAATAAACACACAAGAAATCTTGTTCGGATAGTTTACAATCTTGTTTTACCAGGATTCATCAGTTTGGACTGTGGATTACCTTCTAATGAATCTCCTTATAACGAACCATTGACCAATTTAACATACATATCTGATGTCAATTTCATCCGAGGAGGAAAAACTGGTAATATCAAAATTAGCGCAGAGACAGACCTTGTCGGGAAGCCATTCAAGGTTTTGAGATACTTCCCGGATGGAACTAGAAACTGCTACAGTTTGAGTGTGAAGCAAGGCACAAAGTATCTAATCAGGACTATGTTTTTATACGGAAACTATGACGGTCTTAATACTTCTCCAAGATTCGACCTATATCTCGGTCCTAATATTTGGAAAAGCGTAGATGTGCTAATATCTGGCATAGGTGATGGAGTTGTCGAGGAGATCATTCACATCACCAAGTCAGACATCTTGGAGATATGTCTCGTCAAAACTGGGACGAGTACACCAATGATATCAGCCATAGAGTTGAGACCCTTGCGATATGATACTTATACTACTCGAACCGGTTCCTTGATGAATATTGCGCACCTCTACTTCCTTAATTCAGACAAGATAATACGGTATGTCAACAACATAAGACTCTTCTATAAAATAACCATGTGTGTTTTTTTTGTTTTTTTGGGCTTATTGATATTTACATCAGTGTTGGCTTATTGGTATAAAGTAATTAATAATTTGGTTGTGGCAGCTATCCAAAAGATGTCTATGATCGTGTTTGGACTCCATACTTACAACAGGAATGGACTCATATAAACACAACCTTGAATGTAAGTGGCTCTCCTGATGGCTATGACGCGCCACGAGATGTAATTACGACCGCTGCCATACCCACTAATGTCAGCGAACCATTTTCCTTTACCTGGAATTTGGAAGCCTCTGATGACGAAACGTATATTTACCTTTACTTCGCCGAGATCCAAAGATTGCAACCCAACGAAACTAGGGAATTCGAAATTGCGGCCAATGGTAAAGTTTACATTTCTTATAGTCCTATGAACTTTGAAGAAGACACTTTATTTAACCCTGCACCGCTGAAATGCGAGGGAGGGGTATGTCTTCTGAAGCTGTCAAAAACGCCCAAATCGAATCTACCACCTCTACTGAATGCTATAGAGCTTTTTAGCGTCATACAATTTCCACAATCAGAGACGAATAGAGATGATGGTATATTGTAGCCGTATAGTTTTATGCATGTATATATAAAACGTATAAGTTCTGTTCTTCCACATGTTTAATTTTTTATTTTATTTTTTGCTCGTACATTGGTCAGTCAATGCTATCAAGAACATTCAATCTACTTATCAGTTGAGTCGAATCAGCTGGCAGGGTGATCCATGTGTCCCTAAACAGTTTTCATGGAATGGTTTAAGCTGCAACGTTATTGATATCTCCACTCCACCAAGAATCATAGCGTTGTAAGGAAATTCATATTATTCATTGTTATTAAACTAAATGCATCTTTATGTGATATGTCTTTGCGGTCATGCAAAACAGAGATCTATCTTCAAGTGGATTAACTGGAGTTATACCGCCTAGCATACAAAATCTAAGTCTGCTTCGAGAATTGTAGGTATCTACGTACATGATTGAACGAAAGGAAAAAAAGAAACTCTATATGGATTGCTACGTTAACATCTATCGCTTGGAAAATTTTAGGGATTTATCAAATAACAACTTGACTGGAGAGGTGCCTGAATTTCTAGCCAAGATGAAATCGTTGTTGGTCATGTAAGTTATCTAAAACCTATTGTGTTGTCTACATTAGTTTCTTATGATTTCTCCACATACATATACAGAAACTTTAGAGGAAACAATCTTAGAGGTTTTGTTCCTCAAGCCCTTCTGGAAAGAGAAAAAGATGGATTAAAGCTATAGTAAGATTCTGCTTTGAGACGATCTTATTTAATTTTGATTACTAATCCACTCTCGTTTGATAATTTATTTCTTCAATAACGTTTTCACTCTTTAGTGTCGATGAAAATAATAAGCCGCGTGGATCAAGCGAACCAAGATCCCGACTGGTGGCGATTGTTGCTGCGTCTATATCTTCTGCGGCAGTTGTTATTATCGTGTTGGTTCTCATCTTCATTTTCAGAAGGAGAAGGTCATCAACTCGCAAAGGTAGTTAATATAAATATATATGATCCTACTGAAGTATGCAATCTCAATCTATACAATTATTTTCTGCAGTTATGCGCCCATCACTTGAAATGAAAAATAGAAGATTTACGTATTCAGAGGTCAAAGAAATGACTAGTAACTTCAAAGTTGTTCTCGGTAAAGGAGGCTTTGGTATTGTTTATCATGGTTTCCTCAATAATGAGCAAGTAGCTGTCAAAGTTCTCTCTCAATCATCAACTCAAGGCTACAAGGAATTCAAAACAGAAGTACTTAATTACACTACAATCTTCTACTTTTTTTTGGACAATCTTAAGCTCATGAATTATACCATATTGTTGATTGTTAGGTCGAACTACTTCTTAGAGTTCACCACGTGAATTTAGTAAGCCTCGTCGGATACTGTGATGAAGGAAATGACTTGGCTCTCATCTACGAGTTCATGGAATACGGAAACTTAAGGGAACATCTCTCAGGTACCATTAGAGTATGATACACAGATATTTTAGGCTTTTAAAATTTTCTAATGATTTATGTCCCATATTGTGAATTTTGACAGGAAAACGTGGTGGCTCTGTTTTGAACTGGTCGGGTAGACTTAAGATAACTATTGAGTCTGCGCTAGGTATGTATAATTTTTGTTACTTTTTCCTCAATTATATTTGATATTTCCATATGCCTTCTAAAATTCATATTTTAGTGATATATAGTTAACATATGAAGATTTTATGTACTAGGAATTGAATATTTGCATATTGGATGTAAGCCGCCAATGGTTCATAGAGATGTGAAAAGTACCAATATACTGCTAGGTCGACAATTTGAAGCTAAACTCGCTGATTTCGGACTTTCGAGATCTTTTCTAGTGGGGAGTCAAACTCATGTATCAACAAATGTTGCGGGAACTCTTGGATACCTTGATCCTGAGTAAGTTTTAGTTCATATCACATTTTAGTCGTCAAGTTGTTTAGTATGGAAAATTCAAATATCTTCAATTACTTATCTTGCAGATACTACAAAAAGAATTGGTTAACAGAGAAGAGTGATGTTTATAGCTTTGGGATTGTGTTACTAGAGATAATCACTGGCCAACACGTGATCGAACAATCGCGTGATAAGTCTTACATTGTAGAATGGGCAATATCTATGATATCAAATGGTGATATTGAAAGTATTATGGACCCGAATCTCCATCAAGATTACGACACAGGTTCATCTTGGAAAGCTCTTGAGTTAGCGATGTCGTGCATTAACCCTTGTTCCACAGAGAGGCCAAACATGACTCGGGTTGCTCATGAACTAAATGAGTGTTTGGAAATATATGAGAACTTAAGAAAACGAAGGAGCCAAGGTTCAAATTCAACAAAGTCCTTGGTAGACAGCATAACTTCCATCAGTGATACTCCTTCAGCTCGTTAGTCTTTTTATCTTTATATTTCTCTTCGAAAGACACTCTCCAAAGGTTGTAGTCAAATCTTTAAATGTGCTTATGTTTAAAACTTCATCCCATGCTACGGAATTAACTCTCATTTGAATTACGTTCATGATTATACCTAAATGTTAAGTTGTGGATGCTTATCTTGCCACATATTGTATTGTACCTTAGGTTTTTACGTATTTTGCATCAGATAAATAAATATTATTTCTCCATTGGAAAACAAAATTATCAAAACTAATTTTCTTTTTGTTTTTATAAGAGAGGGATCCTTCAAAATAAATAAAAGGAAAATTGAAAAAGACAATAAAAGGAAAAAAGGAGAATGACATGGCTTGGACTTAAGAAAAAGAAAAAAAAAAAGGAAAAAAAAGAAAGGTTACATGGCATATGTGACTGAACGTTTTTGTCGAAGTTCGTGTGTGGTAAAAAAGGCCGCACGATCCGACAGAGAGAACACGTGTCCGAATCAGGGGGGGAGTGGTGGGTGACCCAACAAGGGGAGAAGAAGAACAGGTCTTCAGGGTGGGGTTTACTGGTTATAGCCGGTTATTCGCTCTTCTTCTTTCTTTCTTTCGGACACGTCCTCCTCTGTTGTTACTACTACTCGTTCGTTATAAGACCAGGGGTTTAAGCCCTTCTTCTCCTTCCGTAGTTTCTTTCTCTTTTCTTCCTTTCCCACATTACAGGGGTTTTTCATTTTCCTTCCCACCAAGAAAAACATAAAAACACAAAAACACAAAAACAGAGACTTTTCTTTTTTGGTTTTGATGTGAAAATTGAAAACGAAAACATTTTTATTTCAGTCTGCTGATTCTTCTTGTTTCTCTGATCCTCGTGCATTTGCCTTGTTTCTCGAAAAGGTGAGAATTTTTTGATGTTTTCTTGGATCTGCTATTCGAATTGCGGTGAATCCTGTTTCTAGAACCTGAATAAAAGGAAGGATTTTTATTTAACGTGGGTTTCGATGTGTTTCCTAAGAACCATAACTGTGTTTGGTTTCATGAATTTAATGTTTAGGTTTTCATTTATTTTTCTTGCCAATTAGATATTCTGGTCTGAGTTCTTGCTCTGTTTCTTTTTCTTTCTTTACAATCATTAATTAATCAAGTGAGGCTTTTAATCTTGGCAAGTAGAAAATTATTGGGTTCTAGCGAGGTTTAACTTAAAAGAGATATCTCTCAGGATGATATAAATAGATCTGTTGGAAAATTCTAATACATTGTTGGACTCGTTAACATAGTTTTGTTTTCCTGCAGGTGATCTTGTAATCCGTGAAGATGCCTTCCTTTTGCTGAATGTCTGAAATGTTCTTCGAATCATGGTGTTGCAAAAGAGGCTCGATTATGGATTCAATGGCTACGAGGTGCCTCACACACCTCGAGCTGCTAGATCACCAAGAGTAAATAAAAGAGATTTCTTCACTTTTGTGTTTCTCATAACGGTTTCATGTTCCAATCTTCCCCTCCTCTGATATGTATGTTTTGTGTTTTGTCTAGAAGAGTGCTTTCAAGAAGAAAAGCGAAAACCATCAAATATCGTCGTTCGATCTGTTGGCTGCAGTAGCTGGAAAACTGCTTCTTGAAGGTGGGAATTCTTCTTCCTCAAGTAACAACGCATCTGGTAATAATGACGATCAGTGTGCAGTTAAGACAGAACAGCTTAACGGCGGCGACCTAATGGTTGAAGAAGAGACTACTAATTGTGATCATAATAATAATAATCCTGAAAGAAGCTTTTTTGTCTCTGAGATCCTTCCAAAATCTCATGAAACTCAGAGTTTTAATAGATCTCCAAGTCCCCTTACAGAGTTCCATTTTGGATCTTCTTCTGGTATAACCTCTGATTCTTCTGAGAAGTTTGAAACTCAAGGATTGGTGTATGAGGACACCAAGATCGACAATAGTGATCATTGCTATAGGTCAGAGTGTAACGATAAGAAACCAATGTTTGGGGGGCTAAATTTTGAAGCAAAGTTATCAAGGAATGTTTTAGCCAAGGATGAGAATCATATAGGTAGTGGATTCAGGAAACCAATTCCTCAAAATCCTTCAGCATGCTCTGATGATATAGATTTACATGGTAAGGGAAATGATGATGACGAAAACTTCTCAGCCCGTTACAGAACAAAATCATTTAGGTCAACTCTGCGTATTGGAGATAGAAGAATAAGGAAAGTTTTGGCTTCAAAGTATTGTAAAGTCTCTCCAAAGCCAAGAGATACAACGGTAACTAGTTCAGGTGAACATATATATGGACCATTTGTGGGCTACTAGTTATATGTTCTTTTAAAGATGTCTTGGTTTACTTATGGCCTTATCAATGAAAATGTTTAGACTTGGACATGAAGCATGATTACTACAGCAAGAAACATTGTCTCAAAAGCCTAAGATCAGAGAGGAACTTTCCTATTAAAAAAAGAAGATACTTTGATGGTTATACAGCATCACAATCCGAAGAAACTGCTAAAACTGATGGCCTTTCTGGTTCACCTCGAAAGGGTATTACCAAAAGCTAGTCATTTGAACTTCAACGTCAAAACCACGTTATGATTAACTCTGAGCATTGTTCTCTGCAGCTTCAGGTTTTCTATCTTCCATAGCTTGCCAGAAGCAGCCAGCGTTGCAATCAAGAGATTCTCACGGTAAATGTTTTTATGAAGCTTTTCATGTTCTTATCAGTTATCACTCATGAGATTTGTAATTTGATTGAGTTCATTTTTCTTTGCCGTGCTTAGTGAAACTTGGAATTAAGTCATTTAGAGTTCCTGAACTTTTCATTGAGATTCCAGAGACAGCAACTGTTGGTTCACTAAAGGTTTGGATCTTTGACTTAGAAATTTCTGAAAGGGTCATTCATGTGTCCGGTGATAATGATGAAAATTTACTTCCTCTTCTCTAGAGGACAGTCTTGGAAGCTGTGACCTCGATACTTGGAGGTGGATTACGCATAGGTGTTCTTGCTCATGGGAAAAAGGTTAGAGACGACAGTAAAATGCTGCTTCAGAGTGGACTCTCTTTAGACACTCTTTCAGATACTTTAGGGTTTTGTTTTGAGCCCAATCCTCCACAATCCACTAAACCACTACCTCCTGAAGATAATTCTGACTCTGTGCGTCCCTGTAATGTACCTAACACTTTACCAAGGTCAGTGTCACTCCAGAGATCAGTGTTTGCTTCTTTTTTCTTTGGTGTAGAAAATAATTATGTTGCTGATGTTTTTCGGAACTTGTGTGGATCACACTAGGTGTCTCCCATCACCGGGGAAGCATGCTAAACCGAGTAATTCTGTAGAAAGTGACCTTGACTCCAAACCCTCTGCACCAAATAGGGCTAAAACCATATACTCCAGAGCCCTGATTCCAGTCCCTCCTCTGCATGCTCAGGCTTTGACCGTAGTCCCACCTCGGAAAACCAAGCGATCTGAGGTGGCACAGCGCAGAATCCGTAGACCTTTCTCTGTTGCAGAAGTAGAGGCCCTTGTTCAAGCTGTGGAGAGACTTGGCACCGGAAGGTAACTAAAATGTTTTATGTTAGACCAAAAGTATAAGACTTAATTTCCATCAGTACTTAGGTCCATGATAATTCTAATATTCCTGGGCACATCTATCTGCAGGTGGCGTGATGTAAAGTTGCGAGCTTTTGATAATGCTAAGCACCGGACTTACGTTGATTTGAAGGTAGATGAAAACCTCTCCTTTTACAACTCAGTCCCTTCACCAGGTAGGTGCAGTAATGAGGTATACTTTGATTGTGCAAGAAGTAACATGGGTTTGATGTGAATAATAAATAGGACAAATGGAAGACGCTGGTGCACACGGCAAGAATCTCACCGCAACAAAGGAGAGGTGAGCCGGTTCCACAGGAGCTCTTAGACAGGGTACTAACGGCTCATGCCTACTGGTCCCAGCAACAGGGGAAACACCAGTTGCTAGAAGGACCCCATAAACTCGAGACCAGTCTTGGTCTATAGACCGGGTAACAACAAATGTTATCTTTGCGACGTGAAAAATGAACGTTAGCGGGATGAACCTGGAATATTTTTTTTTCCTTCATATATACATTCTTTTGTTTGTTTGTTTATTTGTTTTGTTATGTTATGTATTTGAGGAGATTCAAATGTAAAAAAAAAAGGGAAATGGATTGTGATGAAGAAGAAGATAGAGATGAAGATATGTGAAGTCTGATGTAATTGTCACACAGCGTTGTTATAATAAGAGGTTTCTTCCTGAGATCTTTCTGGTGTATTGTTTTTATTTTTATGAAGAATCCGCACAAAGAGTGTCTCGCAAGCTATTCGTAATTATGAGTTTGTCAGCAAATCGCTCGTATGTATATCATGAAAATTCAAAAATCATCTAACTTTGAAACTTGTTAGATTAATAATAGAGATACTATTAGGATGTGGAGAAACAGAGATATATGCTGATCAGTCCCTAAGTTGTAACTTCTTAGGAAGGTTACATTTGGAAGGATGGAACAAGAGATATAGCTCTGTGATATATACAAAACAAATGGGGACTTGAGACAAGATTCCTTGACAAACAAAAAAAGGTTGAGTTGATAAGAAGAAATGGAACAAAACATACGTACCAATAATTATTCACTTTGGCCTTTTGTGGTAATAGCTATGCGACTTTTCTCAATGGCTAACACACACTTTTTTGGACAGTACTTACAGAGAAAGAAAGAGTATATATGGTGGAAGATTCTTTAGGATCTTATCGATCAATGGAGATATATAATTGGAGATGTCACTTTCCTTGTTACAGATCTTTATCAAAAAAGTCGACACCTATATGCGTTATATATGTTTTGATAGCATCGTTGTTTTTGCGGGTTAGAAAAAGTGTTTTTTATTTTTTGTTGGATGTGTTCATGCATGTGGCTACGATTAGGCCAATGTTAAAGGACAGTGAGATCTAATAACTATATAAAGCTTAAATATAAGAATATCAACTATTCATTTCCGATAATGTCATTTTTTATGAATCTCTTATGATCGATCAGTTATTATTGTCTAATTTTCGTATGAGATTATTTAAAATTTGTCACTTCATAGTTCCTACGTCCGACTAGTATTTGTTGTCCAAGTTGTTCATTGATTATTAGGCATTACTACAATAAATAGAACGATTCAAGTCTTTAAGTAAGTTTCAAGATTGGAGAAACGGTCAATGAACCCGAAAGCAACAAGAGAGTAGCCCACCAACGAAGGCCGTCAATCATCAATCATACATCCAAAGAGACGGACCTTTCTGGCTTCGTCTGTCGTCATTGGCTCGATCCTCTTCATAAGACACAATTTCAATTTCGTCTTGGGTGTTTGTTTTTCTCTGTTTTTGTTTGCTCTCTTGTTTCTTTTCTTCCAAGTTTTTATTTATTTATTTATATATTCCTTGTAATAAATAAGATGATGGGAATTAACTTTTTACTTTTCGACATAAACCGGTCAACCAAAGAACAGTGGGTAGGTACTGAGTTGAATTTTTAAAATTGGGAAAAGAAAGTTGAATGATTAATTTTCCATCTACATAAAATCTCTATAAATTAATAATGTTGGGACCATGAAAATCTATTAATTTATAGAGGTATTAATTTATCGATAAATTAATAATTATTAATTTATAAAGAGATATTCCTAATTTGGAAAATATTTAAGACAATATTTAAAAATAAGATTTAATCATGATAATTAGTATTTTATATAATCAATTAAAAATAAAATAAAAATTATTATGTATTAAAAGATAATGCTAACTATTTTTCATATAGTAAAATATTATAAATAAAATATAACAAAAACTAATGTGTCTATATATACATATATTTTGAAAATTTTACCTAATTATTAATTTATAATATTGATGGGACTATATATCTACAAAGGATTTTCAAAAAAATTATTATCTTATTATTTTATCGAAATATGTCTAAAATTACACTGGTCCCAAGTTGGGACCTGGGAAATTTATTAATTTATAGAGATTATTAATTTATCGAGTATTAATTTATAGAGGTTTTACTGTATTAAGAATTATCAATTTACAAATATTTGCTGTGATCTTTATGATCAGTTCCATATTTAACACTTATTACGTTATCTTTCTATGAAAGTATATGTATATTATTTTCATATTATATTTAAACACTTATTACGTTATCTTTCTATGAAAGTATATGTATATTATTTTCATAAAAATATATGTATATTATTTTCATAATATAATTTAAACAATCTTTTTGTAGTAATAGTAAAAAAGAATTACTGCATATTGTCCGGAACCGGAAAGATTCCTTTCAGACACTTAAATTATAAGAGGGAAAAAAATAAAAAGGAAAATTCCATAAAAATTCCCCATCTAATTTTAATTTGAAAGTTAATACCTAATGTTATTTGATTGGAAATAAAATGCATGGTTTATTAAATTTTGGTCTATTAATACATTAACTATATAAAAATTGTCGTATCGAATAAACCGCTTAATCGGATTGACGGAATCACTAAACCGAGGTTGACGAAATCACTAATCCCTAAACACACGGGTAATTTGGGGTTATCCAAAGGCTACATTGTCTTTTGCTATTACCTCAAATCGAATTGGGATCGATAAACCCTAAGTTTAGTGTAATTTTATTAACCCCGGTTTAGTGATTCCGTCAATCCGATTATCGGTTCTTAAGCGGTTTATTCGATTCAACAATTTTTATATACTTGATATATTAATAGACAACAAATTAATAAACCATGCATTTTGTTTCCAATCAAATAACATTGGGTATTAAACTTTCAAATTAAAATTAGATAGGGAAATTTTATGGAATTTATAAAAAAAAGGCCAAATACTTATTTTATCTTATCTATCGAGTGAAAAAACAATTAAATTAGTTCTTATCTCTCTCTCTCTCGTTTGCTTCTTCTTCTTCTTCTCTCTAGTCTCTCTCTGTCTCTCTAGACCACACCACGTACACAGGCTCTTCCTTGTCATCTTGTTGCCGAATCTCTCAATCGTTCCCACTACTAGGTTTTGCTCTCTTCTCTCTAATCTCCCTCCTTTTTTCTTTTCTACTCTCTTCTCTTTTCTCATCTCCGGTGGTCTGGTTTTGGGTGATTGATCAGGTATAAAGTTTCGTCCTTTACTTGATTTTTACGACTTTGGATTTTGGGTTTTGATTTCTGGAGAACATAAGCTCTTGTTCGATCCATGGGCTCTTATCCGGATGGGTTCCCTGGATCCATGGACGATTTCACTAGCGAGTTTGATTTGCCTGCCTCGAACAATACCATAGGTTTAGCTAATGGATTCTATCTAGATGAGCCTTTCTTAGATTTCGTATCCATGGACCCTCCTCCGCAGTCATATCCCCAGAACGACGACAAAGCTGCAACAGGAGATCTGTTATCATCTCCGTCTGATGATGCTGATTTCTCGGATTCGGTTTTGAAGTATATAAGCCAAGTGCTTATGGAGGAGGACATGGAAGAGAAGCCTTGTATGTTTCATGACGCCTTGGCTCTTCAAGCTGCTGAGAAATCTCTCTATGAGGCCCTTGGCGAGAAATACCCTTCTTCTGTGGACCATCCTGAGAAATTGCTTAACGATAGCCCCGACGGTTCTTTTTCTGGTGGTGCCTTTAGTGACTACGCTAGCACCACCACTACCACTTCCTCTGATTCACACTGGAGTGTCGATGGTTTAGAGAGTAGATCTTCTTGGTTGCAGACACCCATGCCGAGTAATTTTGTTTTCCAGTCCACTTCTAGATCTAACAGTGTCACCAGTGGTGGTGGTAATAGTGCGGTTTTCAGGTCAGGTTTTGGCGATGATTTGGTTTCGAATATGTTTAAAGATAGTGATTTAGCTATGCAGTTCAAGAGAGGGGTGGAGGAAGCGAGTAAGTTTCTTCCCAAATCTTCTCAGCTCTTTATCGATGTGGATAGTTACATCCCCAGAGACTCAGGTTCCAAGGAAAATGGTTCTGAGGTTTTTGTCAAGACAGAGAAGAAGGATGAGACAGAACATCATAGCTCTGCTCCTCCCCCAAACAGATTGACTGGAAAGAAAACTCATTGGCGTGACGATGATGAAGATTCTGTTGAAGAAAGAAGTAACAAGCAATCAGCTGTTTATGTTGAGGAAAGCGAGCTTTCTGAAATGTTTGATAAGATCTTGGTATGTAGCACTGGGAAACCCGTATGCATTCTTGACCAGAAGTTTCCAGCAAAAGTTGAGACGACACAGCAAGTTGGGGTGCAGTCAAATGGAGCAAAGATTCGTGGGAAGAAATCAAATGCTACTAGTCAAAGTAACGATGCTAAGAAAGAAACTGCTGACTTGAGGACTCTTTTGGTGTTATGTGCACAAGCTGTATCAGTGGATGATCGTAGAACCGCCAACGAAATGCTGAGACAGATACGGGAGCATTCTTCGCCTCTAGGCAACGGGTCCGAGAGATTGGCTCATTATTTTGCAAATAGTCTTGAAGCACGCTTAGCTGGGACCGGTACACAGATATACACTGCTTTATCTTCAAAGAAAACATCTGCAGCAGATATGTTGAAGGCTTACCAGACATACATGTTGGTCTGTCCGTTCAAAAAAGCTGCTATCATATTTGCTAACCACAGCATGATGCGTTTCACTGAAAACGCCAACACCATCCACATAATAGATTTCGGTATATCTTACGGTTTTCAGTGGCCTGCTCTGATTCATCGCCTCTCGCTCAGACCTGGTGGTTCACCTAAGCTACGGATTACCGGTATAGAGCTTCCTCAACGCGGTTTTAGACCAGCGGAAGGAGTTCAGGAAACGGGTCATCGCTTGGCTCGATACTGTCAGCGACACAATGTTCCGTTTGAGTACAACGCAATTGCTCAGAAATGGGAAACAATCAAAGTCGAAGACTTAAAGCTTCGACAAGGAGAGTATGTAGTTGTGAACTCTTTGTTCCGTTTCAAGAACCTTCTAGATGAGACCGTTCTGGTAAACAGCCCAAGAGATGCGGTTTTGAAGCTGATAAGAAAAGTGAACCCAAACGTCTTCATCCCGGCGATCCTAAGCGGAAATTACAACGCGCCATTCTTTGTCACGAGGTTCAGAGAAGCGTTGTTTCATTACTCGGCTGTGTTTGATATGTGTGACTCGAAGCTAGCGAGGGAAAACGAGATGAGGCTGATGTTTGAGAAAGAGTTTTATGGGAGAGAGATTATTAATGTCGTGGCTTGTGAAGGAACGGAGAGAGTAGAGAGACCAGAGACGTATAAGCAGTGGCAGGCGAGATTGGTCCGAGCCGGATTTAGACAGCTTCCGCTTGATAAGGAACTGATGCAAAATCTGAAGTTGAAAATTGATAACGGGTACGATAAAAACTTTGATGTAGATCAAAACAGTAATTGGTTGCTTCAAGGTTGGAAAGGTAGAATCGTGTATGCTTCATCTGTATGGGTTCCTTCTTCGTAGATGTTCTTTCTTGCTTTCTAAGCGACTGGGTTCTTCTATCTAGGGCTTTTTTCTGTTGATAGTCTCTCTCGCCAACACGAGTGGATTAAGTTCAGAGTTAGGTTCTTGGACACTAGGGTATTTTGTTATATATACTTGTGACATAGCGTGTGTGTGTGTGTGTGTGTAAGAGTATAACATATATGAGATATAGTAGTACTCACAACATAAGCTTTTGCTATATGTTTCATGTAATCTTTTGCTGAATAAAGAATGAAATGTTACATTTTTTTCAAAGTCTTGTTTTACAAAGTTCGACTGCATCAGGCTCGCAGACTGCGACGTGTCTCGTACATGATGTTTGGTTAAAGTTGAACAATTATTAACTAAACAAAAAACATAATCTCAAAAATCAAAGAAAATAATCAAATCCAATGAGCTTTTCCTCACTACAGTTTTTTTTGTTTTGGCTAACAGCTCGTTTGAATAATTTATTTAGGTACGGGAAAAAGTATAGGCACTCAAACGTGACACCCACTCAAATTCAAGTTTTTTTCTTTCTGACTACATCCATGTATATTATTTAATGTAATGTATCTATCTTTTCATGTACGAGTACAATTATTATTGTATAGATGGTGAGAATCTCACAGTATATATGTCAGAATGACATTGTGAGTGAGATCAGATCTGGAGGGGTCCTTTCCTTTTTCTTGTGTTTTGTTTATTGCCTTTGTTATTCATCGGCAACTTATATTACAAAAATAATAAATCGTACTGGTCAAATAATCAACTCCACCTATCAGCAACCTTTATCAATCTTGATCACCAAGTTTTTACATTAGGAAACTTTTTTTTTTTTTTTTGTCAACTTGAAACATTTGGAATCAAAGTAATATATATATATATATATCTTTCGTGCGAGAACACTTTTGACTTTACATCAAATTAATAATCATAAAACAGGAGTTGATGATGATCAAGTACATATTGGACAATAGATTTATATATATAGAAATTTGTTTTAGAGTTGCTATCATGTCATATAAATATATTAATATGGGTTTGGAACCTGATTGATATTGTGCATTTATAATTGGGAAATTGCAACTACAAAACATTGAAAACATCAGTTCTATGATTCACATAATTATAACTTAATGGTGTGTACATACACGATTTGTACGGTTTGACCTCAACTACTAAAAGAAAATATATCTAAGTACATAACCCAAATTAGAACTATTTTTAAAACACTATACACTTACAAAAAAAAAAGAAGGAAATTTAAATATCCTAAATGCGTCGACATATTCAGTTTTGAAATCTTGTCAACGAGTACTTTCTTAATGCAAACACAAAATAAATAAATTATCGACAATCGTAAACGTACGATTTAGTTATTTACGTTCACAAAAATATGGATCATATGATATAACATATCACATATGGATTGTACAATGTAATGAGGGGAATTAGGAGACAAACACTTGTAGTAACTACTATGAAAAGAATATATATTCCTCGACCACTACTAGTCATCATAAAATTGGTAACTTGTTCGTCGTGATTAACATGACATGACGATCAACTACTAGTGTTTTTTTTATATCAAGAAAAACATGGGCCTGTTGGGCCCATGACTGACAAAACACTGAATAAATGGACAAGTCAAAAGAGAGAGAGAGAAAGTGGAGACCTCCTCGGACGAATCGCAAGACTGGTCTTGTGTCCCCCTTTTGAGTTTCCCGGGAAACTTCCTCCTCTTCCTTTTATCTCGTTAATCTCTCTACTTGCTTCTGCTCTCACGCATAGGCATATTTGCATATTCTTCACCAACCTGTCCTTAAAAAAGTTTCATCCTTTTTAACTTAATAAACATCTTAAAAAGTTGTTGCCTTTTTCTTTTCTTTTCCTACTCTTCCCACTTCTTCTTCAGATGTAAGCAATGTTGTTCCGATTTCTCCTCATCTGATTCATAATTTTCGTTGCTTAATCTTTTTGTAAAGTTCTGTGCTTTCTCTCTCTTGAAAGAGGTATCAAATTCAGTGAATTAAGGTTTTTGAATTCAAAATAAAAAGTTTCTCTCTTTCTTTCTTTTTGTTTGTTTGGATGATGGACTCCAAAAATTACTCTAGGGTGGTCAACGGTTTCGAGTATTACGATGTGAGTTTCTTACCAAATCAGATTCCTGGTTCTGGTTTCGGTGTTCCTTCTTCCAGTGATTTCGATCTCCGTATTGATCAATACCACCAACCTTCGAATTGGGTTCCAGCATCACTAGATCAATACTCTCCTCCAGCTGATGAGATTGATTCTGAAAACACCCTTTTGAAATATGTAAACCAGCTTCTTATGGAAGAGACTCTCGCGGAGAAGCAATCTATGTCCTACGATTCCTTGGCTCTGCGACAGACCGAAGAGATGTTGCAGCAAGTGATCAACGACTCGCACACTCAGTCTCATCTTCCTGATTCCATTACTAGTAGTAGTAGTAATAGTAGTGGTGATTATTGGAACAGTAGTAACAGCAATTCTAGTGTCAGCATCGAAACAGCAGCTAACTCTACAGAGGCTGAAGTGTTGTATGATAACCATCTTGGTGATTCAGGTGTTGTGTCGTTTTCAGGGTCAACCATGTTGCAAGCCGGGAAGCCAGCGAACGAGGTTCTTGTCAGGAGTATGTTTAGCGATGCAGATTCAGTTATGCAGTTTCAGAGAGGGCTAGAGGAAGCAAGCAAGTTTCTTCCTAATACTGATAAGTGGATCTTTAATCTTGAGCCTGAGAAAGGAAGAGTTGTTCAGGTGAAAAAAGAGAGAGATTGGTCCGGCATCTCTAAAACTAGGAAGAGTCATCACGCGCGGGAAGAAGAAGATGATGATCTAGAGGAAACTAGGAGCAGCAAGCAATATGCAGTGGATGTGGAAGACGGGAAGTTAACAGAAATGTTTGATAAGGTTTTGCTTTTTGATGGCGAATGCGATCCGCAGATTAAAGAAGATGGCGAGAATGGTTCAAGCAAGGTTCAGGCTAAGAAAGGAGGCGGCCGGGTTAAAAAGAAGAGTCAAGCGGTTGATTTCCGCACACTTCTAACACTTTGCGCACAGTCAGTTTCTGCAGGGGATAAGATTACAGCTGATGATTTACTGAGGCAGATAAGGAAGCAAAGTTCACCTCTTGGTGATGCATCTCAGAGAGTAGCTCATTTCTTCGCTAATGCGCTTGAGGCCCGTCTTCAAGGAAGCTCAGGAACTATGATCCAGAGTTATTACGATTCCATTACCTCTAAGAAACGAACAGCTGCACAGATTCTTAAATCCTACGAGGTATTCTTGTCTGCATCTCCGTTTATGACTTTGATATATTTCTTCTCCAACAAGATGATTCTTGATGCTGCCAAGGGTGCTTCGGTTCTTCATATAATCGATTTCGGGATCCTTTACGGTTTCCAGTGGCCAATGTTTATACAGCACTTAGGAAAGAGCAAAATTGGGCTACGGAAACTACGGATTACTGGCATTGAGCTGCCGCAGCACGGGTTTCGACCAACCGAAAGGATACAGGATACGGGTCGAAGACTCACGGAGTATTGTAAACGGTTTGGTATTCCGTTTGAATACAATGCTATTGCATCTAAGAACTGGGAAACAATCCGGATAGAGGAGTTCAAGATCCGACCAAACGAAGTTCTTGCGGTTAATACAGTTCTCCGGTTCAAGAACCTCCGGGATGTGACTCCAGGCGAAGAGGATTGTCCGAGGGACGGATTCCTAAAACTAATCAGAGACATGAACCCAAACGTTTTCCTCAGCTCAACGATTAACGGATCTTTCAACGCTCCATTCTTCACCACACGGTTCAAAGAAGCTCTGTTTCACTACTCGGCGTTGTTTGACTTGTTTGGCGCGGCTCTGTCGCGAGAAAACCCGGAGAGGATACACTTCGAAGGGGAATTTTATGGGAGAGAAGTGATGAACGTGATAGCTTGTGAAGGTGTAGATAGAGTCGAGAGACCAGAGACTTACAAGCAATGGCAAGTAAGGATGGTAAGGGCTGGATTTAAGCAAAAGCCTGTGGAGGCAGAGCTTGTGGAGTCATTTAGGAAGAAAATGAAGAAATGGGGTTATCATAAAGATTTTGTCCTTGATGAAGATAGTAATTGGTTCTTACAAGGTTGGAAAGGTCGCATCCTATTCTCTTCTTCCTGTTGGGTCCCTTCTTAGCTTTTCTGTTCGTTCATTAAAGATTGTCTTGTAATCCCAAGTTCTGTTTTATTTTTTCTTCTGGAGGCAGAGCTTGTGGACTTTTGTTTTGTGTACTTGATTTTCTTTACTTTTGCTGTATACAATGACATTTATACTGTGATGAAAGTAAAACACTTTACAGAGTAATTATTTTCATATTGGAACCTTTCAAATGATTCAAATTGATAGAGCTACGTAAAATTGATAACAATCCCTCCGTCACGGAAGATACAGAACCGTGTTTTGTTATTGCAATGAGCTTCGATTAAATTTACAATGAGTAGTAATATAACTCTGGGTGCCCAACATCTACGTAGGAACTACTTGTGGCTCAAGTGGCGGAACTCCATCACCCTCCACAGGCTTCACCGTGACAGACTCCTTCTGGCTCTCCTCCGTCTCTTCAAATCCAGATTTAAACCTGTCATAGTTCGTCGTCTCACCCGTCTTAAACGGACGCTCACCCAAAACTTTAGCGAGATCATCCTGATGCAAAACTTCCTTCTCTAGCAAGAGCTCAGCGATCTGAGCCACTTGCTCTTTGTGTTCCTCAATCAGCTCTACTGTTCGCTTGTAAGCTTTGCCAACCCATTCTCGGACCTCTTCGTCTATCATTGCACCGGTTCTGTTGCTGTACGGTTTGGAAAACTCGTCTTCCCGTTGCGGGAAAGAAAGCAATCCTATCTTGTCACTGAATCCGTACACAGCAACTTGCGCGTATGTCATCTTGGTCACCTTCTCCAGATCGTTCTGAGCCCCGGTCGATATTCTTCCTATCAATACCTGAAATCAAGACCCACCAAAACACAGGATTCACAGCTTAGAAAACAAATTTCAGAAACTTTAAGACCACTCTAATGAGAATTCTTGACCTCTATACCAGGATATTAAAGTGACCTTTGAGCTTTTATTTTTTGCTTTTGAGTTGGTTTGGTACATTTGATTATTTGCAATAAAGAGAGCATTTTGGGATGTCCCTATTTTTGATCCTTCACCCATAACACTTTCAGTTTCACAACCAAAAGGAGTTGGACGTTGATAAATTTACCTGTTCAGCTGCCCGGCCACCGAGAGTCATGCAAGTCATGTCGAAGAGTTGTTCTTTTGTCATGAGCAAGTTTTCATTTGGAACGTACTGGGCAAACCCGAGTGCTGCAGTGCCACGAGGAACAATAGTCACTTTTAGTAATGGCTCAGCATGCTCCAGGAACCACCCAGCAACCGCATGGCCAGATTCATGATATGCCACTGTACGCCGTTCCAGCTTGCTTATCACCTGTGCCCATGAAACCACCAAAAACAATTACAGAACAATCAGGTTTCCGGGGGAGGAAAAAGATGGAAATCTTTAGCTGATCTGTTGGGTTTCACATTTGAGATCTACCCTAGATTCCTGTTGACTATTGAGGATGTTCCAATATGAATGAACAAAATATATAAACAGTGGTATTTTGTTGATAAGGCGGAAGTACATACCCGATTTTTCTTCTCCAGACCTCCAATAACACGATCTATTGCAGAGTCAAAGTGCGCCATTGTAACTGTTGCTCCTTCATGTCTGGCAGCAATAAGAGCTGCCTCATTACAGACATTCGCAATGTCAGCTCCAGCAAATCCGGGAGTGAGAGCTGCAAGCCTTTGCGAGTAATATGAGGGCTCGTGATCAAGTTTGATCTTCTTTAGGTATATCTGGAATATCTGGTCACGGCCTTTAATATCAGGTTTGTCTATGGTTATCTGACGATCAAACCGGCCAGGCCGTAATAAAGCTTTATCAAGAATATCTGGCCTGTTTGTCCCAGCAAGGACGACAACTCCAGCAGTAGTACCAAATCCATCCATTTCAACTAGTAGCTGATTAAGTGTGCTTTCACGCTCATCATTTCCACCAGAGAAACCTCCACGTCCTCTCGCACGGCCAATTGCATCGATCTCATCAATAAATATTATGCTAGGTGCACATTGTCTAGCCTCTTGAAACAAGTTTCTCACTCTGGAAGGTCCAACACCAACAAACATTTCCATGAAATCTGAACCAGATATCGACAGAAAAGGCACAGCTGATTCCCCTGCAGTAGCTTTTGCTAGAAGGGTCTTTCCAGTCCCTGGTGGGCCAACTAAAAGCGCACCTTTTGGAATTTTAGCTCCCAACTCTTCATATTTCTTTGGGTTCTGAAGGAAATGCACAAATTCCATAATTTCTTGTTTAGCCTCCTCGCATCCCGCAACATCTTTAAAATATATCTGACAAAAACCAAAAAATATCAGTTGTAAATCCCAATAGCATCATGAATGAGAAATGAGGTGGTAATTCCATTTTCCATTCTGATTGAAATGCTAACCTTATTCTTGGAATTTTTATCTGCTCTCGTTATTTGAGCTTTCCCTATATTAAAAATTCCACGGCCACCCTTCCCACCAGGTCCGCCTACACCTCCCAGCCCACCTTGCATCCGTCTTGCCCCATAAATTAGCGTACCCAAGAGAAGTAAAGTCGGTGCAAACCTCAACAGTTCTTGGTACCAGATCATTTCAGAGACGTAGGTGACAGGAACAAAGTCATGAGAATTGATGCCTATTGCTTCTTGGGCCTCTTCGAGCTTCTCCTCAAATGATTCAACACTACCAATATTAAAGTAGTACTTATACTGACCACTACGTCCTTTCGAAGGAACTCCATTACCAGGACCTTGAACAACTTCTTCGGTTGTTTGAGTTTTTGGTGAACTCCTCACATAGACTTTCGCAACTGACTTATTAGAAACATCTATGTGATCCACTAGACCAGGTTCAAGAAGCTTGTTTTTGAACTCCTGGAAACTAATCTGAACCAGCAGATATAAGACGAAAATTAGTTTTTATCTGATTCCGCAATTCCATAGATAACATAATATAGATAAATAGATCCAGGATAAACAAAGTTGAGTTAAACGTGCTTGCCTGTTGCTGTTCTCGGGAACCAAGAGAGAAAGTAGAAAGGATTAAAGCAATAGCCATCAGAGGAATTAACATATTTTGGAATTCCTTCGTGAACATGTCCCCGACATTTTCATTTTCATTTTTTTTCGAACCCTCTGCATTGCAACAAATAATACATATCCAGTTACTAAAATCTTCAAACAAACTTTCACAATCCGTATAGAAGCAAAATTTGTCAAAGGAAGAAAATTCAAACAAAACTTGATACTACTGAATCTATAAAAGCTAACAAAATTTGAGTACTCAGAAGTCAGAAGTCAGAAGCCAAAACTAAGATAAATCAGGAAAAGGATAAAAGATGAGCAAATTTCATATTGGTTTCATAACTACCTATCTTTCCTCCATACCATTGTATTTCAAAAACATTAGTACGATAATCAATTTTCAATAGAACAACTGCGAGCAACTTAGTAAAGCCTGTAACTGTATGCATAGTTGACAAACCAAAAAAGATGATAAATGATTCACCAAACTCCCAAAAGTATCAACTAGTAGTATGATTTATTTAGCATATCAGCAAATGGATTTGAAATCCAAAGTTAAGGGAATGTTACACGAACTCTCACCTTTGGATTCGGATTTCTGCTCATTCTTGGGTGCTTGCTTACTATCTTTTGGATAGTAATTCTCGTAGTCTGCACAAAAAGCCACTTATAAGAATCGAGAAACAAAACGGGTACCAAGTATCTCTCATATTCATATGAACACATATGAACAATTAATTTCGTATGAAAAGTTCAAGGGTTTTGAGGAATACTCTTCTTCTTTGGACTTTGGCTAGAAAAGAACCGACGCAATCTAGGGTTAGCGAAAACGCGGCTTAAATCACCGGTATCCAACTTCCGAGCAGCTAAAGAAGCAAAGTGCCGCCTCAGAAACCCTAATCCACCATTAACCTGATTGGCCGCCGCCTCAAGGTTTGGCGGCGCCCGAAGCCTCCCTTCGCTTAGAATTGCCGATCTCACACCACCTCCGTACACCAATCCCTAATTTCACCAGGATTTTATAATTTTTTTTTAAGGAAAAAAGGAATTGAAAACAGAAAATTAACAAGCATTTGAAGAAAGTATCACATTGAAACGAACCTTGGAACGAGAGGATCGAGCAATGGACGAACCGAGCTTGGAAAATATCATTGTCAAAGAATCAGGACGAACAGAAGTGAGATCGCATAATATATAGAAACCGCAATCGGAGATTTAATCAAAACCCAAAGGAGAAATATGGAAGCTTTCGTTTCAGATAGAGAGCAAAGGAATTTTACAGGAGTGATGAAGATGTGGTAACTGAAGAAATCAAAGAACCCAGAACAAAAGATTTTTCTTTTATTGTGATTGTTGACAGAGCAATTTATGTGAGAACTTTGAGCTGCTTGGGCAACAAGACATCAACGCGTTTCAGACTCCAACATATGTTTTATTTCCGTGGATTATTTCAACCGGTTTGTTCTCTAAACCAACCGGTTCGGTTAGTTGAGGAGGGTAAAATTCGGGCCCTTGTTGAGCTTAATTTTATCCCTTTTTGACTAAATGGGCCTGGTTTCAGCTAAAAAGCCACATGATAAACGAGAGGGTATGTGTGGCAACTTTTTACTACCTGAACACACCCACGCTTTAGCACGTGGCAGTACGCTCCTCCACGTGTCATTTTCTACACCGCAAGTACTTGGGAACTTCCAGAACAAGCTACGGCACTTCCAAAACTAGTGTTGTACTAAAGAAGCAATCACATTGAGAGACTCTCTTAATTAGGAAACTGCGAGAGAACGGGAGTAATATGGAACACTACGACGGAAACACGGTGACCGTTGATGAAGACTACAACATGGGATGCACGACGCCGACACGTGATGAGTGTCGGATACCAGCATACCCGCCGTGTCCGCCTCCGGTGAGAAGGAAGAGATCGCTACACTTTGGAGAAAAGAAGGAACCGCCGAAGAACGGATATTTTCAGCCGCCGGATCTTGACTTGTTCTTTCTCGGTGGTGGCAGCCTCCAAACGGCAACCTAGCTGCACGGCTTAGATTGCGATTCCTCTTTTGACTTTTGACTTATTATTATTAGCTAGTATTATATATGCTACCACTGCTATGCTATATATATATATATATCGTCCCGTTCCTGGATTGATGTTGTAAATGGGTTCGGGGTTGTTTGAAAACGGCTATGTTATGTATGCGTAATATCTCCACACGTACGTCTTGGAAGCCTAGGCTTGACGATTCATATTAGTGGTTTGGCTTTTGTGTGTGTGTGTGTGTGATGTATGCTGATGTAAGATACGCAATACAATGTTTGTGTATGGACTTTTTAATGAAACCAGTGTGGTTTTGATGTGTTTCCTTTTTTGGTTTTTGTTTGTTTTCTGTCGGGTTGGAGGCTGCTATATCGAGTATGTAAGTATTTGCCTTTTTGGGTGTTTTTCTTTGTTAACGATCTTTGTATTATTTCTAGCTAGTTATGTATGTACGTATCTCAAATTTATTTTCTTTCTGCGGAAAAATTGGAAGCTATGTGATTATTATATGGCATTAGTTGTACAACGCAAGTGGAAATATCTCGAGAGTCATCAGTCATGAGTTCTGGCTTAATGTCGTATATTCAAGGACAACAAGAGTCGAGACTAATTCATGATGTTATAATGATCAGAAAATATTTGGACCACCAGGCTACGGACTCACGGATCCTTCTCCTTCTTACTTTCATCCGTGTGTTAAAGAAATCAAGGTGACAAAAAAAAACATTGAAAGTCCTAGTAACTTTCGAAATTCTTACTGAGCCGTGTGGGTTATAGGAGTCTATATACAACGAGTTTTATTCAATTTAGCTAAGGTTCTTCTAGTTTAGATGTAGAATCTGCAGTTTTACATACTGTAGGTTGAGTTATGTAAAACTGCAGGTTGAGTTATTTATATGGGAAGAACATATGAACCCTATAAAAATCCCTTCACAAACGAACTTATTTGTTGATAAAAACTATTACAAGCCAGTTCATCATGGCGGGATAAGAGTGTGAATGGTTAACATATTTCAATATTCGATAGTAGAAAGTTAGAAACTAGAAAGCGTCAAACAATTTGTTGGAACTTTGGGCATTAAAATCCTTTTTCCATAATCAAATCTGATGAAAGTACAAAATTGAAGTGTTTTATTCTTATTTAACATTGCAATTCTTTTTTGTCTGATTAAAGTTCGAGGAATACCAAGCCGGCCAAGTTGTTTAAAACTTCAATTAATGTATATAAAGATTACAAACATGAAGATATGGTTTAAACATTATAATCCGAAGATGAAACAATGTGTAATCTCATAAATCATAACTATTTTATTTTATTTAGTTTGTATCCGAATCTAATGAGGGTACATCCTCTATGATTAACATGGTGATGTCAATATAACAAATTGATATTGGTATACATACATCTCATCATTTTTTTTGTTTCTTGCTAAACGTTTCTCTCTAACGACAAATCATATACTGTGGCTCTAAAGGATGTAGTACAAACAATGAAAAAGTTCACCAATCGAAAAATAGCAGTAGAACGTACGATGCAATGTTAAATATACACTGTGATTAGTGGAGTGAGTTAATAATTTCGAGAAAGGTAGCCAGACTTTTCTTTTAATTTGGGAAAACACAAGTGAGAAAAGAAAAAAAGACATGTGGAATATTATTAGACCCGAAGCTGTCTAGTCTTGGTCCCGATATCGAAAATATTTATCGTAAGGAACACTTTACCCCCGTCCCTCTCTGCTCCTTTCTCTCCAAACACTCCCAAATGATACCACTTACACACAAAAAAAAAAAAGATATTAATGTTTTCATTTGAAAAAAAAAACTTGTATAATCGTAGACCACTGATTCATTCGAGAGACAAGTCCGCGACTGGCATTTAGACGTTTCTAGACAAATTAGAAACCATGTCTCTTATTTTAACATCAACGTCACTGTACCAACGATAGATAATATGTGTTGTAGATTCTTCCATCGATCTTGAAGAAGAAGAAACTTCAACTTCCTCTAGTTCAAAAGATGTAGTTTGTCATTCACAAGTGCAATTACATGAGTCTCCTCCTCTAAGACTCTAGTGGTAGTGGATCGATCAATAGTATTATTTTTCTAACTGGAACGTCACCATTTGGACTTATCATATATCATATATAGCAGTCGGTATGATTCAACAAAAATATCTTGCAGTTTTGTGGAAGCTTGTTACTCTTAAACCAACTCATTTGAGAAAATAGAAAACAAATTTTTATTGTGGTTCATGTCCCACTATGTCAGTTTTTATTCATACAATTTATTGTGCTCTCTCTCTCTCTCATGTTACAGTTGATTTATGTGAATATCAATATGATATTTACCCACGTCTTACCTTTCCGAAGGTTTTAACAGCATATGTAATCGAATTAATATAGAAAAAAACAAATGGTCTACTCGTAAACAAATATTCATAAAAATAGACAGACTGAAATATATATATATATATATATATAAAGAATGAAACCTAAGCTTTGTTGAAAACTTGATAAACATGATTATAACACAAAAATTTAAGATTATATTCTTTCTTTATCTGTTTAAAATGTTCAGAGAACAAGAAGATATACGGAACGTCGTCGTTAATAACAAACATGAAAATGCTTCGCTGTTCTGTCATAAAAAAAAAAAAACTTTGTTTTATACAGCTAATAAGTTCATTTGGATTTTTTTTTATTTCTTTATTGACACAAGAATCAATTTTGTTTATATTCTTTTTCCTAGTACTATGATTTTTGTACAATCATTACAGCTTTGAAAAAGTTTAATTAGGTGTAAATTTTTGTTGCAAGTGTTCCACTAGTTAAACTTAATCCAATTCGTTCTTTCTCTTTTTGAAAATATACATATCTAAAAGTAGTTGCACTATTTATTTTCAAATAATTATCTTGCCTTCATCATTTCCACATGTATATAGTTTTAGTTTTGGAAGCACTCACTATATAATAGACATGAGCAGAGAAACACTATCCCTCTCTTTGCTTCCCTTGTCTCTCTCTCTCTCTCTCTCCCTCTCTCTAGATCGCTAGTTATCTCTCTTTCTAAAGCTCAATCACCACAAACTCACAATCAAACTAAAAGAAAAAAGTAGAGTAGAATAAATTAATAAATAAAGGAGAGAGACGGCCTTCATCCGAGTCAGAGAGAAGCTCTCTTTTATATCAGCGTAGCTCTTGTTTCCGCAACACAGGACATGGACGAGAAGTGGAAGCTGTCGAAAAAGGATGCATTGGCTGCGTCGTGCTCATCTTCTTCGACTTCGTCTAAATCAAAGTTCTCTAGAAGCTTCTCGACAAGTGCTTCCTCCTCGAAAGCTCCTGCATTCGTACGGAGCTCGTCAACCAAATGCTCAGTGCCTTCTTCATCTTCTTCGTCTTCAATGTCAAGAAGCTCTTCGAAAAAAGAGAAAGGCTCATCTTCCATAACTCAAAAGTACAGCAGCTTGGCCAAAGAACAGAAGGGAAGGTTCTACATCATGAGAAGGTGTGTGGCTATGCTTGTATGTTGGCATAAACATGATTCCTAGGTTGATAGATCTCATGCATTTTTATTCTTTCTCTTCTCTTTTCTTTTCTTTAAATGATTAGATCAGTTTGATTCTCTACTCTAAGTTGCTACAAGTTTCCATACTAGTACATTGTAAGAAGAGATTCTTTTTTGATAATTATATTTACTTCTATTAATTTTTGATAAGACAGAGTCATGTCTACTACTACTACTCCTACAAGAGGTAGTATATAAATAATTATAAGTGTGTGTCGTCTGATGAAGAAAAAATTGTAAACATCGAACGTTTTTTTTTTTTTTTTTTTTAAAGTGAAATTATATGCCACAATCTGGAGGGTCGATGTGTCGAGACGTACAATTATTTTGTTAGGATTAAATCGAATAGTCACTTTCAGTGTCTGGCAAAAAAACAATTAATAATAACGAAATAAAAAGATTTAATAAGAACAACCAATGATAATTTATTTGGTCAAAGATCTGAGGTTTCTTTTGTGTTTTGGTCAACAGATCTGAGTGTTTTTCACACACATTAGTTTTTTTCTTTTATTTTTACTAATTTATTTGTCGTATCATATGGCTTTTTGCAACGTTTATGCTAACTTTTTTTTTATAGCCGTGATTAGACTTGGTAACAATATCTTAATGGGGTCTAGTTAATGTCTTGGATTTACAATTAATTATGATGCTGATGATGATAATAATGTGGTCAACAAAGTGGCATGATGCTATTTGGATTATATAAATTTGCCTACACCACGAAATATTGGAATTTTGTAACTCCTTTTTCCATTTCTTATTGTAACTCCTGTGCAGTAGGCTAACTAGATTTTGTACAGCTTAACCCATTTACAGTAGAAAAAATCCCATTAAAAAACAATATGAAGTTGTATTTAGTACTGTCTACATTAGTGTTATTTTTTATGAGGATTTTTACATATATTTTTTTCATTTTTGAGTGTGATATGAAGTTATATTTAGTACTGCCTATTTATATCCTATTCGTTATTTGTATCTTACGGCAGTATTAAGTTTTCTTACTCTTTGATAGAAGGAAGATTCCCTCTTTTGCCTAACCTAAATTTTCTATATATGAAGCCCAACAAAAAGTAGTACTATGTGTGTATATGTATCAAAGATAAGTTTAAGTTATCATTACCCTATTTTTTCTTAGTTAAAGAAAAGATAGAATTAGTAGTAAGTATACTGTGTGTATTAGAATGTACGTACTTGGACACTGTTCCGTGTTACTGACAATGAATGAATGAAATTATTATATCTTCATCTCTTATTATATAGAGAGAGCGGGAAAAAGGAAATTTCGAGATATTGAAAAATCCAATGGAAAAGTTATGAACCACTCGATCTTTGTCTCTTTTTGACTCTCTGACGATAATGTCATGATCATAAGAATTTTGGATTCTAATCAGAAAATAAGTGATCACGTTACAGATTTTTATTTCGAAACCTTTTTTTCAATTATTGCAAAAATATAAAATTACCGTACGGAGAAACATGCTCTTCTTAACAGGGAAAAAAAAAAAAAATTGAAACGAAAGAAAGAAACTCAGACTTCTCAGGTGAGAAACCAAACACAAAAGTACAAAGAGATAATAAAGTGAACAGTGTCAGAAACATTTTTACACACACAGATCTTTATACTATTCAGAAAAATAAAATAAAAAAGAATGACGTGGTGTTGAGAGAGACGTTGGATTTTGTCAGATTGAGATATCTGACGGTGGAGACTGCTGAACCAAGTGGCTAAGTCTGAATCAGATTTTTTTTTTTTTTTTTTTTTTTTTTGTGTGGCGACTGTTCGTTTTGATCGAGGGTAGCTAAAGGCTTGAAGCCAAAGACTTTTTTTAGATGTCGAAACAAAGTGATAATATAATCACTTTTAGTCACACCCTTGTCCTATTTAGATGTATCAAACAAGATTTTTTAATTGAAACTTCTTATAAATCGAAACAAAATAAAAAGTTATGTTAGATATTCTTAATCAAATTAAAGTTCTCTAGATCATTAAGACATTGCAATTATTGTCTCAGAAGGAAGCAAACTTTATGGGAGACCCTTAAAACTAGTCTAATGAACCCCTAAATTAGAAAACGTAAATATTGGCATCAACATTTTTCTACGTGAGAAGAAAATTTCTGAAAAACGCTAATCTCAATCCACGTTTACACTTATATCTCATCTTAAGGTAGATGAAGTTTCAGTTCTTATATATTTTATACAAGAGCTCAGTAAACATTATGATATATTGTAAAGACTCTTTAGAAGTTTATCCCCGTTTAGATTTAGGAAAGAGATATCAACAGAACTAAAACTTACTAATAACTGTTCTTACGATTCTATTTAAACACTAAAAAACTTTAACTCCCAATTATGTTATGATGAAAAATATTAACTATGACAAATTTCCTATAGAGGGTGAAAATATTAGGATAAACAATATATACTACAAAATTTTATATATGTATCAAAAACACTATAAGGAAATTTTTGTATAAAATACCATGTAAATTATGTTACATCTGAATCTGATGTGTACATATTTTTAACACGTTTGTGGTTGTTTTAAAAATTTAAACATTAATGACATTTTCTAAAATATGAATATCATATATATGAGATCACTGATTGTTTTTTTTTTTTTTTTTTTTGTTGTCGGTCAACTGAACAGAAATAGTGCAATACTGTTAATCAGAAATATTTTTTTTACCAAAGATGGAGAAATTTACCAAGGAAATATTTTCGAGTTTTTTTTAGATTTATGGTTGATCTAATTAAAAAAAAAAAAGGGCGAAGATAATAATAATGTCGCGAACAAAAAAAAATTGAATCGCGGAGATGATGGCACGTGTCATTGTTGTGATGTGATCTGATCCAAACCTATTTATATTCTTCGCTGCTGTTCTGTCTTGACCGCTCCTCTCGATCTCTGATCTCTCTGTCTTCTCTGTTTACGCTCCGTCGCTGATCTCTGCCATACTCCGTCTTACCGCCTCCGCCGAACCCTAGGTAATCGTGACGGGCTTGTAATTTTTTTTTTTATTATTATATTTTGTATGTGGCAATTTCTTGGATATTTCACCCTTAAATGTTCCCTCTGGTAAATAAAACCAGAGTCCCGGAGGACGAATCTGGTTTTCCGCCGGAACTTAATTAAGGAGATCTTGAGAAGCTCAGAGGATGGGTACAACCACGACAACGAGCGCTGTGTATATCCAAGTTATCGAAGATGTCGTCAACAAAGTCCGAGAGGAGTTCATTAATAACGGAGGTCCCGGCGAGAGTGTTCTCAGCGAGCTTCAAGGAGTAAGTTTTCAATCAGAACTGTCTTCCTTCGCTGCAAAATGATTGAGATTTGATATCTTTAGTGGATTCGCCGGTGTGGGTGGCTTGGATTTGCTCTGCTGTGACTAGGGTTTTTGCGAATTCATCTTTTTCAGTTGGTTTGAATCTTTAATTTCTAAAGCTTAATTGGAACTGTGTGTGTTTTTTCCGAGTAGATTTGGGAGACGAAGATGATGCAAGCTGGAGTCTTAAGTGGACCAATAGAGAGGTCATCGGCCCAGAAGCCAACTCCTGGAGGTCCACTGACTCATGATCTGAATGTTCCTTATGAAGGTACAGAGGAGTATGAGACCCCCACTGCTGAAATGCTTTTCCCTCCGGTTAGCTAATTTCACCCTTGAATCTGTGATTGAGAAATTAAATCAGGACTTCAATTATCAGTTGTCTTGAGCGTGGTTTTGCTTTTTTTGTGTTGAGCAGACACCAATGCAGACTCCCCTTCCAACGCCGCTTCCTGGCACTGCGGATAACTCCTCCATGTATAACATCCCTACCGGCTCAAGTGATTATCCAACTCCTGGAACTGATAATGGAAGCAACGCTGATATTAAAGGAAGGCCAAGTCCTTATATGGTGAGCTTTGCGTCTTATAAAAATGCTGTGTAGTGCCACTGCTTATCTCTTAAGTGTTTTCAAAAGTGATTTGACTTTGTATCTTATAGGATTTCTGGTTTTACATTAACTGATGTTCTGTTCTCTGTTGCAGCCACCTCCTTCCCCGTGGCCAAGTCCTAGAGTTGATGTCAATGTTGGTAAGTAGTTGTTTTACCACTACTTCATGTATCGATTTGTTGTTTGGGATATAAACGTCTGACCTGCTGCTAGCTTATGTGGATGGTCGTGATGAGCCTGAAAGAGGAAACTCTAGTCAGAAGTTTACGCAGGTACTTTAACATCTAATCAAGAATCGTGAGTTTGGCTTTTTGGTTTGGGTTCAAATCTTCGTTGCAACAGTTACGTGATTGATTTGATTATTGCTCATCTCAAGTACTTCCTCACTGTACATATATTTTAAGTCGATTATACCTGAAATATATGTAAAACTTAATATCTTGGAATATGTCCAGGACTTATTTGTGCCATCCTCCGGGAAACGAAAACGTGATGATTCTTCTGCACATTATCAAAATGGTGGATCTATACCTCAACAAGATGGTGCAAGCGATGCTATCCCTAAGGTGTGTGTGTAGTACACATTTGCATTTGGAATAGCTCACATGAGAACAATGAAATCATGAAAGTATTTGTAGCAGCTGCTTATATGATATCTTTCAAGAATAATGCATTTATCATCTCGGTGGTACACCTGATTGGAGCACAATTTTGCAGGTAAACTTTGAGTGTGATGCACTCCACATAACCTATGTTGGCAATGGAAAGTCCCCACGAGACTTCCTCTGCTCCTCATCGAAGATTCCTCAAGTTGATGGGCCAATGCCTGACCCCTATGATGAAATGCTGTCCACACCTAATGTAAGAATGCTGCTTTTCATTTAGTAGATATGTACTTCTTCGAAATGTCTACAGATCAGTAGCAGGAAACTCTAATGCCTTAGTTCAGTTAGATCCATCCTCACTGCTCATCATAAATTGCATTTGGATTTGCCAACAAACATGCAACATTTGTCTAGAGATCTGAGATATTATCTATTACACCCTCTCCCAATTACTTTTGCTAGTTATTTCATGAATTTCATTTACTGCATTGCAGATATACAGTTACCAAGGACCCAGTGAAGAGTTCAACGAGGCCAGAACTCCTGCTCCAAACGGTAAGAGAAGCCAAACAAAAATGTTTGATAGTGTTAGAGAGCAAGTAATATCATCTGCTAAATTCCCTCTTTGTCAGAGATCCAAACGAGCACACCTGTTGTTGTACAAAACGATATCATTGAAGATGATGAAGAGCTGTTGAACGAAGATGATGATGATGACGAGCTGGACGACCTAGAAAGTAGCGAGGATATGAACACGCAACATCTGGTTTTAGCTCAGTTTGACAAGGTAATGACCCTCCTGTTTACGCATGTTTCTGGATCTATTCTCTGATGTAACTCTACTCACATTAAGACTTGTTTGGTGTTGTAACTAGGTGACTCGCACAAAAAGCAGGTGGAAGTGCAATCTGAAAGACGGGATCATGCATATAAACGACAAGGACATTCTCTTCAACAAAGTAATATGTGCCTCCCAATAAAGGCTGGAGCTATTTTGGTAAATGAATAATACTAACACACGCCTTGTATACTTTTTCAGGCAACAGGCGAGTTCGACTTCTGATCTTGACACTAGCAATGCTTCTAGAAAAGTCACAGTTCTTTAAATGTCCACTGTCTTTCATTTTACTTTATGATTTAAGACTGACGGAGAAAGACATGATTATTTATGAGAAAGTGTACTCTGGTTGGCTTGTTGTACAAAAAGAACAGATTTTTCCTGTCGAAGGCCGTATCATCAACTTTCACCTTGTTTTATGAATTTCTTATGTCTTTCACGCAATGGCAATTAACTTCCCAAAAGCTGGATCTTTTCTTACAAGATATCTAGCTATATATATATATATATATATATATCTTATTACAGCATCTTGATAAATAGGTTAAAAAGGAAACTATTGAGAAACACTTGTATTCTGTAACATCAAGAGACCATCCTAAATGCTGAAACCCTCACTGCGAGTGATCTACAAGCACGCATTTAGTCTGAAAAATATTCAAGAGACCCATCTGGTCACTATGGTCGACCGTAGCCGGATATTGCAATCCTTCCTCGTGGTCCAATGACAGCTGAGATCCTTTCTTCTCAGTAGTACTCGAAGGAAACGTAAAATCGTGCCCTTTTCTGGAGGGAGAAGCATGCCGGTATGAATTTACGTTCCCTTCCGTAGAGAGACAAGAGTGCGAATTGGGAGAAACAAAGAGAGGTGAAAGCAGAGGAATAGCTGAGCCAGGAACAGATTCACAAGACTGCTGCAAGAAGGGGTTGTCGGGAACACTGTCAAGATGCAGAGCCGTGGGTGCTTGCCTTTGCAGCCTAGTGGGTGATCTCGGGGACATATTCTTTCCAAACATGTTCACAGTGTTCTCCATCACGATTTAGACACAAGATTGAGCCAATGAGTGTAAAAAAACGCGAGAAATAGAGAGAGAGAGAGAGAGGAAGATAGAATTAGTAGTGTAAATTGTAAAACAGGAGAATAAAAGGGAGAGAGAGGTTTTGTGTGTGTCGTAGATGAGGGCGCAAAAGAAGGCTTCAGTTATGATGGAACATGTGAAGCAAAATAGAAAATGGCAGTTACGTTGAAACGGTCCTTAACTAAACTTTTTTAAAAAGTTGCTTTCTTCTTTTGGTTCTACTCTCTCCACTCTTGTTGGCTTTGTTTACTTGTGCCTCTGGGTTCTTACAGTTTGGTCATAGCCTAAAAAAGGTCAACGTCTTTATTGTTGGTTTGGGTTGTTTTTTAATAACGACAAACATTCCAACCTACCCTCCCATCTTTCAAACGTTAATACTAATTACATGGACAATCCGGTTTACGACTTTGTTTCTATCCTAATATGATTCTTTTTGCTTCGTCATTAACAATGAGAAATTTACGATAATGTTAGAAAAAGACAAAAACTAACTTTAAAAGACATTGACCTTTGTTTTGGTCTTTCACTAAACTGAACGATACCCAAAGGATCGTAAGCATTAGTAAACCGAAAAGCAACAACAAAGGAAGCAACTTTTTTAGTTTCAGTTAATGACCGTTTCAAAATAACAACATCCCTTTCCTATTTCCTCCACATGTTCCATTATAACCGAACCCACCTTTTGCGTCCTCACCGACAACACACATCAAACCTCTCTCCCTTTGATTCTCTTCTTTACGTCACTCTTTCTATCTCCCCCTCTCTCTCTTTATCTCGTTTTGCTTTTGTTCCCATTGGGCTTAACACTCTGAGTCTGAAATCGTGATGGATGACAATGTGAGGTTGTCTAGGAAGAGCGAGTCCCCGAAATCACCAACTAGACTGCAGAGGCAAGCACCCACGGCTCTGCATCTTGAACGTGTTCCTAATAACCCCTTTTTGCAGCAGTCTTCTGATGTGATTGCAGCGGCAGCGATTCCTCTGCTTTCACCTCTCTTTGTGTCTCCAAGTCCACGCTCTTCTCTCTCTACAGAAGGGCACGATTTCACGTTTCCGGTGGAATTTACTGAGAAGAACGGATCTCAGCCGTCAATGGACCACAAGGAGATATGGCAATATTCGGCCAAGGTCGACCATAGTAATCAGATGGCTCTCTTGAATATGTTTCAAACCAAGTTCGTGCTTGTAGACCACTCACAGTAAGGGGTTTAGCACTTAGGATGGTCTTAGTGTCTTAGAATCCAAATGCTGTAATAATAGAGGACGTTACATATAAGTAAGATCCCGCCTTTGAAAAGTAAATTACCATTGTGTGGAGGATAGAAACTCTTGAAATAAGTCAAAGTTGATAAGCCTTCTTTGGCCGGAAAAATCTGTTCTTTTTGTACAACATGCCAACCAGAGTACACTTTCCCATAAATAATCATGTCTCTGTTTTGGAGGTCGGTCTAAATCACAAGGTAAAAAGAAAGACATTTGACGTTTGAAAGACTGAGACTTTTCTAGAAGCATTGCTATTGTGAAGATCAGAAGTCGAACTCGCCTGTTGCCTGAAAAGTAGACATTTCGTGTATTAGTATTATTTTTACCAGAATAGCTCCAACCTTAATTGGGAGGCACATATTACTTTGTTGAAGAGAATGTCCTTATCATTTATATGCATAATCCCGTCTTTCAGACTGCACTTCCACCTGCTCTTTGTGCGAGTCACCTAATTACAGCACCAAACAAGTCTTACTGAGATAAGAGTTAAGCGCAGAGAAACACACCCGGAAATTTGTGTAAACAAGAGTCATTACCTTGTCAAATTGAGCTAAAACCAGATGTTGTGTGTTCATATCCTCACCACTATCTAGATCATCCAACTCGTCATCATCATCATCTTCGTTCAACAGCTCTTCATCATCTTCAATGATATCGTTTTGCACAGCAACAGGAGTGCTCGTTTGGATTTCTTACAAGGAAGGAATTTAGTTAAGGATATATATGCATTTACTTGCTCTAAAACATTTTGTTTGGCTTCTCTTACCGTTTGGAGCCGGAGTTCTGGCCTCGTTAAAGTCTTCACTGGGTCCTTGATAACTGTAAATCTGCAACCAAGTAAATTCAATGTCATAAAATTACTAACAAAAGTAATCGTCGCATGTTTGACGGTAAAGCCGAATGGAACATAAAGTCTAAAGGAGATATTCTCCTTCCCTTCATCATCAGGTAATCTAGGAAGTCAAATGAGGTTATATGTAGTTAAATATCTATGGGAGGTGGTGAGAAGAGACTCAGTTAGTTAGAGATTCTAGTTACTGGTTCTAAACTCGTCGAAGAAGAATATATTAACAGAAACTCTGACTACTCAATGAAAACCTGATGCATTCTTACATTTGGTGTGGACAACATTTCATCATACGGGTCAGGCAGTGGCCCATCAACTTGAGGAATCTTTGATGATGAGCAGATGAAATCTCGTGGGAGCTTTCTATCACCAACATAAGTTATCCGAAATGCATCACATTCAAAGTTTGCCTGAAACTCATATCAGATGTATGACTGAGATTTCACTAAATACATCATTTTTATAGGAATAAATATCCTATAATATACATACATTTCTTTTATGCAACTCAACCAGTTTTGAATACATGTATCTTCTTTTGGATGGCACTCACAAACTTGTGAAGTAGAAACTAAAGCGGAGTCTTCTCCCTATAATTTTCTAAGAGATAAAGGGAGCTATGGACAATTTTTTTTACTAAAGAGAGCTACGCAAAATGCAAATGGGTAGTACTACACACACACCTTAGGGATAGCATCGCTTGCACCATCCTGTTGAGGTATAGATCCACCATTTTGATAATGTGCGGAAGAATCATCACGTTTTCGTTTACCGGAGGGTGGCACAAATAAGTCCTGGACGTATTCCAATTATAGATTTAAAGTTACATATATAGTTCAGGTACAGTCAACTTGAAAAATATATACAACGAGGGAGTACTTCAAATGAGTACTAATCAAATGTTCAATAACGTAACTGTTGCAAAGAGGATACGAACCAAACAAAAAAAAGCCAAACTCACAATTCTTGATTTAGATGTTATATTGGAGTACCTGTGTAAACTGCTGATTAGAGTTTCCTCTCTCAGGGTCATCACGGCCATCCACGTAAGCTAACAGCAGGTAAGACATTTATATCCCAAACAACATAGATAGACACATCTCTTTTCACTGAGACAATAGGCGCTAGTACTTACCAACATTGACATCAAGTCTAGGATTTGTCCACGGGGAAGGAGGTGGCTGCAATAAAGAACAAATTCTCAGTGTATGTCAACCAGAAAAAGAAAAAAATAATAATACGAAGTCAATCCTTTTTGCCTCTGTATATTCTACACAGACGCTTAGATAAGCAGTACACAGCATTTTGAATAAGAAACATAGCTCACCATATAAGGACTGGGTCTTCCTTTAATATCAGCGTTGCTTCCATTATCAGTTCCAGGAGTTGGATAGTCACTAGAGCCGGTAGGGATGTTATACATGGAGGAGTTATCCGCAGTACCAGGAAGCGGCGTTGGAAGGGGAGTCTGCATTGGTGTCTGCTCAACACAAAAAAGCAAAACCACGCTCAAGACAATTGATAATTGAAGTCCTGATTTGATTTCTCAATCACAGATTCAAGGTTTAGGTGAAATTAGCTAACCGGAGGGAAAAGCATTTCAGCAGTGGGGGTCTCATACTCCTCTGTACCTTCATAAGGAACATTCAGATCATGCGTCAGTGGACCTCCAGGAGTTGGCTTCTGGGCCGATGACCTCTCTATTGGTCCACTTAAGACTCCAGCTTGCATCATCTTCGTCTCCCAAATCTATTCGGATAACAACCACACAGATCCATTTAAGCTCCAAAAATAATGGAATCAAAAGATATGAATTCCAAAAAACCCTAGTAGCATTGGAACAAATCCAAGCCACCCACACTGGCGAACCCACTAAATATACTAAATTTACATCATTTAGCATCGACGGATGACAAGTCTGATTGAAAACTTACTCCTTGAAGCTCGCTGAGGACACTCTCGCCGGGACCTCCGTTGTTAATGAACTCCTCTCGGACTTTGTTGACGACATCTTCGATAACTTGGATATACACAGCGCTCGTTGTCGTAGTTGTACCCATCTTCTCAGCCCCTTTAAAGCCCCCTTAATTTAGTTCCGGCGAAAAAAAACAGATTCGTCCTCCGGGAATCTGATATTATCAGAAGCAACATTGAAGTAACCACCCGAAAAAAATTGCCTCCAGAGAACAAAACAATTCAAGCTCTTTATGCTCACCTAGGTTTTGGCAGTAGGCGGTAAAATGGAATCTGGCCGAGATCGGCGACGAAACGTAAACAGAGAAGACAGAGAGATCAGAGATCGGTAAGGAGCGGTCAAGACAGAAAAAAAAGCAGCGAAGAATATAAATAGGTTTGGATCAGATCGTGTCGCAACAAATACACGTGTTATCATCCCCGCCATTGATATTTTCTTTCCTTTTTCTCTTTTCTTTTCAGAATTTCTTATTTTTACAAAAAGATATATGAATGAAATGGTAACTAAACAACTATATATCCTGAAACTTGAAATTACCAAATCCAGGAAGTAATTATTCAAAAAAAAATATATATATAAATAGATAAAGTTGAATAAAAACAAATTTAGTTATATATAACACTATATGTTTTTCTTTTATCTACCGGTATCAGTATGAGTGATACCTCATTGACTTCACCTGATCCAGTTCTGTTAAAAGCTAAATGATTTTAATTAATAATATTCTGAAGCAAAGAGTTGAGAATGAAATTTTGTTTCTTATTCATCTGGGTATACAGATTTAATAAGCCCTAAGCAAAAACTTGTGTAACAACAGCTGGCTAATTTTTTTTCCTCAAACAAAAAAAGAAACAAAACAAAAACTGACTCATCCAAAGGTTTATAAAGTGCATGACTCATCCAACTTTAATATGAAGATTTCCGTTATTTATTCATCTCAAGAAATTAATACAATTAAAAATCATACGACCAAATGTGTTTGCCTTGCCTCTTTGGTTCAATCAAATCATAAAGATCATGATGGCAAGCGTGCAGATAATGACCACCTTGGTGCGGTAAGGATTTACGGTTGCTGAATCTGGAGAAGGATCCGATGATGAGAAGGGATCAAAGTCATCAAAATCAGATGGCGACGGTGTTGAAAGCGAAGGAAGCAGAGCGAGATCAAAGTCTTTTGCTTTCCCTTCTCTGCTAAAGCTCCATCCAGTTACATAGTGATTACCCGTTATGTTTCCTGTGGATGCGGAGAAGCCGACATACATTTTTCCCAAGAAAATCTCAGAAAGATTCATCTTTCTCGACAGAAGAGGAAACTTAGGTTTTGAAGTGTCAAGAGGAGCCAATGTGACGTTGAGAAGCATTTCCCCTCCGTTGTATTCGATCCAAGCCCGAATCGGGTCTTTGCTCGAAAGCTTCAAGCTTATATTCTTGCTTTGCTTGTTGGAGAAAAATGCAGCTGGTGCAGATTCAACGGATACCAAACCGTTCACGTCGATGCCTACGTGGTTATCGTCGATGTCAAGAAACTCGTTTGACTTCACCGTGTCGAATTCCACCGCGAGGATTCGGTTTGTGGAGTTCCCGTTGTTCGAAGTGTTGAAGAGACCGAGAAACTGGCTCGGCATGGCTTGCGTGAAATCCATGGACGGTGAGATCAGAAAGGTTAGGCCGTGACCTGGTGCGTCGATTGAGAAAACGAAACTTGTGGAGAAAGAAAGCGAGTTTGGTGAGTTAGTACTGTTGAAGGGTACGGGGAAGCCATAGAAGGCTTGACCCATTTGTCTCCTTGAGGTGTTTGTTAGCTCCAAGATGCCACTCGGGAGGATCTTGGAGGATCCATACTTGAGAAGGTTAGCTTCGAAAAATCCGTGGTAGAGAAATTTGGTTTCGTTTTGTTGACTTAGCACACAAGAAACGAAACATAGTTGGGTGATAATGGAAAGAGCTATTGATTTGTAAGTAATTGCCATTGAAGAGATGGACGTATGTTTTGTTATGTGTGTGTATATGTGAAGTTGCTTGTCTGAATGATTCCATCGTATATATATAGAGAGGCTTCATAGAAGAAAAGAGAAAGAAAGTTAGACATTGTTATATTATTTGCAGAAAGGCAATCAGCTGCGAGTTCGAAACTTCAATTTTTATTAGCTATAAAAATTGTTTGTATTGGATCAAAGAAATCATCTACAAATTTTTAATTATTGAGAATCCATATATTGTTTAATAAAGCTTATAAATTAAACATAAGTAATCAAACTGGATCTAATATAATTCCAAAAAAGCTATAATGTTGAACAGTTCAAGTCTTATTTTAGCTGATCGATCGTGATGGTAAGTCTTAGATGGATATTAAAACATCCCAAACTAGCAAACAATAAAGGGTTTGTTGGGAATACGTGCAAATAAGAATCTATTATACATATATTTTGGTTCATATTAAAAAAAAAAAAAACACAACAGAAGAAAATAATTGATCTGAGACAAGTCAAGTCATCAGTTTTAAGTAATTAACAAATGTATATAATCAACAACCGCCTAAATGTGAGTATTATTGAGATTTAAAACTCATTAGAATGCAAATGACTAGGATCATCAGAAGGCCTTAGTACGTACGTGCACCCAACCAATCCAATCCAACCCCAAATCACAAAAACAAACTGATAGAAAATACTATCATTGGCTAAGAACAAACTAATGCCGTCTCTACAGTTACGTCTTTCCCTTAATCTCTCTATATTAATTTTGTTTTCCTTGTGACTTTTATTTTTTATTTACAGTATTGTAAAAGATACGGGCCTAAGATTCTTGATGGACCAGGCCCATCATCTTGAGTTTTTTTTTTTTTAAAATTTGGCCCACATGTTGCGTTATTATCTCCAATGATTGATTGATTAATCAATTTAACGTTTGCTTGCTCCACTTGTATTCTCTTCTTGAATCTGAGCTCTTTAGGCATAGGAGAGAGCAATGGCTGGAGGAACAGAGCAAAACCAGAGATGGAGCCTTAAGGGAAAGACCGCACTTGTAACTGGTGGAACCAAAGGGATCGGGTTCGTTTACAGATCCCAAATCTTTCCATAAATATTTTCTTGAAAGCATATTTAAAAATCTCTGGTTCTTGAATCAAAATAGGCATGCTATAGTAGAGGAACTTGCGGGATTTGGAGCATTGATACATACTTGTGCGAGAGATGAATCTCAGCTTAATGAGTGTTTAAGTGAATGGAAAAAGAAGGGATTTCAAGTCAGTGGTTCAGTCTGTGACGCATCTTTGAGAACAGAGAGAGATAAGCTTATGCAGACTGTGTCTTCAGTGTTTGGTGGCAAGCTCGATATCCTCGTAAGTTTTAGATCTTTATTTATATATACTCTTTCTAAAAATCAATTACTCAAATTCTTAATTTAATTTAATATTTTGATGATAATAAGATAAACAATGTTGGAGGGATTCGGGCAAAGCCGACAGTGGATTTTACAGCAGAGGATTTCTCGTTTCATTTTACGACCAACTTAGAGTCTGCTTTTCATCTGAGCCAGCTTGCACATCCTCTTCTTAAGAGTTCAGGATGTGGGAACATTGTCTTCATATCTTCTGCTGCTGGGATTTTGTCGTTTACTGTAATTAGCTCCATCTACTCTGCAACAAAAGGTAAATATACTAAACTAGCTATTGAAGAAAACAAAAACACCTATCTGTGATTATTGAGATTTTCAGTAGAGGTTTCTTTTTTCTTACAATGGTTTCACATGTAAATACAAAGCCATAAGCTGGTTCTTAAAACAATATTCTAAGGCATTGATATGTGTATGTGTGTGTGACATTAGCGGCGATGAATCAGCTAGCAAGGAATCTGGCATGTGAGTGGGCTAGTGATGGAATTAGGGCTAATGCTGTGGCTCCTGGAGTCATTGCAACTCCTCTAGCTGGAGATGTGAGATACAAACTATATATGCTACATTTCCTCCAAGACCCATCTCCCTTTCCTGCCTTTGCTGATATCTTTACTTTGATGATGATCTTTAGGTGTACGATGATGAGTTCAAGAAGGTGGTAGAGTCTAGAAAGCCATTGGGGCGTTTCGGGAAGCCTGAAGAAGTAGCCTCGGTGGTAGCTTTTCTATGTATGCCTGCAGCTTCTTACATAACTGGTCAGACCATTTGTGTAGATGGAGGTATCACTGTCAATGGTTTCTCGTATCAGCCACAAGGTTGAATCCAATGTCCAAACTACCAATAAACTCAAACTTTATTACAATAAGGTTGTCGAGACTTGGCACGTTAGAACTCTTTTCCTCTAGAAGAAGGCATCTAGAGTATATCACCTATGAGGCTATGACTTATATATAGAATCTTATTGTATGTTCTAATTTCTAGCTCGGTATTATACTTGATCTCATCTATATAATATATAATTCAGGACCTTAAATAACCTGTGTCACCCCAATTAACAACAGTGACACAAACGAGAATGATCACTAGTATTTAAATATGTAAAACAAAAATAAAGTGGTATTTTGTCCTCTCATGCATGATCAAACTAACACACCTATACGGTTTGATCCTGATCCAGAACATCATCATCTGTCTGTTTACATAGAATATACGCATTCTCTGATTCTCTCTCGTATGTATGTAGTCAGTTTTGACGTGTTTTCAACTTTTTCGGCCGCATGCATGTTCAACCTTTTCCATTACTGCGTTTGATGATTTCATCTGATCATGATCAGTAAACTACATTATCATTTTTCAATGCCAATTTATTTAGAATATTTCGTTTTAAGGAAACAAAACCCTAATAAACTAATCAATATTCTGATTTCATCTCATCGATATTTATCACTTTGCTCTTTTGCCTCTCATATAATATTGGACCAGCACGTCTTGCGAGTACTAAACATATATATAGTCGGAAGACTTAAAACTTCTGAAAAGATTCGTCTATCAGCTCTATAGTATTCTATGAGAACCTATAATTTATAATTTCAAGTAATTAAGGAATGGTGTTTAAAAATCATATCAATTTTGTAACATGAAATATGATGAAATCACAAAGGTTAGTTCCATATAATTCAACATTAACTTAGCAGTATCTCATATTCCATTCAAAATTCCCGAAAAGAAAACAATTCTCGACCACTACTACTAGCTAAGTTGTCACGATGCAATAAATGTAAATTAGTTATTTGTTTTTTTCTTAACTTTTTAACTTTATTATTTCAAATTCTAATTTAAAGATCAAAAGTTCGGCGAAACCTTAAAATAAAACGAGAAGGGGTGGAAAAATAATACTAGAAATTAAAATTGATGACCACGTAAGAACAAACACACCATGGATGTATCGAAGGCCTAAGTCGAGGTGCATGCCACCATGCACACTAAGCTTTGGATATATCTACTAAAATAATACCATCTTTATCAAAATCGTATAATAATATTAATGTCATGATAACTCAAACGCTATGTTCCAAAAACAGCAACTGAATGATTTGTCACCTACCAATGATTCTAGCAGCTTCAGTATATACAGTGATTTTGGTTGGATCGGTGGGTACACACACATGAACGAGGGCCCGTTTAATCCTCTACGTTTATCATGTTCGTGCGTTTTGAGATTTCGGTAACACTCATCACAATTAATTTTTATATTATAGTTTCTGATAATCTTTTATCCACTTTTCCCCAATGTCATCTCTTTACCTTGTTGCTAGATGAGTAAATTAAACACTGTTGAGTCGCATGATTAAAGTAACATTATAGATGGAGATAGAAGAGTACTAGATCGTGTGTTTTACATCAATTAATGTTAGCTTTCAATGGGGTGGATGTATTCAATGAAGAAGGATCGATATCTCCGTGAAGACGACAATAGCTAATTAAGAGCTTAGATCTTGAGATCTTGACAACAACCAATAGAAGAGTATGTCTAGATATGATATACATATAGATGGGCATGATGTTATTGCTAAGAGTATATATATGGATCTTGATTATCAAAATATTTGTTGTTGAACAAATAATGGTGGAAAAGGAAAGCTAGCTGCATATGCGGGTACTAGCTACTATTAAGATGACCGCTATGGAACAATTTATTTACGATTGTTACGTTATTGCTGCATGATTGTTGGTTTACTAGTGATGATATAAGTAATCATTTTTATTTATTTATCTATGTTTGGGAGCTGGTGAATTAATCCAATTTTCCACTTTTTCATATAAATAAAAAAACACAGCGAATAGGAAGGTGGTACGTGGATCGAAAACTCAACTCTCAGAAGAGATATGTAGTAGTATATGGGACAAGGCGAGAGCCCCGACCGACTAAGGGAATAGCCGGACCCAACCAACACTTATATGCTCAGTTCAGGACGAAACACCAAAAGATTTTGACCGGCGAGAAAAAAGGGAAACATATATGCATGCAAGGATTGCTTCTAAATCAGTACTCTCTAGTCAGATTTGAATATTTTCTGTAACATATATACAATTAGCCTTTTTTTTTTTTTGCAGTTGAGAGAGACACATTTAAGCTTTTGTGAAATGGTAGTTGATCACTAGAGAGAGAGAGATAGAGAGAGTATAGAGAGTGTGAGAGACAGGGTGACCTAACTTTCACTGCAAACAGTAGAAGTCGCAGTAAAAAATAAATATAAAATTTGGTCTAAAATAAAAAGAGCTACGATGGTAACACGTGTACGGTGTAGACAAAATAATCCCTCAGATTCTCTTTAATAAAAGGTTCGCCGGAATTGAACAGAAAGAAGTAAAACGTATAGAGAGATAAAATTGCTGGGCCACTGCTTCACCAAAAAGCCTTTTCTTTTTTTAATTGTATTTTCTTGCTTTTTTTTTTTTCTGTAACGGTTAAAACTCTTAATTATTAATTCCAAGACAACTACACTTACTGACTTACGTGTCCTATGTACGGCTTTCTCTTGCTGTGAGGCCTTGATTGTTAAATAGATTTTGTTTTATATTCTTAGGTAATCATGATTGTAATGTTAACAACACTCACTAGGTGAACCGTGAACAGATGAGATTTTTTTAGTTGCGTGAAAATCTACTACAAGTTGTTGATCTCGTGCGTGCTTAGTAGTTAGTACCTTTTTATATCAATAATCCACTTTGTCAAGATATTCAATTCTTTATCAAACTATATATATAGTTCCCTTAATTATTTATACGCTTTAGTTAAAATGCGGATCCGCACCCTAAATCTAATTCAAGTGCTGAGAATCTCCGTGGTCTTTACTCTTTATTAATTTCTTAGCGAGCCTTTGATACATTTCAAACTTTCAAACAATGCATAGCCGTTCTCTTTGGAGATTATTATCGGTCCATATATACTAGTATATATATATTCAACAAAACAACAGATGCGTAAAGTGTGAACTATAAAAAGAAAAAGAAACATATACAGTACGTAACTGATGTTTATATGACACAAAATGAAAAGAGAAAGAAAAAAATAAAAAGATAAGAGAATTTTGATATGAAAAGGTAACATACGTGTCTAAATGTAACATAATTTGTAGCTTCACACTTCACAGTTATATATATATATATATAAATTACTACATGGCTAGCAAAATCGCTGTCTAATAAGGCTTTTCGTACTTAATTCCGTTAGTCTTGAAAAGTTGACCTAATTATAGATCAAATTAAGGTTAACTAACACAAAATCAACAAGTTTTTAACTAACGTAATGGGATTTATTTAGGATATTAAATAAGATAATTAAATTTGGTGATTAGACACACATAATTTTATCTTTAAGGAGACAATTTGAAAAAACAAAAAGGGTCTTCCCGGAGAAAGAATGGACCACAATCGTGGCGCGAAAGGAACTTCCTCTCTCCCCCCCTCTGTTACATTTTCATTGGTCCACGTTTATCTCTCACCTGATCGTGATGCTTACGTGGTCCATTTCTAGATCGTATAGTGACTAAAATCGACGGTCAAGATTTTTTATCTTTCTTTTTTCAGACACAAGACCAATACGTCACGGTTTTGTGTAAAAAGATTTTTTTCCAAGGCGGGTGGAGAAAAATCAAAGTAAAAAATAAAAAGAAAGTTAATTTTGAAAACAAAACGAATTTAAAAATGTATTTGTGAAGCGGTAGGCGCGTGGGGGTATATAAATGGTAACACCTTTGTAACGTGTAAACGATGATATTTTTATTCATTTGCATGGTCTAATCAAAATAAAAATCGGAGGAAGAGATTTTTTCCATTCTCATCGGAAATAATTAATTCACGATCCAACCGGAAAAAAATATAGCAGAGACGAAGAAATCTGAGTTATATATATATGGCTGATATATGTTACGAGGACGAAACGTCGGCTTGTGAATCGAGACCGTCTTGGTCTAGCCGGAAGTGGAGGATCGGTGTTCAACGATTCAGGGTCTCTCCACCGGCGGAGAAGATGAATCCCACGGAGGCAATGGACGAAGAGAAGCCGGAAGGGGTTTACAACAAGCGAAACAAACAAGACGACTACGATTTTATGAACTGTGCGTCGTCGTCACCTTCTCGAAGCTCTCCGGAAGAGAGTGTTGAAGACAGTACTGACGTCTCCATGATAAACTCATCGGTGAATAGTAGTTGTATGGTTGTTTCTGCTAAGAAGACGGTGAAAGAGACGGATCTGAGGCCGAGGTACGGCGTCTCGTCGGTGTGCGGGAGAAGAAGAGATATGGAAGATGCCGTTGCGATTCATCCGTCTTTTGTACGGAAACAAACCGAGTTTTCTCGAACGAGATGGCACTATTTTGGTGTTTACGACGGCCATGGCTGTTCTCACGTACGACGCCGTTTAGTAGATATTTTTATAAAAATATTCTACTATTTTTTTTATCGGTTTGCCTGATCTGGAACGCCGTCGTTTTGTAGGTTGCGGCGAGGTGTAAAGAGAGGCTTCACGAGTTAGTTCAAGAAGAAGCGCTTTTAGATAAGAAGGAAGAATGGAAAAAGATGATGGAACGTAGCTTCACGCGCATGGATAAAGAGGTTGTTCGTTGGGGTGAAACTGTGATGAGTGCTAATTGTAGATGTGAGCTTCAGACCCCTGACTGCGACGCCGTTGGATCCACCGCCGTTGTCTCCGTCATTACCCCGGAGAAGATTATTGTCGCTAACTGCGGCGATTCTAGAGCAGTTCTTTGTCGGAATGGTAAAGCAGTGCCTCTGTCTACAGATCACAAGGTCAGTCTCTATATGATCTCTGTCGATCGACATATTTATATGTTTGATAATTTGGTTGGATTTTTGTGGATTTAAGTTTGGTTTTCTACGTTTTGAAATGAATAGCCGGATCGTCCGGATGAGCTGGATCGAATCCAAGAAGCAGGAGGGCGAGTGATATATTGGGATGGTGCAAGAGTCTTAGGCGTTTTAGCCATGTCACGAGCTATAGGAGACAACTACTTGAAACCGTACGTGACTTCGGATCCGGAAGTGACGGTAACGGATCGGACGGAAGAAGATGAGTTTCTGATTCTAGCAAGTGACGGGTTATGGGACGTAGTGACGAACGAGGCCGCGTGTGCGATGGTGCACATGTGTTTAAATAGAAAGGGTGGTCGCGGAGGAGGACGACGGCGAGGAGAAACTCAAACTCTGGGGAGGAGAAGCGAAGAAGAAGAAAGTAAAGAGGAGGAGGAGGAGGTGGTGGGGTCAAGAAAGAACGGGAAGAGAGGAGAGATCACGGACAAAGCATGTACGGAGGCGTCAGTATTGCTGACGAAGCTGGCGTTGGCAAAACACAGTAGTGACAACGTAAGCGTCGTCGTTGTTGATCTCAGAAGAAGAAGAAAGAGACACGTAGCTTGACACTAATCTCCTATTCACTCTACTCCACCGTCTTCTTTTTTTTATTTTCTCTGTTTAAAATGATTCTTTTTCCTTGGGACGAAGGTAGCTCATATCTTCTCCGAACCTAAAAGAGAGAAAAGATAATGGCAAAGCATTGGTTGGAAAAAATCTATGCCCCGGTTTAAAAAAAAAAACCGATAAACCAGAGTGGTATAGTTGGGTGTTTCTTTTTGTTCTAAACCATTTTTTTTGTTTACTTTTTTTTTTTACATGGTGTAATGAACAAACATAAAAAGGAAAGATGTGATGTGCCATGTGTCACTGTCTAGGTAGAATCAGTTCAAAATTCAATTAATAAAAAGTGATGTACATATTTCTTTTGCTTTGAAACAGAACCAATTAATTCAGATACACGTGGTGATCTTCGAGAACATCAACGGGAATTTTCTTTTGTTAAATAGAGAGAGACTTTAAAATCTCTCTACAACGAGTTAGCATTTTTTGTGTGTTTGAAGACATTCGAAATCCAACGGAAGTGAATGAGAGAGACGATAATAGGGAAGAGGACGTGTCAAAGAGGTGAACAAAGGAACCCTACACCACGGAAAAAGGACGTGACCCACCATGGACCGATGCACATTTTATATGCGCATTTGTACGTGTCGGTGTCGGGTGATTGATTGAGTTATAATATTTGACCTAATCAGTGTTTTATCTAAACATGTTTACATATCAGACACAATGTCAACATAAGTTAGCTGTCGTGTAAGAATCTATATTCGGAAGAAGACCAAATTACTGTCAAATGGACCGGGCCAGCCAATTTTAAGATCGAATAGGATTCAGCGAGTAACCCCAAGTTTATACCCGTTTGCATATTAAGCTTCAAAATCGATTACACATACCAAATGCTTCAATTGCCAAACCCAAACAACATACTCAGTTGAAGTACCGAATGTTTCTTTTTCTTCCAAATATGCCACATCTGTAGCAATTCTAGCCACACATAATAAACTAAGACACATGACAGTTGCAGCAACCCGAAAACAAAATGTTAAGGAAAAGGAGAGGTTGCAGAATAGGACCTCTCCGGTGACAAATGTACTATGCAATCCGAACTGGCCATTTCACGTTTGTTTCATGTCACCATTTTCTTTAAGGGTCTTCAGTCTTCTGTAGCCCTTGTCAGTACCAAAGATCCTGCACAACACCAGAGACGAGATTAGTGAATTACACAGTTGACTCAAAACTAGTTACGATCATCTTTTCTCGAAAGCAAATAGAAATATATAGTTAAGAGGATCACCAGTCCATATACACAAAGGTTGAAGAGTAGTTGCCAGACTTAGTGTAGAGCAGTCGGTGATGGTAGTCATGGAAGTCAGAGCTGTAACCAAATTAATAATGATTCCATTAATACAATTTATTCTAGATTCGAGTTCAAGAGAGGTGGTTAGATGTGTGATCTTACCCTCCATACAGAGGAAGAAAATTCGAGAGACTCCACGGGAAATGATAACCGCAATGCGCCTCAACAGTCTCAAGCACTCTCAACACCATCCATAACCAGAGAGTAATCAGGTGAGGACCGGTGAGCGCTGGACCGACTATGGTAGCAAAACCCAGGAATAGAATCTCAGCAGGATGAGCATATTCTGATGTCAAACCAAATGGTGTGGCATATCTGGGATATCATGAAAATGGTTGCTTTCAGAAAGTTATCTAAGCTAACATTGCCAAGTATCAAAACTGAAAGCAGATGGTGAACACTGAAAACTTACTCATGATGCACACTGTGCACGTTCTTGTACAGCCATTTTGAATGCAAGATCCGGTGACCCCAATAGAAGACAAAATCCTCAATGATGAAGTAGAATAATATCTGGGCAGACACTTCTTTCCTGCAGGACCATCACCAAAGAGGGTCTTATATACCTGATCAAACATAAGCTCAGGTTCTTTCATGATGCTCAACACTGACAGGTTTGATTGTGTTTTTATTTTCTACTGCCAAATGGTATAGTTAAACATCAATACCAGGACGGCAAAGGAAAACTGCTTCGCATTCCCATGGCTCTAAAGACAGGATAGGAAGCCATCATGAGGGGCAAGTTCACGCAGAAATGATAAAGCAGCAGGCGGGTAATACATTTTCCTTGGGCTGCAGGTGTGTTATTTTTTGTCTGCATACAACCAAAACAAAAGTATTGGTTGATTTGATCATATAGGATAAGGGAAGACGAGAAAAAGGATCAGATTTCACAATTACTAGTATTTTGTAATTGCTGAAATGACAATATATTTATTCACTTTTATCAGTGAAACTACAGTTGCCTTCACCATAAGTCACAAGAAAACACTTTCACGTGTGGCTGAATACTCGGAGATCAACCTCCACACGATCATATTCAAACCATCACACAAAACTATAATTGCATACGTAGAAGACACTTGGAACGATATGTGAATGAGAGGAGAAATAAACCTGAATTTTGTACTTGCTGAGAAAGCCTGCCCTTTCAAGATATATGAAAGGGAATCCAGATAAGAAAAACACGCTTTCATGGAGGAGAAAACTCCCAATGCACGCTAGTTGAAAGTCGCTAAAATGTGTCACAAGGTACTGCATCAACCACAGAAAAAAAATAAAAAATATTAGCTAACAGATCCTGCAGTTCTCTGCAGAGAGAACACTCATAATAGCCAATACGCGCAAAACACTAAAGAAAGAGAAAAAGTCTTCTGATGGTTATATAGTAGAAACAAAAACTGACATCAAACAATTCAATGCCTCTATCATTAAAGAAGAAGCAAACATTGAAGACAATGGTCCATGAAACACCAATGCTGATCAACACGTGTTTCATTGATCTAAGTTAACAAGTATAGTGCTGGTCAATTCTTCAGGTAGGAAAGATCATATGAGAAACAATCTTCCGGACCATGCAAAATCCCAAATAGTAATCCATGCGTTTTGCAGTTTTGGGATACAGATCATTGGGAACTCCGCAAGTTATAATAGTGATAATTATATGATTCATGCGTCTTAAGTTCACAGTGCCAACACTTTAGATCCGTTTAAGCTACAAAAACAAAACAGAAACTGAAAACAAAGGCTCATGATTCCTACGTATATAGTCAAATTTAGATCTAAAACAGCACAGCAACCGAGACGACACCAAATTTAATCCGATCAATCAATACAATCCAGAGCGGTGGATTCGAACAAAGCAAATAGAAATTGAAACACGCATGTATCATCACAATGCGGTGAAGTGAAGACAGGGAAGACGGGGAAAACAGGAGGAAGTCCCCGGGTAACCAAGGGAATCGGAAACAGGAGGAGGATGAAAGAGAGAGTACCTGCCAACCAGATTCGATGAGGGAAGCCATGGATGGATCTATGGAAGACAGATGGGGAGATGAAGAAGGAAGAAGAAAGAGGTGCGAGAGAGGCCACGCAGTGAAACAAACAAACAGACTGTCACGAAAATGAATACAAATCTGGTCACTGAGATATTTATTTTATTTTATTTATTTCACCAACTTTTTTTGTTTTTTTTAAAATAACATTTTTGTTTTAATTGACCTCTCTCTCTTTATCTCTCTATCCCTCTATCAGAGACGGGGGACTTTTCTTTGTAGACTTGAAGTAAATGGCTGCTAACACATCCCCTCGTGCGCATCATCACCCTCCACCTCCCTATTTTAGCTGTTTTGATCCCATTTTTAAATTTAAAGTTGTGGATATGTTAATAATCATGGGTTAAAGCAAATTCTTAACCATAATCAGATTACACTGGCCAAACCAAGAGCTAATCCTAAGGAGATCATTTTCTACGTTTCTCATGAATGTCAGATAACCAAAGAGCTTCATAGATATGTGTCTGCAAGATGTTTTTTTTAAAACTTGTTTTCCCTGGGAAATGTTGTGTCTCAATACAACTAAACAAACTCTGGTAACATAACTGATAAATCCAATATGGAATAACAAAGACCTGAAAAAGAAAAAAGAAGGTATGCTATACTTGCTGAATTGCGCCGGAAATAGAAGCCAAAAAAGGAAACTGGGAAAAGGTCAAAAGAGATATTCTTGAAAACTCAAATGTGTGTGATTGATTGATTAGTCATTTCCTATAGTTGGAGGTAACTAGGTAGAACAGCACCCTTTTTTGTTAGTCGCAGATGAATCTGATATATTGATCGCAGTTCCTTGGCCCGGGACCGGAAGATTACCTGCAGCTTCTTGTGCCGCTAAGGCTTTCTTGCTTATGATATGATAAATCTCGGACAAAATGGTTTGAAACGCTTTCTCGATATTGGTTGCTTCCAAAGCTGATGTCTCGAGGAACGACAAACCTTCCTTCTCAGCAAGAGTGCGGCCATCTTCGTCAGCAACAGATCTAAGGTGATTCAGGTCTGATTTGTTTCCAGCCATCATGATGACAATGTTGGAATCAGCATGATCCCTTAGCTCGCGTAACCATCTCAGGACATTCTCAAAGGTCTGCCTTTTAGTTATGTCGTAGACAAGAAGAGCCCCAACAGCTCCTCTGTAGTAAGCACTTGTGATTGCTCTATAACGCTCTTGGCCAGCAGTATCCCAAATCTGAGCCTTCACTGTTTTGCCTTCAACCTGATGATCAGATACACACGGGATCATATTAACAAACACAAATATCTCAGGCTTCTTCAGAGTTTCCAATTGCTACAGTTACAATTTCGAACAAAACACCTTACGAGAATTAATGTCCATAACATTGAGATGTTCAGATCTAAAACAACTTAGAAGGAGCATCTGAATTCTGTTCAAATAGAATCTAGCTTAGTACTCTCAATCGATCGATCTGTAAGGAAATAGTCTGGATTCTGAAGAGCAGAGAGAAGGGAGATGATCTCTCACCTGTAACGTCCGGGTGGCGAATTCGACGCCGATGGTAGATTTGGATTCGAGACAGAACTCGTTTCTGGTGAATCTAGAGAGGATGTTGGATTTACCGACACCGGAGTCGCCGATCAGGACGATTTTGAACAAGTAATCGTACTCATGATCTATTCGATTCGCCATTGCTTCTCAAAATCCTAGCGTCGGATCTCCCGATCAACCTACGCAAATACACACATTCACACGTCAACATCGACCCAATAAATCATACAAAAAAACAAAAAAAAAAACGGTATCGACAATGAGATCAAACGAATCGAGGTCGAAATCGAAACCCTAGAAAATTGAAGGAAGATTTGAATTTTACCCTTAGAGCAAGCCGGAAGGATCGAGAATGGAAGAAATGTTTTTTCTTTTTTTCTTTTCTTTTTTCTCCTTTCTTCTCCGTTTCTTTTCCTTATACGTTGCGAGTTTTGTGTTTTCATGAGGTGAAAACGGAAACACCCATTGATTTTTTACTTTCGAATTTTGAGATATATTTTTTTCCTTTGTTTAACCTTGCACGAAAGAAATAATTTCATTAATTCGAATCCTCTGTTATAAGGATTTTTATTAAATCACATGTATCTATATTTAGATTCGATTTAGCGTATAATTTCTGATCTACTTAAACAAAAAAGGCAATATACAAGTTCAGTTGTTCGGGATTACTGCAATCGAATTACGAATATAATTATTAGAGAGAGAGAAAGCAATTAAAAATTAAAACGACACTAATTGATTATTAGCATACATAACCAAGTTAAACATACATCAACCAAATAACATAGAGCCATATTCTAACGAAAAACCACAATCAGACGAAACCTCACACACTCACACTGACACTGACACTGACACTGACACTGACACTGACACACAGAGACTACTCAGAAACAGAGTACTCAAGCGAATTGGCTCAGCCAGAGATGTCAATAGACTTAACTTGGGGCTTCTTCGCCTCTACCTTAGGCACCGTCACAGTGAGAACACCGTTCTCCATGGAGGCTTTGACTTGATCCATCTTCACGTTCTCCGGCAGCCTAAACTTCCTCGAGAATTGACCGCTAGACCTCTCCACACGGTGCCACGTGTCCTGCTTCTCCTCTTTCTCCACGTGTCTCTCTCCGCTGATCTTGAGCACGCTGTCTTCCTCTATCTCCACTTTCACCTCCTCTTTCTTCATCCCCGGCAGGTCCGCCTTGAACACGTGCGCCTCCGGCGTCTCTCTCCAGTCCACACGTGCGTTCACAACCGCCGACGTTTCTCCGGAGAGCGATGACGAGGGGAATTGCATGTCCTTGAACGGATCCCAAACGTCGAGTGAGAACGGATCGAAGAGGCTGTTGCTTCGCCTGTTGTTGCCGAATAAGCTTGGAATTAGCGACATTATTGATTGATTTGAAAGTGGTAGGAGATTATGTTTGGAACGCTGAGATAATTTTATCAATTTTGTGACGACTTCGATTTCGACTTCTGAGTAAACGGGATTGAGTCTAATGATGTATTTATGGTGGCGACAAAGAAATCTCTAGAGCTTCTAGATTTTTCACACCATAACCATGACAAGATTGGAAAATAAGAATGATCCTGAAAACTCTAGATGCCTTTCAATTTTCAAGTACAACTCTTTTCTCCCGTAGTGTGTTTTATGGGCCATTATGGGTTTGTGAAGCCCAAATATTATGAGAAATCCGTAAGGACTAGTTAATTTCTTGCTTGGTATTTCACTCCAGTGTTACTCTTTCTTACAATCACATAAAAATATACGGTTTGTCCAACAACAAGGATAACATGACTGATGACAAAAAAAAAAAAAAAAAAAAAAAAAAAAGAAAGGATAACATGACTTTTCATCAAAGAGGAGAATACACTAGTGTACGGTGTACCTCTAACTGAGACACCGATTCAGTTGCAGACATGGGAACGCTTGAACCGTTGAAGATGACTGACGGATTGATCAACACGATAAAACCATTCTCGGGACCATCGTGTGTCTATGCAGAGGAAAGCAAACAAGGCCAAGGATGTAGAGATGTAGACAGAAGCACAAGTCCAGTAAAACCACACTATGTCTATCACATCACCTTCTTCTTCTTCTTCACTGTCTTCCTCATTGGTCTGTGATGTTACACTTGGCTCAGGGACTCTCAGAGAGATGCAACTTTTGTTGGTAGGAAGTCCACAGAGATGAGCATTGCCTATGTAACTCTTTTCGTCAAAGGTTACAAGATGGCCTTTGAAAGGGATTTCACCAGATAAATTGTTAAACGAGATATTCAAGTATCCTAAACTGTTGAGATCAGCTAACACAGGAGGGATGCTTCCATCTAGTTTATTGTTGGATAGATCAAGACTTTCTAAGCCCTTCAACTTTGAAATGCTATCTGGTATGGATCCTGTGAGGCAGTTGCTTGACAGATTCAGGGATCTGATATTCTGAAGATCTCCAATCTCAACTGGAATTTCACCCGATAGTTCGTTGCTTGACAAATCCAGACCATGCATATAGTTGAGTATGTCACCTTGATAGGCCTCGTATCTACTTTTCGTTAAAAAATCCACTATGGTTGCTGGTTTTGGTTGATAACCATTCCTGACACCATCATCCAAGTTAAGATGTGAAGAGTACTGACAATGTCGCAAGAATGTAATGTATGAGAAGTCAAAGTCTGCAACAAGTGACATAACACGGTCATTATTTTCTGCACCAAGAGACATTTTACTGAAACATGATGGTATGGAGCCTCTGAATTTATTGTGAGACAAGTCCAAGAGACCAACTTCACTTAGTTGACATATCTTCTCAGGGATATAACTTTGAAAGCTGTTATTCCGTAGAAGAAGAACACGCAACTTAGATGTCTTGTCAATAGCATTCAGAATCTTTCCAGAAAAATTATTGTTCCGCAAATCAAGAACTTCTAATCCTGCAGCCTTGAATAAATTGCCTGGAATAGACCCCATAAACTCATTGCTTTGTAGTCTTAATTCTCGGAGAGATGGAAAATCTACATCTTTTGGTATCGAACCAGAGAAGCTATTGTGTGAGATGTCCATAACCTCCAGCCAAGGACTCTGTCGTTGAAAAGGGAAAGGGCCTTTTAGCTGATTTCCACTCATGTAAAGGTATGTGAGGCTTGACATCCTACCAATCCAAAGCGGAAGCATACCTGAAAACCTATTATCTGATATGTCTAAAAGAGTTAGATTCTTTGACTTTAATAAACCCTTTTCAAGACTCCCAGTAAAATTGTTGCCATCAAGAAAAAGCCCAACTAAACCAGTAAGATTTGCATGCTTCAAAAATATTGTCCCCTGTAATTGGTTGTTTGAGAGCTTTAGAACCTTCAGCGAGGAGCAACCACTTAAAAATGTCCGGGGAAGCTGCCCATATAGATCATTAGAAGACATGTCCAGGACTTGTAGGCTTTTCATCTTGCCGATCGAAGATGGAATAGTTCCTTGAAAATGATTAGAAGAAAAGTTTATAAACCTCAGACCTGGAAACACAACCCCTATGTCCTCTTGAATTGAATCATATATCATATTACTCGAGATATCAAGAACTTGCAAGCCATGAACACGCATAGGTAGTTGAAGCTTGGTCAATGAGTTCCTACCTAATAATATAGTCTGCAGCCTTGTGTTATTCTTCACAAGCCATGTCGGGAATGTTCCTGTCAACTTGTTATGAGAGAGATCAACGAAGCACAAGTCATACTGATCCACGAGAAAGCCGAGCGTTGTGCTGCCAAGATTGCAATTCGATAAATGTAAAATCTTCAATTGAAACAATGGAGCCCAAGAATTCTCAGTCTGAACTTCGATCATACCAACTTTTGATGACAATTTGAATACTGTGAGTCTTGTTTGATTGACCAGTGAGTTGAACAAGAACGAACCGGTGAAGTTATTATCAAGAAGCGACAAGTACTCCAGCACTGGTGGTAGACCAGACGCAAAGGCAGAAAGGTTTCCATTCAATGTGTTGTTCGATAGATCAAGGGTTCGAAGATGCGTTAAGTTGCCCAAACAATAAGGTAGACTTGTTAAAGCATTGCTGCTCAAATCTAGCTCCATGAGATTCACTAGTCTGCAAATCCCCAAATAGCCTGAAATTAGTCAAATAAGAGCGTAAGAAATCAGAATAACATAAACTCCATCTATAAAACGAGAGTACTGTTCTATATAAACATATTTATAAACAAAAAATAAAAAACATATTCTATATAAACAAAAGGAAGAATTATTATATTCATCACCTCCATCATCCAAAGTCAGTTAGGAGGGTGACAAAACTGTGAATCTTTATACCAAAAAAAAAAGCATAAGCTAATGAAACAGAAGAGAGAAAATGATTGTGATATTTTACCTTCCTGGGCCAAAGACAATTGATTCCTTTTGAGATCCAATACTTGTAAAGATGTAGGAATCACTAAACCTGCGGTTGGAAAAACATAAAGATTATATATATATATATAAATAAAGATTTCAATGTGTTACTTCTATGAAGCTTGTAAAGTGTAAAGTGACTGTTAAGATCCGACCCAGAAAAGCCTTTTATATATTCACCAACCCCAATGTAATATACTGATTAGTCACTAACTCACGAAATTATTATAAATTCTCGACCCCAAAACCTACACCAAACCAAACAAGATCCAGAATTTTTATCTCAATCTGATTCTACTTTCTTTAACACATCCCACAGTAAACGACTTGAGGTTTGCTATGCTCATCTGCAAACTCAGATGCAATTCTTATCCAGAGGTTACAATAGTTACAGAATATTTCCAGAAACACTAGGCTTTCAGAGTTTCTTGCTGAACTTATAACTTCTTTCTGACCTGGACTTGCTGAAAGACTTCTATAAGTTTAAGCTTTTTCTCATTTCTACTCTTATTAAGATGAATGAGAAATTTCAACTACATAGGTTAAAACAATTGTGATATATATGTTAGAGCAAGCAAGTTTCTCTTTCTATAAATATCTTACCTAGGCCATGATCCAAATTTGTGAACCTATTGTCACTGAGATCCAGTTCTTGCAACTTTTTCAGAGCTTTCAGTACTGCGCAGGCAAAAGACATTCTTAGGAAAAGATTCAGAAAACATTTGATTGCCTGCCAACTCTACGCAATAAGTATCTTCCGGAAAGAACAGTTTACAACACTTACCATGAGTAGATAGCGTGTGGTTGAATTTATTGCCTCGTAATTTCAAGACTGCTAACTCTCGGAGACTTTCTAAACCTGGAGATCCCGAAAAAACACAAGTTATAATTAGAAAGCTGACATAATTGGGATAAAGATCATGAAAGTAAACTCCAGGTACTTTTGGTCTACCTTTAAGTTGAGAAAAATCTGACAACGGATTGAAACTAAGATCTAGTGTTTTCAGTTTCGCTGTACTAGACCCTGCATCAACAAACAAATAGTGATACCATGAGTCCATAAGTGTGTTATAAGTCAGCAAAGATAAGCAATTCCATAAAAGCCACTCACTGTGACTAGCCTCAGAGTCGTTGACACCATTGAAACTGAGATCCAGTACTTCTAACTCTCTGAACTCGGTTAAACCTGCATCTCAATGTCTCCCTTAGTCATTTAGCATCAACCCATTAGTTTGATTTTGGAACGAAAAAATTACATTAGGTTTGTTAATGTATTTACCTTGAACCGATAAGAAGCTGAAACTGTTGTCCTTCAAGTTTAACACTCTCAGTTTTGTCATGTTTGTAAGTTCTGCCACACCAGAACAAGAAGCCGTCAAGATCATCGCCAGTTGAATCATATAATTTTTTTTTATAAAGTATAACATTCAGAAGAAATACATAACCTTGAGGAGGAAAGACACCTTCCATATAATTTGACTCAAGATGTAGAGTCCGGAGCGATGTCGCAGCACTTAAAAAAGGAACAATACTGTTGTCGAACATATTGTGGGAGAAATCGATAGTGGTGAGCTTCTCTAGCGTGGCAAAACTCTTATAACCTGAAAGCATGAATGCATAAAACTAAAAATTCTCTTTCGAGCAAACTGTCGAACACCTGATGTGCACTATCTGCTATCAACGACAAAATTCACGCACCGCTATACCATTTTCACACTATCATCAAAATCTGAAGTTGAGATTTATACACACACAAGCACAGCTCATATCGACATAAATCACTCATTGGATGGACCAGCAATTACTGATCTTAGAGACAAACTATACGGTAAACGAACTATTTAGGAGACAATCAGACAGATGACCAAAAAAAAAAAAAAAAAATGAGACAATCAGACAACGTACGTAACTAAGGAAATTGATTTGGTTAATATCGGTTTAAGTCTTAACCGATAATTCTGATTGTTGGTTTTCAGATATTAATTAGAAAGATTCCGATTACGAAGGACGTGCGTACGAAGGACGTGCGTACCATGGACGTGATCAGACAAACCAGTGAACCAGTTCCAAGAAAGGTTAAGGCTTTGGAGTTGAGGAAAAGTATGAAGCAAAGAAAGGTTTAAAGAGCGAGTTTGCAACTCAAATGCGATGGGTAGGAGACGATCCAGTGAGAGATCGACGATGTCGCCACTAATAGCATCGCTACACTTTACCCTCTCCCAACGGCAACAGTCGCCATTATGAGTCCATGACTTGAGAATACTCTTCCCTCCTTCTTCTTCTTCTTCAGCATCAAGGAGACTCCTGAGGTACGACTTAAGTTGCAACAAACCCATCCTTTCAGTTTCTACACAGCCTACACATCCTTTCATTTGGAATTGAAGCATCATTGTTATCGTTATGAACAGTACCAAAGCTATGTTATTCTTCGGTTTAGCCCGCCACCAGCTTCTCTCGTAAGTTGCCATTTTTTTTTTTTAATGTTTTAGACTTTTGTTAGAAAACTGAAAAATTATATGATTCCCAAATTTTGAAGAGCTAAAGCTTACCCAGAATAGAATTGTAAGATGTGAATATAAACTATATAAGTCAACGACAATCAACCCATCTTTGACTAATGCATAAAACTCCAACAATGAGAATTGACCGATAGGTCCATACTCCATCGAACGTACGCCTCTCATTTACGAAGCTATCAACGTCCCTTTTGCAGTGAACCCATGATTATAACTTTGTGTATTGTTGCTTAAATTAAGTAGGATCAGCTAGCTAGAGTCTGAATTCTGAAACACTAACTACACACGTACGTTCTTTAAAGGACTCTAAAATTATAGTAATTACTGATAATTAGGATTCAAAAATCACTTATTTACAAATTTGAGGTTTATGTCTCGACAATTTTATTAGTTTAAAGAGATCTAAAATATTTTTTTGTCAACAACATTTTTATATATTATCGACTAAGAGATAAGATCAACACATTAAGATTTTTTTTTTTCTTTCTTTTTATTACCGTTTGATAACGTTGATGGTTGGGCCTGCTCGATGGCTCTATATGAATTAGCAATTTTGATTCCATTCCATGTAAGATTTGAGCCCAAATGAAAAATGCCTTATTCAACTTTAGGATTTTGGCCCAATAACTGATATATGGATTTGGCACCTTTTTTTATTGTTAAAAGGAAAAGTCAATGGATGGGAGGGACATCTTTGACGATCTAAATAGAGTGAAAATTCATCATCTTCAATCATCTCTCCCACCAATTCCGTTTCTTTGCTTCAACTCTCAGTCTCTTTCTCATTCCTTTCTTCTTCTTACATCATATATTCCTTTCTTCTTCTTACATCAGACTTATCTCTCCGGTTTATTTTAGAAGAATCCCGTACTGAGACCAGGTTTGAAATTAGTTTCTCTCTTCTGTTGTGTTTAGTTCTTAGTCAATTGCATGTTAGAAACAGCATCTCCCTGATCATCCTCTATAGTTATCTTCAAGTTTCTGTTTATCTTTTGCTTGTAAGAGATTAGGGGGAAAAGTTATGTTCTGTGTCTAGTTGTTTTTTTTTTTTTAATTGTAAATATGGTTACCAACTTTGATCAGTTTCCAAATGAGGAAGAATCTCGTTTATTAAGACGAACTGGATTTTCGGATTTCAGTTGGATTTTCTTGTGTTTCATGTTTTTGATCGTCTTATGCTTTGTGATGCTCCTTTTCGGCTTGTAATTTGGCTTTTTGTACAAAAAAGACTATTCATTTCCACACAAAAAAAAATTCTCTTGAATCTTGATTGAGCCTTTTAGGTGTTGGATTGTCTATATTACACACATGCCATTCATGTTTATCGATGGAGAGTATTTGCGGATGCAAAATCTGTTTTGTGTAGAAAGATAAATCCTTTTAAAGTTTTTTATGACGTAGGAGGTTATGCGAAGTGGTGAGGAACTTCGCTATGATTGATCTATCTCTAGCCAGATTATGGAGCACCTGTTTTCGTAGTTTCTTCTACATATCGGCTGTGCTTTTTCTGCTCACCAGCGTAGGAGTTTACTCCTCTGACTCTGAGTATTTGATTGGACTGGGAAGCTATGACATTACTGGCCCGGCGGCTGATGTTAATATGATGGGTTATGCTAACATGGAGCAAGTAGCATCTGGTATTCACTTCAGGCTCCGAGCTCGGACATTTATTGTCTCTGAGCCTCAAGGGAAGCGGGTTGTGTTTGTTAACCTTGACGCATGTATGGCTTCACAAATTGTAACACTAAAAGTGATTGAGAGACTCAAGGCAAGGTACGCACCTTATCTTTTCCTTAGGTTGAGTAGCATTGGTGTTTATAAGATCATAGTACGCAACTGTTTTTTTTTTTTTGTAGATATGGGGACCTATATACAGAAAAGAATGTTGCCATCACTGGTATCCACACCCATGCCGGTCCAGGGGGGTATCTTCAGTATGTGGTGTATATTGTAACATCTCTTGGATTTGTTCGTCAGTCATTTGATGCCCTTGTAAATGGAATTGAGAACAGTATCATACAAGCTCATGAAAATCTTCGTCCTGGATCAATTTTCATCAATAATGGTAAGAACTAATATCTTCTTCTCTCTGGACGTATTTCCTGTTTTTCTGAAAGAAAGTTTAATGCTGGAATCTGATACTGAAAATTGAAATATAGTCAGATGTTGTGTACATTGGAAAATATTCTCAGAAAAAGAATATGTTTGTCTTCTCCTTCCTATTTTATGTTGATTAATTCAAATGGGCAAGGTTTCTTTTATTCTTTGCCTAGATTTTGTACATGTAATGTAGGGTTGTTCTTCGAAACTGCTATTATCATAAGCTAATTAAACTTACCTTACAGGTGAACTCTTAGATGCTGGTGTTAACCGCAGTCCAAGTGCATATCTTAATAATCCTTCAGAAGAAAGAAGTAAACACAAGTATGATGTTGATAAAGAAATGACTCTTCTAAAGTTTGTGGATGATCAATGGGGTCCAGTAGGTAGTTTCAATTGGTTTGCTACCCATGGAACTTCCATGAGTCGTACAAACTCTTTGATCAGTGGGGACAACAAGGGTGCTGCAGCACGATTTATGGAGGATTGGTTTGAACAGAACACTGCTGAAAACTCCTACTCGGAAGAGTTTATCTCAGATGAGATACCTAGAAGAGTTTCAAGCATAATCGAGGATCAGGACAACCGTAAGTTTACAACACCTTTCTAACAACTATATTGTGTCTGTAAAGATGAAACACAATAAACTGTTCAGTTTGTTCGGTCTGATGCAGATGACGAGTTGTTAGAGCTTGCATCTTACTTTAAGTCACAACCTGGTAGGCCTGCAACTAGAATTTCAAGTTCTGCAAGGCGGGTGAGGAGTGCTCTGAGGAAGGCGGACATGCCTGGCTTTGTTTCAGCTTTCTGTCAAACGAACTGTGGTGATGTTAGCCCAAATGTGCTTGGAGCCTTTTGCCTAGACACTGGTCTTCCTTGTGATTTTAATCACAGTACATGTGGTGGGCGAAATGAGATGTGCTATGGGCGTGGACCAGGGTATTAAACTGTCTTTATTTTTCTGCCTGTCTTACAACATTAGATAGCTCAAATTTATCAAAGGCATACTCTCTTGACCTGTTTTGCTTTATCATTGCAGTTATCCTGATGAATTTGAGAGTACAAATATAATCGGCGAGAGACAATTCAAGATGGCTTTGGATCTTTTTAACAAAGCATCTGAACAGCTACAAGGGAAGGTTGATTACCGCCATGTTTATGTTGACTTTTCACAGCTCAATGTGACACTTCTAAAAGAAGATGGGAATTCAGAAGTTGTTAAAACATGTCCTGCGGCAATGGGATTCGCTTTTGCTGCTGGAACCACTGATGGACCAGGAGCATTTGATTTTACACAAGGAGATGATAAGGTATTTGGTCTAAGTCATAATGTATCATCCAATAGGTAAATATTGCCTACATGCTTTTCATTTCTCAAGTCCACCGTTTGGATAAATCAGGGGAACCCTTTCTGGAGATTGGTGAGAAACGTTCTTAAAACACCGGACAAGAAACAAATCGATTGTCATTACCCAAAACCCATCTTGCTTGACACTGGAGAAATGACAAAGCCATATGAGTGGGCTGTAAGTAGTTAAAAAAAATGTGAATTTCCATGACTCTTGTTTACGGTTTTAAGATTCTACTCTTACTTGTCATTCATTCCAGCCCTCAATTCTTTCACTGCAAATTCTGCGTATTGGACAACTTTTCATTCTCAGCGTTCCTGGAGGTAGTGAAGAATATGCAGATTGTCACAGTTCATAATAATGACTTATAATGCGATGTTTAGTATTCCTGTCTATCTTTCTTGTCAGAATTTACAACTATGGCTGGAAGGCGTCTCCGTGATGCAGTGAAGACACAACTTAAAATCAGTGGTAATAAAGAATTGAATGGTGAGATTCACGTCGTGATAGCTGGGTTGGCTAATGGTTACTCACAATATGTGTCTACCTTTGAGGAGTACCAAGTGCAAAGATATGAGGTAATAGCTTATCACACTGATACTGTAGAACAAACTGCTCCTTCTTGTTTCTCTTAATCTGTATCTGATGCAATGGTTGCAATTTTAGGGCGCGTCTACATTGTTTGGCCCACACACCCTTAGTGGCTACATTCAAGAATTCAAGAAACTCTCCAAATCTCTCATCCTTGATGTACCTGTTCAACCGGGGCCTCAACCGCCGGATCTCCTTGACAAGCAACTGAGCTTCCTCACACCAGTCATGATGGACACAACTCCTGACGGAGACAGTTTTGGGGATGTAATCTCGGATGTTCCTAAAAACCTGTCTTTGAAGAGGGGAAACGACCAGGTGACTGTTGTATTCCGGTCAGCTTGCCCTAGAAACGATCTACTGACAGAAGGTATCATCAGCCAACTCACAGAACAAATTGCTTCTGTATATTTAAGTTTTTGTACTTATCTGAGTAACTTCTCCTTGAAACAAGTTACAAATGACGTTTAGGCTGAAAAATGAAAACTGCATTTCTGCTTACCTACTGAGTTTTTTCACTTCTTATTTTGGCTGTGGTGAAGGATAATAACCTTACTCATGTTGGTGTGAAACTGAAATTCAAAATTTTTCAAGCTGATGTAAAATGTCTATAAAATGTCTATTGACTCATGATTTTCCAAATTTGTTTATGCTTATGTCTGCTTCTTAGTCATAGATCATTTCAACATGAGTGACTTGATCATAATTTGATGCTAACAAGAGATACTATGTTCATGGCAGGGACGTTTGCTCTGGTGGAGAGACTAGAGCAGAAGGAGAAGACTTGGACCCCAGTTTATGACGACGATGATCTATGTCTGAGGTTTAAATGGTCGAGGCCTAAAAGGCTGAGCTTCCGAAGTCAGGCCACTGTGGAATGGAGAATCCCCGAGTCTGCATCACCAGGGGTTTACAGGATCACTCATTTTGGGGCTGCAAAGAAGCTCTTTGGGTCAGTCCACCATTTTACAGGCTCTTCTAGTGCTTTCGTTGTAACATAAGTAGATGTAGTCAACTTGTATTATATACTAGGTTTACCTGATGCACTGTCTTGTGCACTTACATGTACTACACAAATGTAGTCAGATAGTAGAATGGTGTCAAAGAATTGATGTAGAGAAGTGTAATGGAACCCAATATACCATTTCATGTAAATGTTCAGGCATTTTGATATAAATTATCTTGCAAAATGGAGTTGGTTTGTTGATGAATCGTTATATTTTCAAAGATAACTAATTTTGATGAAACTCTGTTATCATAAAACATAACAAGTCAAGAAAACAACTGATTCTAGAGGGGCATACAATGGAATCTCACCAAAAAAAGAAAAAGAAAAAAGGTAGCCGCACATGAAGGAAGTAACGAATGTAACCCATCTCAGCAACCTTATACTCCACAACCACTGATTGTCACTGTGTCGGACAATGGAGTTGCCTTTGTGAATGAATTCATGTACCTCAGGGCAAATGAGAGCGACACTGGCTCATTCATCTCTATCACAATCGCATCTTCCGGCTGCAATACACAAAACAAAAACCTGAATAAATCAGCCAGCCATAGATGATTTGTCAACTATTTTATAGCTTTATGCAAAGAGTTAGACATGTTGATCGTTGTCTACAGTTGTGTTCTGCCTGAGCACAATGTTAGCGGTTCCAGTGGAAAACTTCACCCCTTCTTTAGTCATAGAGATGACAACTGCAACCATTGTCATTAAGTCAGTCTCTACTTAGACACAAAGTACCAACTCCGATTAACAATAGAAACAATATAGTAGACACTACAATGTACCTGTATCACCAATGCTACTGAGATCTTTGTAAATCCTTGAAAATTCATTCGAAGGCATCCTCACGATTGAGTGGTACTCGGCCTCAGGTAATCCCAGATGTTCACTGTCTATATCCATCAGCCTCATCTCAAAATCTGCAATCTTGTCTCGCGCTGTAAATCATCCAACACATGACCATGTTAGAAGAGCTTGTTTAACTAGCAAGTGGTAACCTCAAAATTAAGAAGCAAGCAACTGTATGTCTAAGAGAACTGACATCAATCATTCCACAATTGCACAAGTTAAAGTTAGTGGATTGGTTTGTGTTATTTTAAAAAATAAAAGTCAATTTGGAAACTTAGTGAAAGTTTCGGGTTTATTTTGTAATATTAGAAAGATAAAACACCCAAATCCAAAACCGACTTTGCCCTACTTAAATCCCGTCGTCACCTTCGTGTTCGAGAGATTGAGATATCGAGAAGTCGAATCAGAGGAGAAGAGAATGGCTCACAGAATACTGAGAGATCATGAGGCCGATGGATGGGAACGCTCCGATTTCCCAATCATCTGCGAATCGTGTCTCGGTGACAACCCCTACGTGCGAATGGTAATTTCCTCGATTCCATCTCTCTCCCTCACTCTCTCTCTCTCTCTCCAACACAATCTTGGATTTGCCTGACACTTGTTTTGTTTTAGTCGTTCCTGAATCGTGTTTTCAGATCTCATCTGGTGCTCGCTGATGTTTTCTGTATTTTCGGAGTGGTTAGTTAGCTTAGTAATTCATGTTTTAGGGTTTAGGTATAGTATTTTAGATCCAAATCCATTTTATCATAGTTCGAAATGATTATAGCTGCTGCCTCTCATAGCTTTCAGCTGCAAGTTTTATTCTTGAAAGCCGTATGTTTCGATTAGGTATCAGTAGTAGTTTTTGTTTGTCTGAGATGCAATTTCTTACTGAAGTGTTATGTTTCTGTTGTGTAGACTAAAGCGAATTATGATAAGGAATGCAAGATATGTACACGTCCTTTCACGGTGTTTAGGTGGAGACCAGGCCGGGATGCTAGATACAAGAAGACTGAGATTTGTCAGACTTGTTGCAAACTGAAAAATGTGTGCCAAGTTTGTCTTCTGGATCTTGAGTATGGTCTTCCTGTTCAGGTCAGGGACACAGCACTCAACATTAGTACTCATGACTCTATCCCTAAAAGTGATGTCAACAGAGAGTACTTTGCTGAAGAACACGACAGGAAGGTATGATTATGTTCACATTCTTCTTCTTTTTAAAAAAAACGAAACGGGTTAAATTTCATAAGTAGTTGGTTTGATAATTTGATCAGTTATGTAACCATTATGAATGATTGATGAATGATGACTAAGTCTAGTATTCTCATGGTGGCTTATCTGATTGAATTTACTTTTTTTCTTTTATGTAGACCAGAGCTGGACTGGATTATGAATCTTCATTCGGGAAGATGCGACCTAATGATACTATCTTAAAGCTCCAAAGAACAACACCATACTATAAAAGGAATCGGGCACATGTTTGTAGTTTCTTCATCAGGGGTGAGTGTACAAGAGGTGCCGAATGTCCTTACCGGCATGAGATGCCCGAAACAGGAGAACTGTCCCAGCAAAATATTAAAGACCGTTATTATGGGTAAGTTAATTTCTTCTGTAGGATGCTTAATTGCTTTCTCAAATGCTTATTTCGTTTTATACCCTAATAAAGTTTGTGCAATTTTATATGTTTCTGCCATTGTACTCTTTTCTCCTTGATCAGTTAATATACTCAGATATCTGAAACCCGCTGACATATGTGAATTGTGATCTATTGAGCTGAACTACGTTATGCTGGCTCTCATTTTAGTCAATACCCTATTGTTCTTGCCTTAATAATGCATTAGTACTTCTGCATTTATGTATGTCAAACGGTAAATTTGAACTGTTTCTCATTTTCTTTTACGCGTTTGCAGTGTCAATGATCCAGTTGCTATGAAGTTACTTGGAAAAGCTGGTGAGATGGGCACTTTGGAATCACCAGAGGATGAAAGCATCAAAACGCTTTACGTCGGTGGATTGAACTCTAGAATCCTTGAGCAAGACATACGAGACCAGTTTTACGCTTATGGAGAAATCGAATCTATCAGAATCTTGGCTGACAAAGCCTGTGCATTTGTCACATACACATCCCGTGAAGGTGCAGAGAAGGCCGCGCAAGAGCTCTCCAACAGGCTTGTCGTCAATGGTCAGAGGCTAAAACTCACATGGGGAAGGCCCAAACCTGACCAAGATAGCAACCTACAGGGCAGTGTGGCTCATAGTGGTTTACTACCTCGAGCAGTTATATCTCAGCAACACAATCAACCTCCACCAGTGCAGCAGTACTATATGCACCCACCACCAGCAGCTAACCAAGACAAACCTTATTACCCATCAATGGACCCGCAGAGAATGGGTGCAGTAATTTCAACTCAAGAGGCTGGTGGTTCAAGCACCAGTGAGAACAAGGGAGCTTCTTCTTCTTCTTACATGATGCCTCCACACCAGTCATACCCACCACCACCGTATGGATATATGCCGTCGCCTTACCAGCAGCAGTATCCTCCTAACCATCAACATCACCCTGGTCCTATGCACCACTATGCCCCGCCTCCAGCAGCTTACCCGTACCCTCAGCAACCTGGTCCTGGATCAAGGGCTGCACCATCTCCAACCGCGGTCTCTGCTCCATCACCTGACTCTGCACCTTCTGGGTCTGCAGGAGCACCTTCAGGATCCGCTCAACCACCCCCTGCTGCCTCAACTACAACTGATTCCTCTCAATAGAGAAACATTCTTGTTTAAATGTAATGTACTGCAAGTTTTTCGGCTATCCATGGTCGAAGGTTTTTGTACTCTGTATGAATCATCTTCTGCTGTTTCTTTAGTTTTCGACTTTTGGAATATATTTGATTCCCGTATCAGTTTAATGAAAGGTATCATTTATAGAGATGGTGACAAGAGACCAATTGAAAATGTTTACTAGTACGCAGCTAATAGCTATGTGCTAAAATTTCATAAATGAACAAGAAATTTGGATAGATAATAAAATAGTAAATAATTGGGGAATCAGACATCAATGTTGGTCGTCTCATCACATATAAATGGGCCTTTTTGTAAAGGGAAAAACTCGTATAAAGCCTGGGCCGGACACCAAAACAAAACATGTGATCGAGTTAAATAAATTCCATCGCGTCCGATTCTCCCGAAGCTTCTTCTAATTCCTCCCTATATATACATCTTTCCCCACTCATACGGAATCGTGAAATTCATTTCGCTTCGGTCAGGACAGGTGCAGAGAGTTCTGGAACATCCATTTTCACTTGGTGAAACTGAAACGTTCGGCGGTATTACGATGTGAGTATTCTCAGCTCGATCGATTTTTAACATCATTCATTCTTTACCGATTTAAAAGCCGTTTCAGCGTGTTACAGATGTTGTTTTTTTGAATTGGCTTTTAGGTGTTGTTAGATCTGAATTGTTACTATAAAATTCCCGGTGTGCTTTAGCTTGTATGGAAAATACTTCGATAGATGTAGGCATTTACCATGTGATTGAGTATGATGAAGGTCTGATTCTTGTTTCTGTAAATTTTGAATAAACTATTGTGTGTTTGGAACTCAGGGATAAGATTATTATGTCGTTTTTAAAATTTGGATTATCCTTTGTAGATTTTGGGGGTTTTCAGAGTCTTTTGATTATCTCTCATATTGGTTTATTGTTCAATTCAGCATATATTCTTATAAGTTAAGACAATACGCATGAAGCCAAGAATCTCAATCGTTTAGTATGTTCTCTTATATTTTAGATGTCTTACTCAAGAAGTTCGAGATACTCTCCTTCAGTATCTCCTTACGCCAAGCGTCGTGGAAGGTCTGTCTCAAGGTCCTTGTCTAGAAGCCGGTCGAGGTACATTTCCTTCCCTTAGCTCTGAATCTTCATGTGTTTCTTTTTGCTGCTTTCGAATGCGCTTATATCTGTTTTGTTTATTTATTAGGAGTATCTCTACCGATGCTGAGAATCCTGGTAACAGCTTATATGTAACTGGATTGTCTCACCGGGTAACTGAAAGAGATCTGGAGGATCATTTCTCTAAAGAAGGAAAGGTTAGGATGTTATGTTGATTTTTGGAATTCGTTAAAAATCTTTTGTAGCTCACTGGTGCATAAGCTGTACAGGCTATTTTTTTTATTATATATATTTTTTTCTGTCATGTTTTAACCTCTGTGAGCTGTATCATATCTAGGTAACTGATGTTCACCTTGTCCTGGACCCTTGGACTAGAGAGTCTCGCGGTTTTGGTTTTATCTCGATGGAAACTGTTGGTGATGCCAACCGCTGCATCAGATATCTAGATCACTCTGTACTCCTCGGCCGCGTCATTAAAGTTGAGAAGGTAACTAAACTGATTGCTAACAACTTCTCTGGTAGAAGTAGAACCATAATTACTCTCTGGAAAAAATATAGGCAATGAGAAATATGATTTCTTTTATACCATTTTTTCTCATTTACGTTGTTTGCTTGTTTCCACTTTCAAGTTTCTGTGGCAGCAGGTCTGCTTTTTGTAGCAGCAGTGCGTCACCAAATAACAAAAGCTGCAACAGTTCAAACAAATAGGGTTGTGTACCCTGCATTCCTCTCTTTCTTGAATAACTTATGATACCTTCCTTCAGTGGCTTCAATGTTAAATATGTTATCTTTGTCTTGTCGCCAAGTTTGCAAATACTTTCCTAGTTAATTGGTAGATTTCTGACAGTTCTATGATATCTCTGTTTTATGTCCAGGCAAGACGTCGTAGAGGACGTACTCCAACTCCTGGAAAGTATTTGGGGCTGAGAACAGCTCGAGGTACGTATGGCATCATGTTGATTGGCTATATAACATTTTCTTTGAGTGTATTTTCCGATTTCTTCGTACATGGTTTTGTTTTTGCAGGACGCCATAGGTCTCCTAGCAATTCTCTCAGCAGGTCTGTTAGCTGCTCTCGTAGTCGCAGTCGAAGCTACTCATCTGATCGGAGCAGATCTTATTCACCTTACTATAGGCGAGGCAGATCTTACTCTCTTTCCAGATCTCCATCACCTTACTATAGACGCGACAGATCATACTCACCCTACTACAGGCGGAGGTACCGATCCAGGTCCAGATCCTACTCACCTCACTACAGAGCAAGGGATAGATCATACTCACCTTACTACAGGCGGAGGTACAAGTCCAGGTCATACTCGCCACACTACAGAACACATGCCAGATCATACTCACCTTACTACAGGGGAAGAGACCGGTCTTTTTCGCCTTACTACCGAGGGAGAGACAGGTCCTACTCACCTGAAAGTCGTTACTACAAAAGGTATGGCGTTATGTCAATATAAAAGAGATTAGCTGAAACTGCTGAGTAATGTAGTAACTGAAGATACAAATGAAATCAGGTACAGGTCAGTGTCGAGTAGCGTAAGCCCTTTGAGGACAAGCAAATCACGGAGCATATCCCTGAAGAAGGTAAGGAAAGGGAGCAGAAGTAAGTCTCGCAGGCGCGACAGTCAATCTTCGATGAGCCATTCGAGGAGTGCAAGATCAAGCACCTCCAGATCCGTCAGCCCATAACACTCTGCTTACTCGGTGTTGACATCAATCACTCACGTTTGTTGTTGTAGTAAATAGTTTGGATTTGAGTCTATTCCTTGTATTTGGGAATGATGGCATAATGGAGTCTGTGTTGGTTTTAGAATATGTGTTATATCAGTTATATGGCGACGTTGCTTATCCTGATTGAATCAGTCACCTTAATAAATTACCAAAAAGGAGTTTGAGTCTGTTATAAGTAATGTACTAATGTTAATGAAATATCCACTGTGTTACAAAATATATATGGATTGAACTGTCTTGCTTTCCCAACTAAAACATTTGTATGATTTATCAGCGATGATTATGTTTCCTCATAACGGATATGGAGTAGTAGATTTTGGTACACACAAATTTCTTAGTGATGATTCGGCGCAACTTTATTAGGGATCTTAAATGCTGAAGTTCGAAAGTATTGTTGAACAAGAACAATTCAATCCCCAAATTACAATTGTGCATATTCGTTGAAATTTTAAAAGTTAACATATAAACCTTGTTTGAAGATAAAAATCTGAATAAGTTACTTTTCTTTATTATAAAGAGTTACTTATCCAATAATAATCTAAAGTCTAAACAATGTGACTATAGATTATTAAAATTAGCAGAGAACATACGGAAAACCTAAAAAGGCAAACTCTAGTTAAAAAACTTTGGAAAATGTTCAAATTATTAATAACTATCATGGGACAAGAAAAAAACGAATTTAGTCTTTGAAATATTTCTTCCAACGCGGGTGCGTCTTCCAACGCCTCTCGGCCATTTCGTCAATAGGAATACCTCTGGTCTCGGGGAGAAAAACCAAAACAAATAGTCCCATAATAATGTTCATCGTCCCGAAGAAGAAGAACAAGCCGGATCTGAATCTGCAGAGAGCTGACAAGAAGAACTGTCCGATGACGAATGTGCAGATCATGTTCATCGCCACTGCACAGAAGTAACCTGCATTTCTCACCTCAAGAGGGTAGATCTCAGATGGAACAAGCCATCCCAATGGTCCCCAAGACCACGCAAACCCAGAGACATACACGCATATGAGAATCAATACAATCAGTGGCACAGCATGGCCTGAAATAGGACCAACCAGCTTCAAGTGAGCTAAGAGCAGGCCTCCAATTGTCATCTGCGTAAAATAGAAAAGAAAAAACTTGTTATCCAAGTAAGAATATGAGTAGCATGTGACGCAAGGAAAAGGAAAAGAAAAAAAAACTAACCTGTGTAACTGTCATCTGTAAGGCTCCTTCCATCAAAAAGGATTTCCTACCGAACATATCAACAGCCAAAATGGCGAAAACTGTAGCGGCTGCATTCACACCGTTGGTGACAACAGTAGAGATTAGAGAAGCGTTGTTACCACTACCCATCGTCTGGAACAAGACTGGAGCATAGAACATAACCACGTTGATTCCGGTGAACTGTTGAAAGAACTGAAGCAGCGTTCCACAGATCAAAGGTGGTCTGTTCTCCCGCTTGGTAAAGAGTTCCTTGAAAGGGCTTTTCACTTTGGTTGATATCTCTGTGATGTGTTTGATCTCACTGAACTCGAGCTCAATGTCTTCAACGCCTCTGATCTTCCTAAGGACTTGCTTCCCTTTTTCGTCTTTACCACGCTCGATGAGGCTAGCCGGAGTCTCGTGGATAAAGAAGGATCCTATCAAGAGGATTAAAGCAGGGACGGCGGCGCCACCAAGAGAATATCTCCAGCCGTTTTTCATCGTGGAAGTTAGGTAGTTGACAAAACTTGCTGCTAAGATTCCAATGGTGATGAGAAACTGGAACAGGAGGCTTAGTCCTCCTCTATATTTCGCTGGCGCAATCTCTGAGATGAACAATGGAATGGTCTGCAAAAGTAGTCTTTTCTATGTTAAAAACACACACACACACACAGAAAAAAGACCAAAGCATACTGAAACTACACAAACACGATGAAGGCATAAGCAAAACCCTAAAAAACAGAGGAAACCTAGATAAAAAACAGAGTAGTTTGAGGGTTAGGTAATGATACCTGATTACCGAAACCAATACCACAACCGAGAAAAATACGACCACCGATCAACATGCCGAGGTCTTGGGCAGATAAGTTGAGGATAGCACCCAAGAGGAAGAAGACGGAGGCGAAGATGATGGTTGGTTTTCTTCCGTAAGCCCTGGAAAAATAGGAAGCAACAAAGCTAGCAAAGATCCCAGCCAAGTAGAGAGAAGAGGTGAACAACTGCAAAATCTGGTCATCGAATTTGCAGTAGTTGTTCTCGTGTACTCTGTGTTTCTTCGCGTACACGTGTGGGAAAAAATCTAACAAGAAAGTGTCCATACTCGTTACACCTCCTGCAATATAATATTTGATTACCATTATTAGTTAGAATTCTCACAAACATACAATCAAAACCCTTAAAGAAGAAGAAGAAGAAAAACCTGAGATTCCGATGTCGTAACCAAACATGAGACCACCAACAGCAGCAATGAGAGAGCAGAGTGCGACTTGAACAGTCATCTTTGCAGGGAAAGCATTGCCTTCTTCGATTTTTATCGAACCAACAGCCATTGTTACTGCTATAACTCTCTAATTAAGCTCTCTTCTCTTCCTTTTAATATTCTAACTAATACTCTGAATCTAAATAAAACGTAATGTTTTCTATCGTGAATGAGTTTTCTTATATAGATGAGTGGCAAGGCTTTCTGGATAAACTATGATTTTGCAACTGAATCTTTTTTCCCCCGGATTTTTCGTCTGACTCGGTCCAGTTTTATTTAAGAATCATGTAGATAATTAGTCATAAATCTGTGTTTGTGATATCTCGATATTATCATCTGAACTATTTAAATAAATCATATTTGTTTCTGATTAGATCGTTTTGAATCTTTAATTGTTTAGATAACGAGATAATGAAATTAAAAAAAAAAAAATATCTGCAGTAAAGGATAATGACGTATACCGTAATTAACGTTTCTTTAGCCATTTCTTTTTTTTTTTCTAATAACCAAAATACAAAGGGAAGGATTACTATTAAAAAGATTTATTCGAAACAATTGTTGACAAAATAAAAACGATTTATTCGAAAAAATATCCAAACACTTATATAAGCGTCTCGACTATTTTCGGATTAAGTTTTTTTTTTTTTCTTTTAACGAACAAGTTATACAAACCTTAAATATTCAGGCTTTGTAAGAGAAACAGTTTCGGATAGAAGTTAAAACAAGACCAAAATTATCCACATATTTAAAACAAACAAAAAACAGATTAATGCGTGAAAAAAATATATATATTTATTTACAAAATTACACCTCATTACACCTATGTAATCTTAAGAAAGCTAAATCCTGAGTTATGGATTCTAATAATAAACAAGTTTTCACTTTTCAGAATTATCTATTATTCATCATTTCTTTTATCCACAAGTTTTCAGCATGGATAAGATAAAAATTACCCAAATGTTTCTTTTTACATCATTTATCCCCATGTTAGATAATAAACAACTAAAACACAGATAAAATTGAGATACAATAAAAAAAAAAAAAAAAAAAAGTCAAATCTTAGAATTTTTTTTTAAAATTGATTGGTTAATGGCTATTATTGAAATATCAAATAAAAGAAATATATATAGAGCTTCATAATCGGGATAAAACCTTTGTCTTGTTGACAAAGTAATCTTCCATCTATATCTATTTTTACTAACTATAAAGACAGTAATTTACTAAAATATACAGTAAGAAATAAACTAACCATTATAAGATACTATAAATTATACAGTAGTAATTTTTAAAAGACAAAATAATTTGTATCTTTAATTATCAACAAACAAATTGATGACCACTCACTCAACTGCACTGAATCAAATTCCAATGCAATTATCTTCAACTATAGGATAAATCTGACATTTAGCTAATTAATATACTTTCTATACTGCATCTGAAGATGATTCTTCCTCTGTAGCTTCCTCACTTCTTGCCTCAGCTTGTTCCTGTTTTAAAGAAGACACTTTCATCTTTGTGTAAAAACTACATTTCAGTTCAAGTGCACAGAAAAAACAATTGAAGCTGACCTCTGTTTCTAAACTGTTACTGTCACCACCTGATTGATTCTGAGGAGATTCCATATATGGAATTACAGGTTGCGGTTGACTATCTGATGTATGTTCCAAGCTCTCAGAAGTAAGAGTATAAGTCTGTTCTAAAGGTAACAACATGTCTGGTAACACTGATATTGGGGAAGTAGCAGAGTCGTCTGATGTGACATGATTCACATTTGAAACTTCAGGCTCCACAAGTTCTTGCATCTCTTGTGTTGATTGGCCTCCATCATTTTCCACAAAATGCTCTTCTGATTTTTGATTGGTTCTTCCCTCAGAGGGTTCAGGCTCATCAGAGTCATTACTTAACTTCATCTCGTCAGTTGAGTTTTGGAGAAGTTCCTGTGATTCCTATCAGAAGAAACAAACAATTTGAGAAACACATTGACAAAAACAACCATGTTACATAAAACCTGACAAGAACAAGAACTATATAACCTCCTCTTGTTTTTGTTTCGAAATAACTTCATTGATGTGAGGAACCTTAGCCTCTTCAGATATATGCGATCCTCTCTCTGAATTCTCCGGTAGAAGGTGTTTGGATCTATCCTCTTCCTCAGATCTTCCATTGACATTTGTACCATCAGATAGACCCTCACATTGTTTGGCTACATAAGTTTCTTGAGAAAGTAAAGAACTTGCTTCATTGAAATCTTGATCAACTTTCCCCACAGGTAACAGTTGAGATTCTGCAATTGTATCTACAATGCTCTTCTGTATCACCTCCTTTACATCACCACTAAAGCCTGTTTCCTTTCCAGTGTCTGATTCGTAAACAAAGAGTGATTTCTCCTCATCAGAAGAATTATTCCCATCAACCGTAGTGGGAGGTGATCCGATTTCAGAAAACTCAACTTGAAGATCAGATTCCACGGATAACTTATGACCTTTTCTTGAGCTGTAACCAAAATGCTCCATGTATCTTTGCCTTTCGGCTGCTAATGAACTCGAAAGCGAACCAGTGTTTCTTGGAACTAAACCAACTAGAGGGTTTTCAACACGAAGATCACCATTTCGCCTCCCGGAAGTTCCAGAAGAGTCTGCTTGATCTGAGGCATCAGAATCCATTTCCCTTTCTCCAGGATGAAGCATTGAGTTTGAATCACCCATAACGATCTCTGTCCTGTGTTCTGTTGCTATATCATTTTCTTCTGCTCTAGTTAGATTTTTTCCTTCCATTAGAGAATGCTTCTCCCAAACCAATCCATCATTGCTACCTACATGATCATAGATCAAAACTGTAGAACTTAGAATCATTTCTAATCTATAAACTATAAAGGTAATAACTACAAGTCTACAACCATACAGATCCTAAGTTTTTGGCCTATCAGAAAAATCAGAACAGAATATTAGGGCCTTCATGAGTTACCAACTTTGTTGAAAAGTAAAGACAAAGCTTTAAATCACACATTGAGACTTCTCCTTCCTAAGCATGAATTTTCAATAATTTTAACAGAACTTTAACAGCTCTGAGTTATTTAAAAAAACACTGAAAAATGTCTTCAAGTTTGACATGTTTATGCATCAAGAAACCATTTACTTGCAACATTTTGCAGATTGATGGCAGAGAATGTACCTTGATGTGTTCTAGGCCAACCATCAATTGATTTTTTTTTCCACGGTTCCCATTTCGACTCAAACTGATTATTCAGTGGAAAGACTCTGCGGCAAAAGCTTTCATGGCGGCAGAAGAAGATATCATTAGGGTTGGCTGCAAACTCTTGCTGAAAACTATCTCCTGAGAGGTTAGGCTTCTCTTCTTGTGGACCATAAGGAAGATCAAAAGGATTTTTTGTTGGTAATAACACAGAAGGTGCAGATTCAGGCATTTGAATCCCATCAATTATGTAGTTTTCTTGATCCAAACCGAAATAGTTTCGTCCAACACAGATTGGAGGAACTTCCATATCCATTAAGCTTCCCTCAGCGGCAAGTTTGACTACTCTCCTCATTCTTCTTCTGGTAATCAAATGCTCTAACCTCTTGTTACGTTCCATCTCAGAGTTTCCCAAATCCATCAAATTCTTCTGATCATTCTCAGTCCAAGCTACAACCTTTATGTCTTCACGGCTAGTTTCTTCTTCACCTCCTGATGATGAGGAACACTCTATCTCGGTTTCGCCACCACCACTCGTTAACCTCTCGGATGGATCCACAACAGAAACGTTTTCGGTCACTGAAGGAGATTCTTCGTCCAGGCTAGGGTCAAAGGAGAAATCTTCAGACACAAGAAAGGCTCTGTCTGTCTTGAATTTCTGAAGTTTGGGAGTTTTTTTAGTGTTGGGGATTTCCCCATAGAGAGTTGTTAAAATGACTTTGTCTCTCTCATCCTCGCTGGCCTGAGATGAGTCCCAATCTTTGCCAACCTCTTCAACTTTTCTTCTGGCGTTTCGTCGAACACTTCGTTGGTGCTTTAAGTCAGCCTTCCTTGTTTCTTCCTCAGATCTCTTTTGGGAATCAGGGGATAAGCCATCATCACCCGTTTTGATATTGAAAAGCTTGAAACTTGGATGGTTCCGAAGATAAAACGCAGAGCAGGCGATTAACGGAGAAGAGTAAAGCATGAAATAGAAAAGCCGAGGGAGAAATATGTATAAGAGGAAGACAAACGCAGAAACACTAGAAACAAACGGGTGTTTCGTTACGTATGTATAAGTGGTGTTCGTGGAAAATATGAGAATTTTCCAGAACAGAGTTCCGACATCTTTCGCATCAATTCCCATTTTTTAAAACAAACCTAATTCTCACAACCATTGAGATTAACAATCCAAAGCAAATTCTATGGAGGTTTTGTTTCTTTTCTCCTCCTAGAGAATCAAACTGATTGCAAGAGAAGAGCAAAAAAAATATAGAAGAAGCCAAAATTGATCGACGAGAGAGAGGTCAAGTTTACATTTGAAACCATAACCAGTAGATTTTTGGAGGGGTTTTTTTTTTAGATTTTCAAACTTCTCTCTTTTTTATTATTGTTTTTGGTTTTGACCACCATATTTTTCTAGTTGACCTTATAACTTATACGTTCAGAGATTTTGCACCCAATTTTTCTTAAGAACATTGAGCCATATTCATAAATCCCACGATTAAATAAAGACTCAACCCTTCTCTGTCTTGTTAACTCAGTAACAATCAACGTTTCTTAATCTTAGGGGGATATAAGAAATATATATGTAGGGCAATGTTAAATTCATTTCCCTCTGTTTTGGCAGGAGAACTATAAAACCAACACAGTTGAATCAATAAGAGATGCCTACATTCTCGAGGTTTTTAGATCGTATGGTTTGACTCATGATCGAAGAGGGCTGAGCACAAAGCACTTTAACAAAAGAAATTGAGGATGATCTCTATGAAAACTCTAAAAATAAATGCACATTTCTCTTGTTATACCACAAAAAGGAAAGAGAAGACCTCATCAAGAAGAGTAAAAAAACATGTACTGAAGATTAATCTCATAAGCCACACTTGAAGCAATCTTGGAACTACGGTGCTACTCATTCTTCAGCTTCCTCTGACCCTTCATAACACAAAAATAGATTGCAATAACGTTTCCATATTAACACATGAAATTTCTACTTACTTCAAGCAATGAAAACTAGACAACAACGATCAAGCAGAGCATTCAAAACATCAAATTTCGCAAAAAGCCAGTTCCTTTCAAGAACAAGTGAGCCTTTAAAGAGAACACTAACCTTCCTCAGCGTCATCTTCATCCTCCTCTTCCAACGCATCAACACCGTACCTCGCATTCAGGAACTCAACCGCCGCAGGAGTCAACACAAGCTTCTCAGAGTTCAAAATGTCAAACAGATTCAGCGTCCTAGGCGTCAACATTCTCAACGTTCCAATGTTCCTACTTGATTTGGCGACATTCTCATCCACATCAATCATCAAAAACATAGCTTTCTCCTTAGGATCCAATCCCCACCTCTTCATTGCAGCTAAGAAATCTTTCGTCTTCGGCTTCTCAAACTTCTCCCCAAATTCCTCCACCACTATGGCACCACCTTCCGCAGAAGCCACACTCGAAATCGCCGTCGATATAGCCAGCTTCTTCTCCTTCCTATTGATTTTAATTGACCAATCCTTAGGTCTCGGCCCAAATACCACACCTCCACCGGGACGTAACGGCGTTCTCTGAGATCCACGCCTCGCGTTACCAGTTTTCTTCTGTGCGTAAGGTTTGATTCCACCACCACGAACTTCAGCACGAGTCAGCGTCGACGCAGTACCTCGCCGCTTGTTCTGCAGGTCCGTCACGATGGCTCGGTGAACAACGGCACGCGCAGTATCTTCCGGCGCCGTTTTGAGGTCAAGATACGTCTCTCCAACCTTCTCCCCTTCGAATGAGATGATTGGTAGAGTCGCTAGCTGGGAAGCGACGGAGAGAGGCTTCGATACTCTGCCGGAGCCGAATTTCGAAACGGAAATGTGGGTTTTAGGGATTTGGTGAGAGGAAGATAGAAACAGAGAAGATGAGAAGAAAGATAGCGAATTTGGAGCTGTTGCAGAGGAAGCCATTGTTGTTCCCTGACCTCACTATCACAACGAAGAAGAAGAAGACTGAAAGTGTTATCCACTCTTTCAAATGCCTATCTTGTGCTTGGAGAGAATTTAGACATCTGTTTGGACATAAAGGTATCCATATCCCTATCTGTGTTATGAATAACTCCAGCTGTCCCTAGTAAGAAAGAGTCAACCTCATATTTCAAAAGTCAAGGGACTCTTGATTAGGCAGCAGGGACTCTTGATAAGAGACATAAAATACTTTGTGATAGTTGATTCTAGCTGAGACTTTGATAGTCGGATCAGATATCTAAGAGACAAGCGCACGTTAGCTAAGAGGACCACCGCGAACACCACCGTCTCGTCTCAAAACGCAGCGTATTCATGGCTTCGTCTGAGCCACTCGACCTGGTTGTTACCGTCGTCTCGGCCAAGCACCTGAAGAATGTCAACTGGCGTAACGGTGACCTGAAACCCTACGTTGTTCTGTACCTTGACCAAGACCACCGTCTCTCCACCCGTTCCGACGATTCCGCCTCCATCAAACCCGTGTGGAACGAGCGGATCACTCTTCCTCTCACCCGATCTGTCCACGAGTCGGTCCTCAACATAGAGATTTTTCATTCCAATTCTTCGGATCTGGCAAAAACCCTCGTTGGCTCTGTTAGGTTTCCTCTAGCTCGCTTGATTGACTCGGACGGGTCGATGATTCCGGAATTGGTCAACTCGCTTGAGCTGGTTCGACCATCGGGTCGACCGCAGGGGAAGATACGCTTGAAGCTCTCGATCAAAGAGAGACCAATCCCTCCACCGCAGCAACATACTCCTCCTCCTCCGCCGCGTCCTCAATCACAACCACAAGATTACTATTCTGCTCCTCAAAACAACCATTATTACTCCCCTACCCTTCTCCCTCCTCCTCCCCAAGCTACGATCACCGCTCCGTCTCCTCAGCGTGACTACAGAGAATTCTCGCAGTCCCCGTCACCGTCTCCTTACCAATTCACTGATCACTACTATTCCGGGTATTATTACCCGCCTCCTCCTCCACGTTCAATGTACGATCGTACCTCCAATTACGGCCTGCCAAGTGGCCCATCTGCTCCAGCCGATGCTTTCTCATCGATTGATCACAAGCAGCCTCCTTTAGCTCCTCCTCGGTTTTCTAACTACGCTCCACCGCCGACTGGGACATCTGCTCCCGTTGATTCCTTTCCGGCTAACGAGTACAAGCCACAGGCTCCTCCTGTGGGCTCAAGATTGTCTAGCTACGGAGTGCCTAGTGGGCCATCGGCGCCAGTGGATTACTCTCCTTATGATCACAGGCAGTTGCAGAAGACGTTGGTTGGATTGAGCTTGGAGGAAGAGAGAGGTGCTGCAGAAAGGTCTGAGAGCGACTTTGGAGCTAGGCCAAATTACAGCTATGGCCGTGATTATCGCCGTGAATGTTGAGGATGGAATAAGTTGTTGATTTCCTAAGTGTGTGACTTTTTTAACGCTTGACTATCATCAATTTACCATCCATGTTGGTGTTTATAGATCACCAAGATATGGCTAATAATATGAATTTGGTGAAGGATGTGTTATGTCTATATGTATGTCTCGTTTGCGAATTGATCGGTTGCACCTTTCTCGTTATTTGGTTTCTGTATGTGTCTGGAAAACAAGAGGAACAAGGGGTGACATATTTTGTACTTTTGTACATGTTTCTAATATATCTCTAGTTTCTTCTCTTCTTTAAACTACTGGCAATGTTTCTTTCAACTTCTTCAATCAGATTAGGTTCGTAGGGTTAAATTTTTAATGCTCTAATGGGAATCTCTTCTCTCTTGACTTATTGTTTGAACCATGCTCATATTAGGTATGGTAGCCTGCTCTGTCCTATTATCATCTTGCAGTTCTGCAGAATATTTATGCAGGCTGGTCAAGGGCTTTGGATCCAATCCTTGTTTGATGATACCAATGTGTGAGTTTTACTTTCCTACTCGTTCTGTGCATCCATCAACTAAATCAAATAGCTAAATGTCTGGAATATCACTCTTTAGAGTTTAATATTGGAACCAGTGATCTACATGTCTCAAAGATTCATTGGGGGATAAGTGTCTTTGAATTAAATCATTTTACATCTTGTGGATTTGCTCATCACAGGTTAAAGTGGATTTAACAATGCAATAGCAAATTGCTCCTCTCTGATCGTATTGGGTAAAATGATATGTATACGGTTGATGTTAAATCTATTGTACTCTGGTAAAGGAGCAATTTGCTATTGCATTCTTTTCCCTTTTGGCATATTTGTAACCTGCTACATTACATATGTCAGTCAATCTCATGCCATTTGCATCTAATCACTGACTTATATCATGCAGGTATTATTGTGCTGATCCCGATGGAATGTTTTCACATGTAAAATCAGTCTACGTTCTCCAGATTGTGATCTTCTATTTATGTCCTGACACTATCTGGTTTATTATATGCTTTCTCATATTCTTGTGCCCACCATTAACTTGTTTTTTTGTTCTTTCTTTTCTAAATTCCTTTTTATTGTAGCCTCAGACTCATGAAAGGAATCTGCAATCCATAAAGGTAAGTTTATATCGGCCTCTCCTGGAGTCAAAAAGAACCTTTTTTAGTTTGATATGTGCACACATGAGTGATCACCAAAGAAGAATGATACCAAATGGTTGATTAACCTTTTTCTTCACTTAAACAAAGGGTTTATTTTCTCTGTGGACCGTCAAGAAAAAAAGGAAAAACCAAACCTAGTTTTCTCTTTTTGCTCTTGGGCATTGCTCTCTTTATAAATTTGTAGATCCACTTTAACTACAAGTCTTTTTATATATATAGGGTCTAAAATAATATTGAAGCTAGACTTTTTCGTTACTTGTTTATGTGTTTATGTCTTGAGTGCTTAATCATGGCCTAAGCGTAATGATGTTGTAGATATATACATCATTAGTCATGTCTTTTCCCGTCTTTGCCTGAACTATCAGCACAACTGTTCTCAGCATCAATCCCATAAATATCTCTCATTATCCTCATATTGTTTTCCACAGACTTATCTCTCTCACTCTCTTTCTCTCTCGATATGTCAGCTACTGGGATAAAACGGTCCAACCCAATCACTAAACCTGTTCAGAAAGATGCTTCAGCTAAGCAAACCGCTATCAAGGGACCTTATGGTAAGAGTCCGGGATGCACAACGAGCTGCGGATTAAGGATACCAAGGAAAACAGAAGTCACGGCAGCAAAACTGATCAAGCATCTTGGATGCAAATTTGCAAAAGGTTTGCGTCTGGTGGCGATGAGGAAGAAGAAAAGGTGTCCACCGTCAAAGGTTTCTTCTTTTTCCGGGAGACCTCAGCCGTCAATCATCATCCCCATAAACAATGACAGTCATAGATCAGAGGCCATAGAAGACTGCATACAGTTCATCAACTCATCATCCTCCTTCACCAGATCAAACTCTACTTCTTAAAGTTTCATCATTCATAAACCCTTTGTCTTGGTCGTTCACTGTCTATTTGCTTATTTGTGAGAGTTGCATGTAACGTCTACATAACCCGTTGTGTGTGTAAATTTTTAGTGTTTTACATCAGTTTCATTTTCCTTCTGCTCTTGCTCGATTTTAAAAATACATGCATAATATTAGTAGAGATAAATCATTTCCAGCTTAACAGTTTAGCAGAATAGCAGTAGCACCTTTAATGAATGACGGGACAGTACCAAAGTCTTATACTTATCATATGTGTGGGCGTGTGTGTGGTTTAGCTTTAACATTTCATAGCCTAAAACGACTTGTCCCTTCGTATAGTCTTTTTTACCCAATTCTAACAATAGACAATGATTGCAAATTCTATAGGCCGTGTTCGATTTGTTTGGCCTACTAAAAGTTGGAAGTTCCCACTAATCGTCGTGTATATTGATAAGATAATACATACATTTGCTAATGTCCATCCACTAAAAAATATTCATATATGGAAATCTTTTAGTATCAAGTTATCAACTATCAATTATTTAGCCTGAGACGGAACTATTTGTCGGCAGGTGGAATTTAGACCAAAAAGACAAATTTGCAAAAATAAAATCCTCAATATATATAGAAAGCCTTTTTAACCATCGTCAGGGGTTTAAACCCAATATCTAAAAGCCCAAACATGTCAAAACCCAAGCCCAGATACAAAAATCCGATTCGCCACAGCCACCAGCAATCTTCCCGCCAGCAAAATCGCCATGGATTCCGGCATAGCCTCCCTCAAGCCTAAAATTTTCTTCACACATCATGATTCCGTTTCTCGGCTGTTGGTCTTAATTTATATATTATAATCTGTTCGCCTCAGATTCGAAGAACCCTAAAATAAATAAAAAAGAGTAAAATTGAAGGATGGAGAATTTTGAACATGGACGGTTACTCTCTAATCTCTCTTTCTCTACCTCGGTAAACTCGCTCATCAGATCCTCCCACGTTCTTCCTCGCCTCTTACGCTTTGTTGCGTGTTGCCTAAAAAGGTCTCGTCACCTTCATCGTCGCCGGTTTTCCTCTTCACATTAGCGGTGGATCTCATTCCCCACTGCCGATCCTCCTACTCTCTCGGTTCGTATTTACGCGCCGTACCTCAAGCGATCTCGACCTGATAAGTCTCTAAACTCTCTTCCTTACTCACTCTACCATTCGTTTCTGCGAATTGAGTAGAAAGCTTTTCTGCGATTCGTCTTCAGGTATCATATCAACTGCTCGGCTCTCTCTCTCTCTCTCTCTCTATTTTCAAGTTCTTGTGGTTTGTGAAACTTGTGATAATTTTGGCTGCAGGAACAAGGTATGACTGCTGTGGAACTTGAAGAGGTTGTTTGCCGTGAACCTGATGAAGCAGAGCTGAATCAGTTCAGTGATAATGGTGGTAAAAACGTTGTCTATCAACTTCTAGATCAAAAGACTTCCGAACGTAGATGGTTAAGTGAAAGGTAATCATAATCTGCTTTATGCTTTCTTTTCTTTGCCTGGTTCAGTGTTATGGTAGCATTGAGCTTTCTTGATTCTCCCTGAAGGTTTCTCAGATGGAGACGAAGATATCTTCCTGTTGATGGAGATAACAGACGTGACCACGGATCAGTGAAACAGTCAGGACCCCTTGTGTCTGGAGCAGCTTACTGCATCTCTTCCTGCAGCATGATTATATTGAACAAAATTGTTCTCTCCAGCTATAATTTCAACGCTGGGATCTCTTTGATGTTATATCAAGTAAGACCCCATAAGCTTGATTTCCTTGGTTTCGTGATGATTTGACAAATCTATATAGTTTGGTGATTTTCTTATACGTTTATTTCAGAACTTAATCAGCTGTTTGGTGGTAGCTGTGCTAGATATCTCTGGAATGGTTTCAGTGGAAAAATTCAACTGGAAGTTGATCAGAGTATGGTTGCCTGTCAATGTTATCTTTGTGGGCATGCTGGTCTCAGGAATGTACAGGTAAGATTTCGAACATCTGGCGAAAGGACTAATTGGTGAAAATTTGAAGTAAGAATGTGTGGTGTGTGAGACTAATGAAACATTACATTTCTTTTTCCAGTTTGAAGTACATAAATGTTGCCATGGTGACTATTCTGAAGAATGCGACAAATATCATTACAGCAATAGGGGAGGTATACATGTTCCGGAAAAGGCAGAACAACAAGGTTTGGGCTGCAATGTTCATGATGGTAAGATAAATGTACATCTTGCATCCAGTTAGTTTCCGTATGCAATCCCTCTTTAATAGCAAGGTGAAACCAACTAAGAATTTGCAAAATATACAGATCATTTCTGCAATCAGTGGAGGTATCACGGATCTCACATTCGATGCAGTAGGGTACACATGGCAGCTTGCCAACTGCTTTCTAACCGCAAGTTATTCAGTGAGTTCACGCATATGAAACCAGTAACTGGATCTTGATGCTTCTCTCGCTCTGTGGCTCAATTTCCATAATGATCTTAAAATTATTTATTACAGCTTACTCTTCGTCGAGTAATGGACAAAGCAAAGCAGTCAACCAAGTCTGGCTCTCTTAATGAGGTGTCAATGGTGCTGCTGAATAATCTCTTGTCACTACCTTTCGGTATCATCTTAATCATCTTACTGGGTGAATGGAGATACGTAATTAGCACGTAAGAACTAATAAACAGAGTGACACTTGTCCAGTGTGTATATTTTGGCTGTTTCTTTAGCCCACTTTAAAATATCTAGATCACATTGATAATGACTTAAACAAGTTCTATATGCTATATGTTTCCAGCTTCTACAATATTTTTCTAACCCATAGTAGAATTTTTAGATACTAGTTTGAGCTTATAACAACACTTGAGTCTGCAAATGGGAAAAAAACACAAGTAGATGATCTCCAAGGAACTAAAGAGGTGCAGATGGAAGAAGTGATTATCTTCTGAAGGTAAAATGTTGATGGTGTTTTTACTCTCTGGCAGGGATGTGACAAAAGATGCAATGTTTTGGGTAGTGGCAACAGCAAGCGGCTTCCTTGGTTTGGCAATTAGCTTCACTTCAATGTGGTTCTTGCATCAAACCGGACCCACAACTTACAGGTATTTCTCTCTTTCTGGCCAAATAAGCATCTAGCTATATTTCGTGTTTAATGTTAGACATTTTTGCTATTGTGTGGCAGTCTTGTGGGTTCATTAAACAAGGTTCCGATATCACTAGCTGGGCTTGTACTCTTCAAAGTCCCTCTCAGTCTCCCAAATTTATTCAGCATACTGTTTGGTAAGTAACACACTTGCTAGAGTCGCGTCAGCTACCACACAAAGTGAATGAATTTGTGTATCTGATGGTATGTATGCACTTTGGGTTTGCAGGTTTATTTGCTGGAGTCGTCTTTGCCAGAGCTAAAATGTCATGAAGCGTATTTCTAAGCAGAAGTGGGATTGTTCAAGAAGGGATCCAGTGGTCTGCTCTGTTACAAGCTCTGGCGACAGAGTTGAAAGCAGCTGATAGTTTTTCCAACTTGTAATACATTCTTTTTAATACAAGGTAGAATATAATATATAGATATGAAGTCAAAATTGAATTTTTGAAAATTTCAATATGCCTTGGCAAAATAAGCAATAAAATAGGCGGCAGAGTATTAATCTTATTACATTCGTTTGAATGGCTGATATAGGAGTGTTCAATGGGTTTATGCCTTTTGATTATTTAGACCTGACTCGGTCTGGTAAAATTTTTAGAGTTTGAACGAATAAATCTTAGTTGGTCCAGAAAAAAAAAACGAATGAATCTATGCATAGAAACTCGGTGGACGCAATACGCAAGTACCTATTGAAGAAAAGGTTAAGCTATCGTTGATCGTACTCTGGCGTAGAAAAGTCCAAAGGTGTAAGAAAACTACATCATCAATTTCACAGCCTTCCACATCCATCTACCAGAAAAAAAGTTGACAATAAGAGTACTATAATGAGTTCACGTGAGAATATACAGATCTGCGTGAATCCCAAAAGCTTATTATGGGGACGATAGACATAGAAAGCCCACTTGATACCGAGTGAATGAAACAAAGGAAAGCGAGACGTGTCCCTCTTTTGGGGGTTCACGTTACTCTTTTTGTGGTTTTGTTCCGCACGATCCGATGTGTTGTAGAGAGATCTAAAGAAACGTATGGATCGAGAAGGATTTTTGGGTTTCTCGCAAAAATCTACGCATATTTCTCTAACTCCCACCTCTGTTTGTTGCTTTTTATAACTACTTTTTAAACCAGGGGTAACAAAAATAAAACAAGAAACCATTACTACGCAAATTACGCAACTGCGGTGATATTATAATTTAATTTTTGTGAAACATTTTATATAATCTCACACTGCATGTGCATGTGGACAATTATGTACAGGGGACGAATGACACACAAAATAAAAAGATGATTCAAACTTGTATACAGATAGAACTCGATAAATCATCTAGCAGAATGCTATACACAAACCATTGCCACATGCCCACATCCTCTTATATAAAAAAAGATAGGGTCTAGCTTTTTAAAAGAAATTAATTGACACATGGTTTTGTTCACGAGAATAATTTCAAGTCTCTGACGAGTAGGTAAAAACGAAGTCAAAAAACTCGAATTATGTACGCGTTATATAAACAAAAATGTTTTTTTGTTTAAAAAAAAAAAAACAAAAAAAAGAAGTTGCCACATGACATGAGTTTGTATTAGGCAAAAAAACACACTGTACATACACAAATTGTTGTGACTCAGTTTCATGTGGTGTTCTGTTGCGGTGGAGCGTCGAGAGGGAAACACGTTTCGTCACCACCGGTGTTCCAAAGGAAATGAGCGTAATTGGCGGAGTAGACAGAGTTGGTTGGATCGGCGGAGATTGCTTCTAAGTATGTTTCCTCTGCTCTCCATATATCGTTCCTTGCTCTCCACAGGAACGTCGCATATTTGTTCAGCGCCTCCGCGTCTGCCGGCTCTGCTCTTGCTGCTCTCTTGAAATATTTTTCGGCTCTGTTATCACACAACCGAACCAAAATAAGCCACGTTAGATATGGACAACGTTAGTGGGTTTTGTTCACTAGAGTAGGGATAAGATATGGATTTGAACAATGCCAAAAAGGCAAGTGAGAAAACGTAAGTGAATTGGGTTTTGGTAATAGAATGTGACAGATGTATCAAATGAGAAATTGTCTACAATGGAACCGCTACAGAATTAGTCATAGTCTATAGCTAACATGTCAAAACATTGTCTGGAGACTGGTCACCAAAAAATATCTACAAGGTTAAAACAGTATTTCACCCATTGGCCCAATGTTAACGAATTATTACCTAACATTAACAACACCAGTGGGTGGGTGAAAAGAGTAATGTAACAATGATCTAAAGACTGAAGCTTCAAAGTTCCACCACATACTCCACTATCAACTAAGCTTTTTTATTTTATTTGTTGAGAACCAGACCCAAAAAAAAAAAAAAAAGTCTCAAGCTAAAAGACAAACTCTTTGGGAAAGAGAACAATCAATCCCTAGTGTGTGACACATTTTATATTATTCCCTATTTTATGCTGAAAATAGGAGATGCAGATATTCACTTACTAGTTGTATTCTTTTCTCTAAGTGGTAAAGAGAACTGGTTCACTCAATTTAAAAGCCTATCCGATTGGTTCTTATGGTGATTATGACTATTTCTAGCTCCAAAATATCTATGGCTCCCAATATAATATCTATCATTCCACGACTGTTAGTCTCAACTTGCAGCCAAGATTTGGATGCAACCTAACACCAAACCGAATCTAAACTCTCTAATCTCAAAGAAATTATACTTTAAACAGCATGGTTAGTGAATGATAATATAGTGGTCAGAATGTTAATTACCTGTCGTAGTCATGGATGATAAGGTAGAGGAACTGTGCGTAATTAGCAAGAAGCAGAACGTTTTCAGGCTCTTGAGACAATCCCGTTTGGTAGAGAAGCTCTGTCTTGAAGTAATCCATGGACTCCTCTGCTTCTAACCGAGCTTCCACCGGAGAAATCATCCCTTTCATCGTCTCGTGATCCAACGTTTCCATTTTCTTTGTTTCCTCCAAGATCGAATTCCACAGTCTAATCTCTTCTTGCCCTGACACGGATACATCTGAATCCGCGCTTGTTGCACCAAGAGATGATGACGAAAACTGAGATTTCCTGAACTGATCAGATCCATCCCCCTCTGTTCCGCTTTGTACCGGCGGTGGTACGTTGTTCCCGCCGCCGCCACCGACGAAAGATGTTCGCCCGTAGGGGGAAGAGACAGAGTACGTTTTCACCATGGAAGAATCAAACTTCGGGTTTGTTTCCTGAATCTCACTTAGCTCCGTCGTATCGAAGCTAAAAGAGACGGTGGTCATCGGGGGAGTAACCGCGGCGGCTAAAGCAGAGTTGCTCTCGATAGAGTAAACCGTGAAATTGGCGAGAAGGATCATAACAGAGACCATCAAAGTAGGAGTAGCAGAGAAAACTTGTTGAAACAACCAAACGAAGGATGCTTGCATTTCCTTTCTAACACGGTGGAGAATTCCTTGTAAATCTTCAAAGAGAAGAAGCTCTCTCATGTGTAACGTGAAGCTCTGAAGTTCTCTGATCATAAACACCATGGAAGAGAAAGCTTTCTTGACAGAGCAACAAGCTGATTCGCCGACATGTTTGATAAGTCCTTCTTCCATCTGTAGCTTTCTCTTAATGATCCGAAGCGAGAGAGGAAGCTCAACGCTGTTTGCTTTCCTCTCGATGCTTGACATCTGCACCATCTCTGGCCATGGCTGTTCCGTCGAATCTGATGATCTGAAATTACTATGGATGTCAATGCTCTTCTCCGATTCGTCGTCATCCTCGTTAGGGACTTGGAACTTGAGAGCAAGCTCTTGCATCTTCTTGGAAAACTCCTCCTCAGAAAACGGATCGACGTTAGGGCTACTGAAAGCTCTGCGAATCAACTGAGTTTTAGTAGTCTTTGGTCTCGTTGAGTCCCAGAGCTCACATGATGACTTGGAGTGTTGGAGATTCGAAGAAGGAGGGCCGAAGAGAGAAGAGTGATTATTAAGCCTCTGGCTCTGCGTCACGGAACGACAGCGTCCGTCATTAGCGATGGAACGTCGTCTTGAAACGGCGGAGGAAGCTACGGTTTGAGAAAGGGAAGAGGAATGGTGAACTATGGGATGAGCTACCCATTGATGAAAGGTTGAGGTTGTTGCTACTTTCACTCCCATTTTTCTAAAAATATCTCCCAAAATAAATAAATCTGCTCTCCTGATTTTCTTGTTCAGCTAAAAAGAAAAAGATGTGGACAAAAACAGAGCAAACGCTGGTGACTAGCTTGTTAGTCTAGAATGCTCTTTCCTCAGCTGTATTTTCCTGGAAAGCAAAAGATGAATCTAGTGAGTCAAAAGAAATGAAACAAGAATCACTTGTATGAAACCATGCAACAGTCACGGGAATGAATCGTTAGAAACCCCATAAATAACGGATCGGAGAACAATTGAATCTGTACGAGAAGCAATGAAGAAATTACTTTAAGAAAAGACTTGAGTGCGGTGAATTAGAGAGAGAAGGGAGAAGCTGAAGAGACTCACTCTAATGAAATCAATGAGCAGAGAGGTTTTTTGTCCGAGATTTTATTTTCTCGGAAAGGAAAGGAAAATAAGATTTATGAAAACTTTCTCGGGATAATCTTTTAGAGAGTGGATGGAGCACGAGGCATAGAGAGCTGCCTTTATACAAACGCGACGAAGATTTTATCAAACGGAGACTGGAAAATTTTAAAATTAAAAGCTTAATGTCAATTATTCTAAACGAAAATCAAACAGGTGAAAGCTAGCTAGAAGCCTTAGAATAGTCAAAAGAAAACCGGAGAAACCGGTAACAGGTGAAAGAAACGAGTGACATGGCACCATTCACAGAAAATAAGTGAGAAAAAACCGGCAAGTATTTTAGATCCAACGGTTATAAGTGTGCCAGTCGATCGTATGGATCTGACAAGTTTGAAAATGAAAAAGGGGAAAATTCCATCAAAATTCTCCATCTAATTTTAATTTGGAAGTTTAATACCTAATGTTATTTGGTTGGAAATAAAATGCATGATTTATTAAATTTTGGTCTATTAATACATTAAGTATATAAAAATTGTCGAATCGAATAAACCGTTTAATCGGATTGACGGAATCACTAAACCGAGGTTGACGAAATTACTAATCCCTAAACACACGGGTTATTTGGGGTTATCCAAAGACTGCATTGTCCTTTGCTATTATCCCAAATCGAATTGGGATCGATAAACCCTAAGTTTAGTGTAATTCCATTAACCCCGGTTTAGTGATTCCGTCAATCCGATTACCGTTTGTTAAGCGGTTTCTTCGATTCGACAATTTTTATATATTTGATGTATTAATAGACAACAAATTAATAAACTATGCATTTTATTTCCAACCAAATAATATTGGGTATTAAACTTCCAAATTAAAATTAGATGGGGAATTTTTATGGAATTTTCCCAATTAAAAAAGTATTGAAAAGTAAATTACATTAGACGACATGTAAAGTTACACGTGTAATTAACGTGAACATATTTTGTTTTTAAATAATAATAACAGGCTGGCAAATAAGGGTAGGCGAGATGAAAGTGGGGTCCTCGTGTCCATGTCATCTCGGAACGACTTAAATTTTTTTTTTTTTTCCTCAAATAGAAAACTTAAATTTTTTTTTAATTGAATTAATTAAGGCTTCAAAAGTTTTATTGCGTTTAAAACTCGATCTATATATATATACCTTTAAGAATACACTGAATGAGAGTCGATTCAAACGTCAAAAAGTCAAAAACACATGGTTTCTTTGGGAAAAAAATGGCAATAATATGGGGATTAGTCATGTGTTTTGATAATATTCACTCTAATTAAACGAGTTATATATCATCACCGTAATGCTAAGCAAAGTAAAACCACATGTACAAAAAAAAAAAAAAAAAAACACATGTACATGCATCGTTTTGTAAATCGAAAAGGAGTAAAAGCCTCAGGTCAGTATATATTCACCTCCAAAATGTCTTACTCTTTTTTTTCCCAGTTCACGTGCGGTTGACCTAAACTTTCTGTTGTCAACACAGCTCTTAAGCTCTATCAAACTGAATTATACATTTCAGACACTTAGACGACACATCGAATATCTTCTTTTCCTGCAATGTATATATGCATATTAAACACTTCGCCTATTTTGCCCAAAAACAAAATAAAGCACTTCGCGTATAAATGCAACATCTTTATATCTGCATGCATGTAATAATATAGTGGTATATCAAAATTAATTAAGAAGAAGCGAAAAAATTCCTAAAGGCTTTAATCGAATATAGTATAAGTTAAAAAAAAAAACTTTGTTATTAATTCGTTTTAAACAAAATATTTATTCATGCTGGAAGGGAGAGGGTAAGGAAACCACGGTGGAGAATTAAGGAGAGACGTGACCGGAGAGTGGTGATCGATGACCGCTACTACGCCTACGTACGCACCATTCCAAGTTGACGTCCTTAAAAGAAAGTAACCTCTAAAGAGAGTGACGGTGATCACTGATGAACGATATACGTATATCCACTGCTGATATTTTTATTGTTCTTTTCTTAGATTCAGTTTCCTCTCCTTATTTAGTAATTTTCTGTCTTTGTCAATGTTCTTTTATCGTATCAATTCTGAATATATATTTTTTTATTGCACAATTCAATTAGCTTATTATAAGTAATTAAGTACTATGCTTTAATAATGCATGTATGGTGTAACCTAGTCCCATGTTAAAAGTTACGTACACAAATACCCGTTTAGTTTTGCTTTGCTTTAGAAATTCGCAAACATTGTTTTTGCCAAACATTTTGCTGACTGTTTTCGTACATAATGAATTAGAAAATAGCCATACGACTATACGAGTCCTTTTGTGTTGCCGACTGAAACTAATAAGAATTTTATCGTACGTAAACTTTCCCAATCAGCCGACCAATAAATAGACTTCTCGTAGACGGACCAGATCGCGCGCCTCTGGACCGGTGGCCTGAAGTCTTAGGATATTCCCAGTCTCAATTTGACCCATATTTTACTGTAATAGATAAAACTGATCATATATAGTATAAGTTACAAGACAAAATAATATAAGCTATCGTTTTCATAATTGTTGGAAAATATATAGAAATGTAATAAAAAGGTGAGTGTCAGACTTAATAAAATAATCTATAGAACGAAATTAATTGCTAATGGGCAATTCGACAAACAAAAATGGAGTTGTGAGACAACGGCAAGATTTAAAGGCTAAATGTCAAAAATATTGGCGAGGTAAATAAAACAAATAGAAAATGATAAAATGAACCATGTGATCTTAGATGTAATTCATCGACTGTACTTACATAATATGATGTCGGCACAAATGTTAGTTAAGTTAAATATCACATATTTGTTTTCGTCGTCTACAATAATTTTCATTTTTATTTTTATTCGAATGAAACGATAAAATTAATTATCACAAATGCGTACGTAATTACAAAACAAACAAGCATTGGGGCACAATATATAACATAACATACCATGCTTGAGCTTTTCTAAAAATCGCACTCATCACAATATGTATATAGAATCACTAATTCTTTGAGCAACCACATATCTATTTTGTTAGAGATATTGTTTTCTTTTTTCAAGTCTCATATTTAGTTTGAATCCAATTTCTTGCAATGAATTTATTCGTTTGAACTTGAAACTCTTAAATGAAAGCAACCAATGAGAAATATGTAAAAGATTTACACCAGACGAACTTATTATGACGTACGTGCGTTTTCTATTTCTTTTGTGCTTGATATATCGTTGCAAAAAAAAAAAAAAAATATCGTTGCTTAGTTATTTTCTTTATAGTGGAGAAAGAAAATAAGTTTACGTAGTGACTCTTGATAGGATGCTATGGCCAAATTATCTTAAAATGCTGAGAGCGAGCGAGAGAGAGAGAGAGAGAGAGAGACTGGCCGAAGCAGCGACACGGCAAAGGCTACTCTCATCTCTCTTATCTTCTTCTTTCAACCTAAATTCTCCTTTTTATTATATATTTTCTATTTTTGGTGCATATTATTGTGATATAATATCAGCGGACTACTTAAATGGAAATTTTTATTCCCAAAGAGAGGTAGACCAAAAATCAAAATATCTTAGACCACTTTGAGTCTTTCTCTGATCAATTTCACATCAAAATAAACAATAATATAGATTTTGGAGCATTATTTTCCAGGGTTTTAAAACATATATAAATCCGACTCCATCAAACCATTAAAATATTGTGGTTGGCAAAAAAAAACACCTTAAAACAAAAAATATAATACACGAGGATTTTCTAGTTTCGATCGGCTTTGGAAAGTTCGGGTTCGGAATGTTTTTGAGTCTACTTGTTACAATAGGGTGATCAATTAAGAGATTTGAAGACAACTAGCCAACTAGGCTGCCAAATAAAGTATAGTTTGTGGTAATGGAGGATAAGTTGCGGTAAGGAGCGACAAGGCTAGGTTAAGGGTTAATTAATGGAGCATTACATACTTGAGATGTTTGCTTTTTGAGCACGAGGTGAGTAGAGAGACATATGTGTTGTTGTCTTGTCTTTTGAATACAAAAATAGAAGAAGTTATCATCGTGTTGTATACGTAGGTTACTGACATATATATGAACTAGTTCGCTCATCCCTTAATTAGGTTCGTAACCATCAGTGAGATGAACCTGGACACAACCAATTATACATAGCCTATTAGATGAGTCCAAAATTGAAAATAATAGATATTTCTGCTGTCCACTAGCGGAGTTTGAGTGGTGTTAATCTTGTTCGTGTGTTAATGGTCGTTCCTCCTAATTCAGAAAAAAATACGTTTGTCATTAGTGAAATGATATGATATACTCACGAGTTATTTCACAAAAAAAAAAAAAAACCCTGGAACTTAGGTATATATGTATCTATTGATTTATCTTAGTTATTTACTAAAAAAATTAAGATTGACAGTATGATTGTATAATATCTTCGGAGATGAGCTAGGCAAGAACAATTCATTTGGGCCGATTGCAAGTGATATTCCATTTAATACAAAGCGGCCCATTAAAAGTTGGGTCCATTAGCAAGTGATACACTATTTATTTAACACAAAGCGGCCTAATAGAAAAGCCGCGAAACTGGCGGTTCAAAACAAAGGCGGGATGCGAAAATGTCGCCATTCGCGTTTTCCCGCTACTCTCTACGCTCCCTCAGTCTCTACTCTCTATCTTCATATCTCTGGCTCTCTCTCTCTCTCTCGCGCTTTCTCAAACAAGTAGCATCGACCAGTACGACTGGATCTATATCCCCCTGTTTCGTTTTGGATTTGACTTGTGTAACCTAACCATGCCTACCATCGCCGGGCCGAGTTTGTCTTCTTATAAACATATTGTCGGCGCCGGAACGGAGACACGTGAGATTCCTCGGAAGAGAAAGCTGAGATCTGATTCAGCGGAAGTTAGTCTTTCGTCTGAAAATTTCATCACCACGCCGAAGAAATCTAAATCTCATCGACAAAGTACTACTTCCAATTCCAGATTGTCAGAGAAGGTCAACTGTTGATATACACATGTGTTTGGATTTCATGAAAATAATTTGTTGGATAACTATGAATGCTCACCGGCTATATATTTTCAGGAAGACGCTAATGAAAATTTGGCAAATCCAGTCAATTTGGCAGTAGAGAGCTTACCTGATTGTTTAGGCACGAAATCTAACTGGAATCCTAGAGGTAAAACATGGTCTGTTTTTAGATTCTTCTTCTTTAGTCTACTTATTTTGTAATGTTAAATCATGTATATTTCATCAATGTATAGATGAGGAGAAGATGAGAGCTGTGAAGGAGGCACTACACGTCTCTAAAGCACCATCAACAATTGTTTGCCGTGATGATGAACAACAACGGATTTTGGAGTTTGTTAAAGGTTGCGTAGATCAGCGTAAGGCTGATAGTTTGTACATATGCGGTTGTCCTGGAACTGGAAAATCACTGTCTATGGAGAAAGTAGTACAACAAGTTAGTGATTGGTCAGAGCAGGTATGGAATTTATTTCTTTTAGTTGTAGATTTACCTTGTAAGCGATGTCATCGTCACAAAGATTAAACATCCGTTAATTTTATCAGGAAGGTTTGCCACATGTGGATACATTGTCTTTGAATTGCACGTCATTGACAAAATCAACGGATATTTTCAGCAAGGTATGACTATAATCCTTTAAATTCTTGATTTCAGTTCAATTTTGATGCTTATAGGCTTAATTTTGTTGATAGATACTTGGTGAAATCGAGCCTGGAACGAAAGCTAGTGGCTCCTCTTCACCTCTACAATATCTTCAGTTTCTCTTTTCTCAAAAGCAAGAATCATCCAGCTCAAGAATGATGTACGGTTGTTTTTACCCTTTTGTTTTGCTTTGATTACATATTAAGATTTCTGAAAAAGAAAGCAGTGTAATCCTTTTTCCATCCGTGTTTGCAGATTATTAATCGCAGATGAGATGGATTACTTGATCACAAAAGACCTAGGAGTCTTGCATGATCTTTTTATGCTTACAACTTTGCCATTTTCACGCTGTATACTTATAGGTACTGTCTTTTTGTGGTCATAACTATGGTTCAATTCATATATGTATTCACTCTCTCTGTTTGTATGCAATTATTAATTACTCTTTTTTTTTTCCAGGTGTAGCAAATGCAATAGACCTTGCAGATCGTTTCCTTCCAAAATTGAAGTCTGTTAGATGTGAGAATTTCTTAACCTTGTAATTATGTTACCTTCCATGTCCGTAGAAAGTCTCGACTCTGAAAACATAAATGTTAAAAATATTCATGAACTGCTGTTTCTTTTTTTTTTGGTGTGCAGGCAAACCTATGGTTATCACTTTCCGTGCTTATTCTAAAGATCAGATCCTTAGGATACTACAGGAAAGGCTTACGGTAATTCATTCTACCTAGTTGCATGCTAAGATAAGATGTTCTGTTTGAGACTGAATAAATCTGTTTACCTAGGGTACTCTATTTTGTGTCTATATGTTTCACTAATTTTCAAGCTCTCTGCTCATAGGGTTTTCCATATGTTGCATTTCAACCAAAAGCCTTGGAGCTCTGTGCTAGAGTAAGAATTTCTATCCCCTTTAGTCTCATGTTTTCTCTCAGAAATCACTCAACCTTGCTTTCCTCTTAACCATCATTTTGTTTGCATTGTGCCAGAAAGTTGCTGCAGCATCAGGTGACATGAGAAAAGCTCTATCTGTCTGCAGGTGATTTATCTTTGCAAGTTTTGTCTCAGAGTTTGTCCTTAAATTGGAAAACATGAGTGGCATAGTGCTTTGGATTTTTATATGTAATAAAGCGCATACTCAGTTTCTTGACTCCTAAAGAATAACAAACATCTTACATCTTCCTTTGATTTGGATTTTCAGGAGTGCTCTAGATATCTTAGAAATAGAAATAAGTGGTTCAACTGGACAAGAATTACAAGGTCCAACTCCAGATGATCCAGTGGTTAGTATTTGGATATTTTTCTTTTATAAACTTCAGCTTACTTACTGATGATGTGGTATTGGTATCATGGATTCTTATATACCTTGGTCTTATTGTCTTCAATCTTACAGGTAAGGATGGATCATATGGCTAATGCATTATCTAAGACGTTTAGATCTCCTGTAGTTGAAACTATTCAGTCTCTTCCTCAACACCAACAAGTAAGTTACATCCTCATAGAGTTAGTTCTTTTAATATACACCAATGTCATAAACTTCTATGGTTAAGCAAGAGTGGATTAAAAGACTCTAACTGGACTCATCGCATGTTTCTCTTGACAATTCACAGATCATAGTATGTTCAGCGGCAAAGGCTTTCCGAGGGAACAAAAAGGATGCAACCGTTGGAGAGGTAAATCTTGGTCCAGCAAAGCTAACTTCATGAGTACAACCAAAACATTGTTATGAGTTACTCATATCTCTTTCCCCAACTTTGCAATGCAGCTTAACAAGTTATACCTAGAAATCTGTAAATCTTGGACGATATCTCCAGCTGGAATTACAGAGTTCTCTAACATGTGCACAGTGCTAAACGATCAGGTAAGTAGTGTGGCCGTCTTAAATAGTGAATGAGAAAGAAAAGATTATGTTATAGTTCATTTGAAAGACTTTCTCTGGAGTGATATTCGATTATAAATTGGGATTTGTTGCTTCAGGGGATTTTAAAGTTAGGTCAAGCTCGTGGAGATAAGATAAAGAGAGTTAGCCTGAGAGTAGACGAATCAGACATCACGTTTGCTCTGCAGGTAAACACGAGTTAGTTAGTTTTGATAATCCTTAAATTTAATTAATGATAAAATTACAGAGTTCTAATCACAAACTTTTTTTCTTTTTGGTAAAAATCAACAGGGAATACGGTTTTTCCGCAATTGTCTGAGGTGAGAAATACTTCATTCCTACAAAGGCAAGCAATGGCGGATTAAGTTGTAAATTTATTAGTGTAGAGTTCTATATTATTTAATTTATATATACAATGGCTAAAACCATATGATGAAGTTACAACGCCCTTTGGTTTTAAAGAATAAATCAAAGTTTGTTTTGTAGAAACTTGTAAAATTGGAAAAAGCCGAAAGTAATTAAAAAAGGCAACTAATGTCAATGTATGTAGCCATCACCTGATTTTGTAACGGTTTTAGAGAAGGAACCACTGAATGATGGACAACAACTGAGATCATAAATACACTACTAGGTGTGGCTATTGGCTATGTTTTTCCTTTTGAAATTTTGGGTGATTTGAGGATAGTAAAGTAGTTAATAGTGATAAACCATTTAATTATATTAGCTTAAGTAGGGTCTCTCCATACACTAATACTTTTTGTTATTGTCTGGGGAAGGTGTGTGATACCATCTCCATTGAAGAGTTGTTAACATAAGTTGCTTATCTTAGAGAGAGAAAAAATATATAAAAAAAATTATGTGAGTTGCTTATATTGTATAAAATCTACCTTCAAAAGTGCTTAAACATGAGATTTAAGGAACTTTTGAAATGTTTTTTTGACTATTTAAGCAATCCATCAAATTAAATAATAATATTTGTATAATTTTAGTGATAAGCACTTCATGTTAAACAACTATGGTTGGAGATGCTCTGAGCTTGTGAGGAGGCTTCATTTGACCAGTCGATCTTAAACCACTAAACCAGTCAAATCTCTAACAGATGTCGCTAAAGGTCTGAGTATAGCGTTAAACCTCGTGAGTGTGGTGTGAATAGTAAAATCCGAGAGTGTTTATATATGTGCTTCACTGCTTCTAGTAGAGAGCACCATAAAGAATATTAAAAAAAAAAAAACATTAAACACATAGGTAGAGAGAAAGATGAAAGCAGAAGCAGAAATCATCTTTGTTACACATCCGACCCCTGGTCACCTTCTTGTCTCCATTGAATTCGCAAAGTCTCTCATCAAACGAGATGATCGCATTCACACCATCACCATCATCCACTGGACAGTACCTCTGGCTCCCCAAGCTCACCTTTTTGCTAAATCTCTCGTTGCTTCACAGCCTCGAATCCGTCTCCTTGCTCTGCCTGACATTCCAAACCCTCCACCACTGGAGCTCTTCTTTAAAGCTCCCGAGGCTTATATTCTAGACTTCACCAAGAAAACTGTTCCTTTTGTTAGAGACGCCCTCTCCACTCTGGTTTCTTCCCGTGATGGATCCAGTTCGGTTCGTGTCGCCGGTTTGGTTATCGATTTCTTCTGTGTCCCCTTGATCGAAGTGGCAAACGAGTTTAAACTTCCTTCTTACATTTTCCAAACGTGTAACGCTGGTTTTATGTGTATGATGAAGTACCTCCCTGAGAGACATCGCATTATCTCTTCCGAGTTTGATTTAAGCTCCGGCGACGAAGAGCACTCAATTCCCGGTTACGTCTCCTCCGTGCCAACTAAGGTTTTGCCTTCAGGTCAATTCGTGAGAGAGTCCTACGAGGCTTGGGTAGAGATTGCGGAGAAGTTCCCTGGAGCCAAGGCCATTTTGGTCAACTCCTTCTCAGCTCTTGAGCATAACGCTTTGGCTTACTTTGCTCGTCGTCCTGACAACTATCCTCCGGTTTATCCGGTCGGACCGGTTCTTAGTTTAGAGGATCGCCCCTCTCCGAATATGGACCCATCGGACCGTGACCGGGTCATGAAATGGCTCGAGGACCAGCCGGAGTCGTCAGTTGTGTTCATCTGCTTCGGGAGCTTAGGAATCCACAGCAAGCCGCAGATCGAGGAGATAGCTCGAGCGATAGAGCTTGCCGGCCATAGGTTTCTCTGGTCCATCCGCACAAATCCGACGGAGAAAGCGAGTCCGTACGATCTGTTGCCAGAGGGTTTTCTAGATCGGACGGTGAGTAAGGGACTGGTGTGCGATTGGGCACCACAGGTGGAAGTGCTGGCTCACAAGGCGATCGGAGGGTTTGTGTCACACTGTGGTTGGAACTCGCTTCTAGAGAGCTTGTGGTTCGGAGTTCCGATCGTCACGTGGCCAATGTACGCCGAGCAACAGCTAAACGCCTTCACTATGGTTAAGGAGTTAGGGTTAGCCGTTGAGCTGCGTTTAGATTACGTCTCTGCTCACGGAGAGATAGTCAAAGCTAAGGAGATCGCGGGAGCCATACAAGCTCTGATGGACGGTGAGGATACGCCGAGGAAAAAAGTGAAGGAGATGGCGGAGTCCGCGAGGAAAGCTTTGATGGACGGTGGATCTTCGTTTGTTGCGGTTAAACAATTCCTCGACGAGTTGATTGGCGGAGATGTTTAGTTCTATTGTAAACGTCGTTGTTGTGGCATTGGGATTAGTGTTTCGTGTGTGTGTGTGTTTGTGCAGTGTGCACCAGCTAGTGATCAGTGTGTTGTTTTTTTTTTTTTTTTTGTGTGTGTATGTATGTGCAGTGTGCACCACCTGGTGATCAGTGTTATCTTAATACAATCGTTTTCTAGATTAAATAATTAACTCAAATTGAAGCAATTCCAAAACTGGATTTAAGCATTTGTATTTTGAGTTTTGGGTGATATGGAACGAGAGAACTGTAGCTAAATTCAATTAACGAGTACAACGTTTTTTATGTATGTAACTTTACTATTCGATTAATCCATAAACTTAAGATACCATAAAGATTGCCACCGTTTTTGCTTTGGAGCACAATACTTCATTTTACACATAAGTTTAATTAGTGAAAATAAACGTATTTAATAATGTTCTCCTGGTTCAGTTCAGAGAAAAATAACTGAGCGTGTGCACTCACGGCCTCCCCTTGTATTAGCATGAATCATCATCCAACAATTCGCCAATGAATCGAATCGTCGCCAAAGACGAAGATCCTCCGTCCATCAAAGCCTTCCTCGCCGCATCAGCCACCTCCTTCACCTTCTTTCTCTTTTCATCCCCACCGTCCATCAAAGATCGGACGGCTCTCGCAATCTCATCACAAGTAACCAAATCCCCACGACCCGACACGTAATCCATCCGTAAATCCACCGCGATCCCTAGCTCCTTCACCAACGTGAACGCGTTAAGCTGTTGCTCAGCGTACATAGGCCACGTGGCGACAGGAACGCCGAACCACAAGCTCTCAAGCGTGGAGTTCCAACCACAGTGAGACACGAATCCTCCTATTGCTTTATGGGCCAATATTTCCACTTGAGGGGCCCAACCACATACCAACCCCTGGCCTGCTACTCGGCCCATGAACCCATCCGGTAACACATCGTCAGGGTCCGTCTCCACGACGCTGCTTGTTCGAATTGACCATAGAAATCTGCAGCCGACGAGTTCGAGCGCTCGAGCTATCTCCTTCACTTGTGGCTCATCAACGGTTCCCTTGCTCCCAAAGCAGAGGAACACCACCGATGACTCTGGCTGATCCTCGAGCCATCTCACTATCCGATCCCGATCTGCCGCTTCCTCCTTTGGACTCGCTCGATCCTTCAAGCTGAGAATCGGTCCGACTGGGTACACCGGAGGGAACTTCGTCAGGTGAGAGAAGTAGTCAAACGGGTGAGGCTCAAGCTCCGCAAACGAATTTACCAAAATACCCTTTGCATCGGCGAATCTCGGCGCTAGCTCGACGTAAGCCTCGTAAGCTTCTCGAATGAACAAACCAGGCGGCATGAACTTGGTGGGAATAGCGTTAACGAATCCGGGAACCGTCAAATCCTCGTCGCCGGAGCTCAAATCGAACTCAGATGCGATTTTCCGATGGCGATCCGGAAGATATTTCATCATGCCCAAGTATCTAGCGTTACAAGTGAGATATATGTAAGAAGGGAGATTAAGCTCGTTGCCAACATCATTTATCAACGAGTTGCAGAAGAAATCGAGAATCAAACCGGCGACACGAACCGAATCTGAACCTTTACGGATGATGGTAGAAACGGTGTCTTTAATGAGAGGAGTATTTTGCTTGATGAGCTTTACAATGTAAGCTTCGGGAGCTCTTTGGTAGAGATCGAATGGAGGAGGATCGTGGAGAGAGGGAAGATCGTGGAGGCGGATTTTGGGCTGTGAAGCGATGAGAGATCTGGCGAAGACGGAGGCGTGAGGGGAAGAGGGTGAAGACAAGTTGAGGATGGTGATGGTGTGGATCCGATGGTCGAGATTGATGAGACGCTTGGCGAATTCAATATGGACGAGAAGGTGGCCTGTGGATGGAACTGGAATGAAGATCAGCTCTGTTTTCTTCTTCACCATCTCTCTCTCTCTTTTCTTCTTCTTCGGGTTGAGGATTTGTGTTTGGTTGAATGAGAAGCACACAACAAATGAGGAAGCTTGTTAAGGATGTGTCAGTATTGTCGTGTGAGTCTGTGATACACCAATTGTGTCATGTGTGTAATTCCTTGTCAAAATAATATTTTCTAAATTCCATCACAAAAATAATATATTTTATAGAAAATATGAAAAGAAAAATATTGGTTATCCTTGTCATACCAAATATAAAATTATTATTAACCTTTTACCAAAAAAATAATAATAATAATAAATTATGCATGTTGTACTTGTACCACACCGACAAAATAATAAAAGATGGATATATTCAAGAACTAAAAATGTACATCGTACTATGAAAAAAACTAAATAGGTGTGTTGAAATTGACATTTGCGTAAATAGTAATTCTAATTAGACAATATTGACATTTGCGAAAATAGTAATAGACAATGTTTTAGTGGACGAGAAACTTGGATCGAGTAAAACTAAATAGGTGTGTCGTGTCAAGCTATTCCAGATCCACAATACATCCAGTTTAAGTGGATTTCGTATGGATAGTCTGAAGATTAAGATAGGTACCACAGAAATGTATGTGTCTTGAAGTAAACGATAAATTCATAGCATTTATTTATCGATTAATGCATAATACAACTTTGGCTCCGAGAGAGATGAATCAAAAGTGATCCCCGAGAATATCTCTGATAAAATTTCGGGTGGCCACCGTAGAAGATCCATTGTCACCAACAGCTTTCCTCGCCGCTTCTGATATCTCTTTAACCTTTTCTCTCACAAGGTTATCACCATCCATCAAAGATCGGACAGCTTTGGCTATTTCATCGGCTGACACGATCTCCGATGTGACCCTATTACCGTCGGCCACGTAATCAAGCCGTATCTCCACGGCTAAGCCCAGCTCCTTCACCATCTCGAACGCGTTCAGCTGTTGCTCAGCATACATAGGCCACGTAGCAATCGGTACGCCGTACCATAGACTCTCCAAAACAGAATTCCATCCGCAGTGAGACACGAATCCACCTGTTGCCTTGTGAGCCAAGATATCCACTTGTGGAGTCCAACCGCATACAATCCCACGGCCCATTGTTCGGTCGACGAATCCTTCTGGAAGCAGCTCGTAAGGATCACCTTCTCCCGCCATGTTCGTACGGATCGCCCAGATGAACCTGAACCCGACGAGCTCAAGCGCGTGTGCAATCTCTGTTATTTGAGGTGCAGGGAAGACTCCCATGCTCCCAAAACACAAGAACAAAACCGACGAGTCCGGTTGCTCATCAAGCCACTTGATCATCTCTTCGTATTGGGCCGAAGCGAGACCCGGATTTGTACGGCCTGTTAAGTTAAGAACCGGCCCAACAGAATACACGTGTGGGTAATCTCGGCCTCGAGAAAAATGTTCAGCAGCGTAAGGCTCGACGTCAGTAAAAGAATTGACTAAAATACCCTTAGCTTCATGCAACCGAGCGCCAATTTTGACCAGAGAACCGTAAGAGAGTTTATCGAACACACCAGGCGGCAGAACCTTGGCGGGAACACGGTTCACGAACGCAGGAATCTGTAACTCTTCATTACCGGAGGAGCTTTAATGGAACTCCGACGGAGTTAAACGATGTCGTTCGGGGAGATACTTAAGAACCCCTAAGAAACCGAAGTTTGAAGTCATGAAGATATACGAAGGAAGGTTCAGCTCACGGCCGATATCTATCAAACCAACGCAGAAGAAATCAAGAATCAAACCGGCGACATGAGTATCTCCGGAAGATGATCGAGATGAGATTAAATCGTGGATGGTTTTTGTGAGAGTTGGTTTGTTTTTATCGACGAAATCGAGGATGTATGTCTCAGAGGAAGTGTCGAGAAGCTTGAGAGGAGGTGGATCATGAATCTCCGGGAGGCTGATGAGTCGGATTCTAGGCTCGGTGGCTGTGAGAGACGAAAGGGAAGCGTCGGCGTAAGGAGCATATGGCAGATTCATGGAGAGGATTGTAATCATGGAGATCCGGCGGTCAAGATTGAGCAGACGTTTTCCAAACTCGATCGTAGACAAAAGGTGACCTGTCTCCGGTAGAGGAATGAATATTAGCTCTGCTTTCTTCATCTCTATACTTCTTTTTCTTCTAATTTAATGGTTTTTCTATTGAAGAAAATGAAACGCTTGTTTCTTGCAATGTAATATACATATATGATATGGTAGTGGATTCCGATGTGATAACGTAGAAACAAACAAGAAAGATATAAATAACTCTGAAAGAAACAAGAAAGATATAATAACTCTTAACTAAGCTTAACGTACTGTCAAAACTTGACTCAAATTATACAGTTTGTAGTTAGCTTTGTAATTTAAATATATTTTTGGATCAAAAGCTTTAGTCGTTTTGAGCATGCAAAAGTGGAACAATGATTTTAGTTAGTGTATAAGTACAATATACTAGTTGGGTTAGTTTACTCGACCAATTCTATAATTCTTACTCGCAGGCACTCAAATATGTCATGTGTATATATGATGCGTAAAATAGTCCAACATGATGATGACTGATGATAACAATTAAGGAGAATCTGTGACTTGGAATCAAATTCAAGTGAAGAAACCGAGATTTGTTTCCTCTCCATTTCTATTTTTGTGCCAACAAAAGTGGGCTTTTATTAGTTCATTAGCAAAAATTTAACTAACTAGGAAGTAAACACACTCTTGGTTGATTTTCCTTTTCAACGAGAATAAATAGAAAGTTGCAGGATTGACTGCTAGTGAGAAAGATATGCATGAATTAGTTTAGCAGAGAGAGTAGTACTATTAAACGATCGTATTTTCTTGAGTTTGATAGATTATTAAGGCGTCAAAGATTAGCAAAAGAATCACTTGATAAAATTGCAAAATATGTGAAATTACTTAACTAAATGATGCTTCTAAACAGGCCAAATCCATGTTAACACACTAGGAATAAACTAACACTTATTCATCAAGGTTTGCAAATATTGACTGCAATTATTACTTTTTTTAATCGCTAAATAAAACAAAAACCAAAAAATAATCTTAGTTGATATAACAATTTGCTTCTTTGACTTATCTTAAACCAAAGTCAAAACCTAGTTTATGATTTTTTTTTGGTTTGAAAGGGCAAGTTTAAATCCAAAAGGGAATTTTCTCGGCTTTAAGACATCATTATTGGTGGGATCTTAGAGGTTAAGATCCCCCGGTTTTTGCAAAGGAAAGATGTAGGATCTAAGATCCCACCAATAATGATGGTCTTATCGCTCTTAAATCTTCTTCTATGGTATCGCCATTGTTAACCTTCAAGTATATACCTTTTTCTCCTCTCTCAACACCGTTTCTCTCATAAACCCTAAAAACCTCCGCCGAATTTTACCAGTCTCCACCGGGCATCGGCCTTTTCCGGGTCTGGGTCACCGGAAATATGGCTTTCCGACGAGAATCTGCCGCTGTTATTCTCTTCTGCTACTTACTAATTTCATCTCAATCTCTCGAGTTCCGTAAACCCCACAAGATCGAAGGACCAATCAAGACCATAGTCGTTGTAGTCATGGAGAATCGCTCCTTCGATCACATCCTTGGTTGGCTCAAATCGACCCGACCCGAAATCGACGGACTAACGGGTCAAGAATCGAACCCACTCAACGTCTCCGATCCAAACTCCAAGAAGGTTTTCGTCTCCGACGACGCCGTCTTCGTAGACATGGATCCGGGTCATTCGTTCCAAGCGATCCGAGAGCAGATCTTCGGGTCCAACGATACATCGGGGGACCCGAAAATGAACGGATTCGCACAGCAATCGGAGAGCATGGAGCCTGGGATGGCTAAAAACGTGATGAGCGGATTCAAACCCGAAGTTTTACCTGTTTACACCGAGTTAGCGAACGAGTTCGGTGTGTTCGATCGATGGTTCGCTTCTGTACCGACTTCGACTCAGCCGAATCGGTTCTACGTTCACTCAGCTACTTCTCATGGTTGCTCAAGCAATGTGAAGAAAGATCTCGTTAGAGGGTTCCCTCAAAAAACGATCTTTGATTCGTTAGACGAGAACGGACTCAGCTTTGGGATTTATTACCAAAACATTCCAGCTACCTTCTTCTTCAAATCCCTTCGTAGGATTAAGCATTTGGTCAAGTTCCACAGCTATGCGCTTAAATTCAAGCTCCATGCGAAGCTCGGGAAGCTTCCTAACTATTCCGTTGTGGAGCAGAGATATTTCGATATCGATCTTTTTCCGGCGAACGATGATCATCCGTCGCATGACGTGGCGGTGGGTCAACGGTTTGTTAAGGAAGTCTATGAGACGTTACGGAGCAGTCCACAGTGGAAAGAGATGGCTTTGCTCATTACTTATGACGAACACGGTGGGTTTTATGACCATGTTCCCACCCCCGTTAAAGGTGTCCCTAACCCTGATGGAATCATTGGACCTGACCCGTTTTATTTTGGGTTTGATCGATTGGGCGTTCGGGTCCCTACCTTTCTCATCTCTCCCTGGATCGACAAGGGCACTGGTATGTCATTTGTTCATTGCTCAGGTTCTGCTTTGATGTAGATATTTTGAGATTGCAAAATTTCAAATTCAGCTTGATGTTTGAATTGGTATAATTTGACTTGAACTAATTTTAGTGACAGTACATTGTTCATGTTAATCACATTAGTTTTAATTCTCATTTCTTTACTTGAACCTGCTTTGCCTCATTATAATATCTATATGCGTTACTTCAAGGACTTGTCTTTGTGATTTTGATAAGACTAGTTTCGGTTTTGTTTTCATTGCAGTGATACATGAACCTGATGGTCCAACACCACATTCACAGTATGAGCATTCTTCTATACCCGCAACCGTGAAGAAACTCTTCAACCTAAAGTCGCACTTCCTCACTAAGAGAGATGCATGGGCTGGTACATTTGAGAATTACTTCCGTATCCGAGATTCTCCTCGTCAAGATTGTCCAGGTCTGTGTTCATTCTCTACCTGATTTCTCAGTCCATTATACATGATCTAAGTTTTTTCTTGCGCTGAAGCCTTACATTAAGTAATAACCAAAATAAGGGTCATTATTACAAATGTGTAAAGTTGTGATTTATTGTTAAATTTATATGTCATATATATCTATGCGTGGTTGAAGTATTTTTAGACAGTTGTAGTTGGTTGACTATGATACTGGTTGAAAGATACGCCTTGTATGTTGAAAATACAAGTGAGAACTATTGGTGATGTAACTTAGTAGGTATATTAGTGTTAGTTCATGTCAAGGAAATTAGAACTTGCTTTTGATACCGAAACAAGAATGTTGGACAAATACTTATCCATCAGATCAGTTTCATCAATTTCTGACCTTTATGACATCCAACAGAGAAACTACCGGAAGTGAAACAATCGCTGAGGCCATGGGGAGCAAGAGAAAACTCAAAGCTCTCAGAATTCCAGGTGGAGCTGATCCAACTCGCTTCCCAACTCGTTGGAGACCATCTTCTAAACTCATATCCAGACATTGGGAAGAACATGACAGTAAGTGAAGGCAACAAGTACGCAGAGGACGCTGTTGAGAAGTTTTTGGAAGCTGGAATGGCTGCATTGGAAGCAGGAGCAGACGAAAACACTATAGTCACTATGAGGCCGTCTCTGACAACCAGGGCCAGTTCCAGTGAAGGGACCAACAAGTATATTGGAAGCTACTGAAATCTGTAATTAAAGAAATGGGTCATATGCTATGTAAATGTATGTGGCCTTCTCATGTAGCCAGCCACTTTACTTAGATGCATATATATGATATGGAAAAAGTATATACGTAGCAAAGAATATGGCCACGTAATGTAGTACAATTGCTACCATTGTTGCCTTCATCTCCCTGTTTGGGATGAATGGAGGCTTCTTCTTGTGATACTAATATGGTAATATGTATCCTTATGCAAAAAAAAAAAATAGATAAAAGAACGTACAGACTTAAGTTTTGTAAACTAAAATATATACGATTGTAATTGTAAGATGAATATTCACAGACAAAAGTATGTTTTTGCATTAACTAAGATAATTGAAATGTAAGTATATTAGATATATCTTTCTTAAACCTTAAATGTAAATGTTTTAGTAATATTGTAATATGTATTGATACTAATATCTTTCTTCTCCTTCACCGAATTTGTATGTTTCTGCAGATCAGTCAACCAAATATCAAGATGAATATTCACAGACAACAGTATGTTTCTGCATTAACTCCAGGGCTAAGACACTTCCATCATGTAAGAGACATGTTTTTACAGAGACATAATTCACTTACCAAACTCCATATCTAATCCCATAGCGTCATGTAATTTGTGCTCTTTACACACCACGACCTCTGTTTTCGCGAAGAACAAACAAAAGTCTACTCTTTTCCTAAAACTCTTCAAACTAATAAATGAATCTAAAAGAAACAAGTCGACAAGGCCATGTGGATGAACTTTTTATTTAAGAATAAGAAGATTTTATATCCTCTGTGATATGGGTAAAGATAAGTAATAAATTCTTTTAAATTTTTTGTGAAAGATTTTTTAAATTAAAAAGAAAAGAAATAAAATCGTAGAATTAAAATAGAAACAAATTTGAAATAAAGAGAAAAGTGAAACTCCGCATCAAGCGGCGCACTGTATATCGAAATAATTCCAGAGAATATTTCTTTGAGAGGCCATTAAACTTGAAAAAACCAAAAACAAAAAGAAAAGAAAAAAGATGAAAGGAAAGTAGAGAGAAAAAAAAAAAAAAGTTTTGCAGAAGGAAGAAAAAGAAGAGAAAAAAATGGGTCTTCGTCTACGTCTCCGTCTTCCTCACAAAAGCTCTCCTCGTACACCTTCATATCTCCTTCTATGTGTTCTTGCTCTCTCCTTCTTCTCCTTCACCGCTCTTCTTCTCTACAAGGTCTCTCTTCTTTCTGCAATTCGATATTTAAACTCTGCAGATACTTTCCTAATTCACGTATTTGGATCTGACATATTCATAGAATTTTTTGCATCTGTCCTTGGGGAATGATTTGGTTGAGTGAGTAATTTAATTTGTCAGAATGGTGGCAGACTCCTCTGTGACATTGATACAGATACTGGAAAAGGAAAATTTATGTTAAAATTGTTTTCTCCGTGACGGATGGATCTTATGATGAAATATTTATTTAGCTTTTATTGCTCTGCGATCTAAAGAAGAAACACGTGTGATTATTTTTTTAAAATGATAATATTTTTCTCATTGGGTAATTTCGTCGAACAGGTGGACGACTTTGTAGCTCAGACTAAAACTCTAGCCGGACACAACTTGGAACCAACGCCGTGGCACATCTTCCCTCGCAAATCTTTCAGCGAAGCTACGAGACATTCTCAGGCTTACCGGATCCTCCAGTGCTCCTACTTCTCATGTCCCTACAAAGCCGTCGTTCAACCAAAGGGTCTCCTGTCGGATTCCGGGTCTGGTCGTCGAACCCATCAACCGCAGTGCCCTGACTTCTTCAGGTTAGTCTTAACGAACCAATTTCATCGATTACTTTGGAATGGGGTTTTTTCTTTACATTACTCAGAAAGGATCGAAATTTTTAGTTATTTTTGGTTGATATCATTGATTTGGTGAAAAGCCAGGTGGATTCACCGGGACTTAGAGCCATGGGCAGAGACTGGGGTGACTAAAGAGCACGTGAAGAGGGCCAAAGCAAATGCTGCGTTTCGAGTTGTGATACTGTCGGGAAAACTATACGTGGATCTCTACTACGCGTGTGTGCAGAGCAGAATGATGTTCACCATTTGGGGGATTCTGCAACTGCTCAACAAGTATCCAGGGATGGTTCCTGATGTCGATATGATGTTTGATTGCATGGACAAACCCATCATCAACCGGACCGAGCACCAGTCGTTTCCAGCTCCCCTTTTTCGATATTGCACCAATGAAGCTCATTTGGACATTCCTTTTCCGGATTGGTCCTTCTGGGGCTGGTACACATATCATCTATTTTCTGTTGACCCATAAGTTGTTACTTTACTCAAGCGCTTGCCTGAATCTGAGTGTTGTGATGAAGGTCGGAGACAAATCTAAGGCCGTGGGAAGAAGAGTTTGGGGATATAAAGCAAGGGTCTAGAAAACGTAGCTGGGACAGCAAGCAACCTAGAGCTTACTGGAAAGGCAATCCGGATGTTGTATCGCCTGTAAGATTGGAGCTCATGAAATGCAACCATTCAAGGTTATGGGGAGCACAAATTATGCGCCAGGTTCGCTTTGCTTACAGACCTAATTTATAGTTTAACCTGATGGGAGTTGTGCTGATTGTGTTTTAAATACAGGACTGGGCAGAAGAAGCAAAAGGTGGGTTTGAACAATCCAAGCTCTCCAACCAATGCAATCACCGGTAAGTACTAAGAGAAACCCCAAGTTATGCATGTATATGACTGGAGGATATGAGAAGGATCTAATATGGTTGGAATTCATTGTCTCACTATTAGGTACAAAATATATGCAGAGGGTTACGCTTGGTCAGTTTCCCTAAAGTATATCCTATCATGTGGTTCCATGACACTCATAATCTCACCTGAGTACGAAGATTTCTTCAGCAGAGGCCTCCTTCCCAAGGAAAACTACTGGCCTGTCTCTCCCACTGATCTATGTCGGTCTATCAAACATGCTGTTGACTGGGGCAATGCCAACCCCTCTGATGTAATTTATTCCACATATCTCGTCGAATTATCGATTTTATCTGATACCCAGTCATGTTCCTAAGGTGTTTCCCTTTTACAGGCTGAAAAAATAGGAAAAAGAGGACAAGGATATATGGAAAGCATTAGCATGAACCGGGTTTATGACTACATGTTTCATCTCATCACTGAGTACTCAAAGCTTCAGAAGTTCAAACCAGAGAAGCCGGCTTCGGCTAATGAAGTCTGTGCAGGATCGTTGCTTTGCTTCGCAGAACAAAAAGAGCGGGAACTACTTGAAAGATCCAGAGTCGTTGCACCTTCTGTGGATCAACAATGTAAACTTCCAGATGCAGATAGGAATAGGCTTGAGAGGTTGATCCAACAGAAGAAGAAAACTATTGAAAATGTTAGATACATGGAGATGAATAGAAGAACAGAGAGGGGTTCCAGATGAGTTTATTTTTCTGTGTATCCTTTCTTTAATTTTTTTTTTGACATACGTGTGTTTATCAGCTGTAGCACGAGATGGCAATTGATTACGACTTGATTAATAGAATAAAGAAACCGTAATCTTACAAGTTACATGGTGTGATTTATTCAACACGAGATAAATAATCAGTCTAATTCAGATCTTCAAAAGTAACAAACTAGAGGTATAAGATACACATCCTAATCCTTTAGTATGGGGAGGAACTCAAATGTGATATTGGAAGTTGGAGCAATGTGAGAACTGAAGAGCAGGTATTACACTAACCATGAAATCAGCTTCCGGCCAATCACGTATTCTCAACTTGGTAAAAACGGATTATTCCATATATTGACCAAAACCACCGGAAATGAAAACCCAGTCCTTTGGATTCAAGCATTTCCCTCGTCAAACTCATCATCATCATCAAGCACTTCATACTCGAAATCTTGGTCTCTGTTCTCCATGGTTTTCCCAAATTGAAATGCCTTGGTACCCATTGTAGTGAAAGGCATCAGCCCAAATGCACGGGCTGTTTTGATCTCTCTAGCAATCTTCCTTTGTGCCTTTGCGCTAATGCCAGTCTGTGCAAGAGATAAAGAAGAGAGGGTTTCATCATGTGGACTAGCAAAACCTCCTTACCTATCATATAAACCAAAGCTAGACTAAAACGAGAAACATCCAATCTGACCTGCTTCCTCTTAATAATGATCCCAGCTTCTGTTATAAAATTTGCAAGGAACCTAACATTCTGTCCAACAAAACATATTGCATAGGTGAGCACTAAAAGAGCCATAAAGCACATGCTAGACTACTTATGAACAAATTACACTCACCCTGAAATCAGCATTCTTCAGCACTTCCTCTGTAGTTACCTCAGATTTGTTATTGTTTAGTCTAGGATTTTGCAACTGTTTTTGCATCTGTCATCAAACCAAAGAAAATTAGCTTAATGTAATGTCTTAATCAAAGCAAACGTTTTCTGGACTCATGAGATCCCTGCAAACCCAATGTAGAATAGAATACATTATACATGAGCTACACATTCATATACAACATGGATCCAAACCACTGAGTCAGGTAATAATACTCTGAGACACGATTGCATATTTACAGTACAAATGCAACACTAGACCAAATGAATTCCATACGGCTGCTCTAAATTGGATTCAGTAACACTTTTGAAATCAAGTAATCAACAGAGTCAATACAAGAGTTGCAAGAAACCATACCCTAGCGAAGTTATTAAGTCCCTTAGTGTTGAAATCGGGCCTAAACGAGTACTCCTTCAAGCCATCGCCTTCGTCCATATTGCAAAACAGTGCAGCTTCTTTCAATTTCCCATCAACGCCATCAGATGAAGGGTCAAAGGTCTCGTCTCTGTTCATAGAACCACCAGCTGAGTATCTCGAGCCGCCTGATCTATTGTAGCCACTGAAACCGCGCTTATCTCTCTCGGCTCTACCGAGATGCTGGAAGAAACCACTGCTTTTCTCATCGTTGCCAGTGAAATCGCCAAACATCGAATCGATATTGTCCGACGAGTCAAAAGAAGATCGATTCTTGCTTGGATCTGCTCAAGTCCGATTCGATTCCGTGGTCAGTGCAGACACAATCTGAGAATGTGACGAAAAGATGTAGAAATGTAGAATGGTGCTTACCTTCGTTAGCGTTGGTCGAGAGGCTTCTAGACACGGTGGGACGAAATGATCGAAGGAGAGTTACATCGTTAACGGAACGAATAGCGAAACGGGCGATTCTCATCTTCCACGACTTAGGGTTTTTCAAAAAAAAATTCCGATCTGAGGTTTTGGCTGGGACAGAGGAGAGCTCGCTGACACGAAGAAGACGGAAGAGAGATTACAGTTGCAGTAAAACAAAATCATGGGCTGATATAAGGCCTCTTTGTCGATTATTATATTTTTAAGGCCCATTAGTTATGTTTTCCGTAAGGCCTCGAATGGAAGCATTTAACCTGGGCCTAGGGTATATAAAAAAATCACAGCAGAGGTGACTTGCCAGTTGCCACTTGTAAATTTGCCCATGTTGCTGTCTCAGCAAAAGTTAAATATCTCAAATTCACAATAATGTACAACACAGTGTTGGGAAATAATAATTGCAATAAAGTTTGGTTTGCTTCATCGTTAGGCACATGTCGACCAAAATTTTTGGATTCGGGGCACCAAACAAACAAAAACAACCTCATTTTGATATACTTTTTCTCCTTTTAGGTTTGGTTAAACGATTTGATGAAAGTTATGACCTTTTCTATTCGCTATTTAGTTCTGACATACAAAAGAAAAAGAAAGTATGTCATCAGGGACAGAAGACCAATCAACACAGAGACCATGTTTACGTAGTTGTCATTAACTTACAGGACAAAGATATATCTCTATCTACTTAATATTTACAATCATGCTACAAAAGAAATTAAAGTGGATATCTCTATCTCAATTATTTATTAATTTTTTTAAAAAAACAAGAAATAGTAATAATAATAATAATGAAAGTTCATAATTACGGAACCGTGTCACCTCCACAACATGTTTTAGACTCTTAAACTTAGTAATAGAAAAAAAGGTGCATAATTAATCATTAATGCAATTTTTAAATTTAGTTTTATACTAGTATGGCATAAATTAAGATATAAGTCAACAATAGTGGAATTTGCAATTGTAATGGTCAAGGACAGCCGAAAAAAAGTTACCACTCGACACACAAAGTTAAATATTCAAAGAAAATCAATAAACCGGGATCATACCTTGATTTTTTTTTTTGTTTAGGCATAAGTAATCCACTAATTAGTTTCCGAAAATCTTTTCGGTAGATCATGAATAGTTTTAAAATATGATTATTAACACGATATTAGGTTGACAAAGAGAAAACGCAAATTTTCATTTTGTAGATTTAGAAATAAAAAGTGAATCAGAAGAAGTAGAACAACACATTAAATCAAGAAAAAGATCAAGAAAATGATTTTTTAATTTAAAAATGAAGAAAAAGATATGAGATGACACAAAAGTCACATCAAATATTGCATATGATTAGCTAAAGATATTGAACGACAGGTGGCAATGAGCCATAGGAATTAGATAAAGGGCCGCGTATAAGAAGATAAACAAATACAGGTTTTGGCTCTAATTATAATTTATTATATGAAAGTATACGTAAAAGTAGCTGATGTTTGTGAAAGTTTTGTTCTTTGCTTTAGAAACAAAAGAAAGAAAGGTGGAGTCAATTCAAAGACCTTTTGCCTCTCACTCTGATGTCTGATGGGAATGGGGTGGACTCGCTCGAGGATTTGCTTTAGTGGTGGGTTCGAGAGAGTTTTTGATGATGTCCATCCGAGGAGGACGGAACAATGCCCGCAAAGCCCCCATTTGGCAAAGTAAAAATCTGACGCACCCCTTTATAATCTGCTTGCCCTCTTTAAGGAGAGTATAAGTGAATTGCCCAAAATAACCTTAACGAATAAATTAAAAAAAAATTATAAACAAAAAGAAAAACAATTTTGTAAAATAATAATTTTGTTTTTCCTTTTCCCTCTCTCTTCTCTTTTATCGGCCCTCTCCCATTTTCCTCACTCTCTTTTCCTCCTCCTCCTCCTCTGTCGACTCAAATTTCCGGCGATTCCGTTTGATACGGCGTCTTTCCAAAAAAGAGTAACATTGCAACGACGAGAAGCGTGTCTTGTGAAGGCCTATTCGTTGCAGTTCTCTTTGAGTCACGATATCTTCGTTGAGATTTGTAATTGAGGTAAGTGATTGAGCTTCAAATTGAATACGAATATTGGGTGTTTGGGTATGTCCATCTTGGTTAGTATTCATGTTTAATTACTCGATTATGTAATTGCATTGGTAATTAATAGAATGTATGAATGATAAGGATTAGACTAGGGTTTTGGTAAAGATTAGGTGTTTGGGTATGTCCGTCTTGGCTAGTATTCATGTTTAATTAGTCGATTATGTATTTGCATTGGTAATTAATAGAGTGTATGATCGATAAGGATTAGATTAGGGTTTTGGAAAAGTTGCAGACGGTGAGATAATGGAACAATTGGTACAACATAAATAGTTAGGACAAATGGTACAACATATATAGTTAGGACAATTGGAACAGCAGATATAGTTAGTTCCACTGGTACAGATGGTATAACTGTGTGCGGATGTTTAATATTGATGTCTGATTTTGTTATTTATTTAGGACAAGATGAAGAGCATCCACACGAACGTTCAGTTTGAATATGGAGGGTACTATTCAGAAGAGCATGAGTGGATTTACAGTAGTTGCATGTATGCTATTGGATTTAAGTCCTCATCTTTAGAGAAGATTACTTATTCGATGTTAGTAGATGAGATTTTCAACAAGGTTGAGTTAGATGGAGCCAGGTTGAAGCTTAAAATAAGTTACAGTCTATCTAAAACTCGGAGAGAGGCATACATAGTAAATGATGCTGATGTTTTAGTATTCCTAACATCATTGGATACAGAGGGACTTAAACCAGTTTTACATGTTGAGTTATGCAATGTTTCTGAAAACAATGAGAAACTCGTTGAGGAAGTATC